CCCGAAATATGCGAAAAGTAAATGTGTTCAGCGACTGTAGTTCGTCAACCGATATCTGGAAGCCATGCTCGAGTTGGTTGGATAAGACCTTAGTCTCGACGTCATCGTCAAGGTAGATTGAGAACGCTGGGAACCCTGGTAATCTTTCTCGGGTCAGCAATAGTATGGGTCGGTGCTCGCGACTCAGGGGCTTCGAAGGCAGCAGGGATATGTGAATCCCGTAAAATGTGTCAGTTGGAGTGGTCCGTTGTCTAGCCCAGATGGAAGGCTTTAACAGCATGTCATACTGGTTCGTTCGCTTGCACGTAATGGCTAACTTTGCGTTCCTCATTGCTGGCAAGCGTTTATAATAAATCGAATTAAAATAATCATCAAGCAATCTGTTTTTCCGGAGCAAGAGGCACGTATCAAAAGCCGCAGATTGTTTGGCGACGGACTTTCGCAGTGCTGGGCTTCCAGTGAGTCCTCGAATGGGCGACTTTTCAGGCAATATCACTTCGCAAACATAGGCATTGCTGACATGCGAGACCACATAGGTTACTTGGGGTACGGTTTCCTTCTCGTATTGCTGTTCAATGTTGATATCAGACTTTCATGAAGATCAAGGTGGCAAAGCTTACCAGAGAACTGGCATAACGCGCAAGAATTGCAATAGCGGAATGGTAGGTGAGCTTTGCTCCTGTGCTTTTCACAGTAAATGTCCGTCTTCCTTCCTCTTCCTGAAGTAGCGAATCCAAGTCATGGTCGTTGCCATGCAGTATTCGATCTTCGGGGAGAGTCTCACAGAACCGCTGCATAATTTTCTGATCCGTCAGACCAGTTCAAAGAGGATCAAGATCTCAAAGCTCACTTACTTCGGCCTCACGAACCTCTTTAAGCCGTGCTTCATGCTCCGCATTGTCCTTTTCGACCATAATCGCGTACTGAGCGTAGGCAAAGTCAGAAGCTACTCAAGACAATCAACCAGGCCAAGTAACGTACCGTGGAGGTGCAATGTCTAGCTCGTCCTCGACTTTGTACATACTGAATAAGTGTGCGATAAAGTTCAAATCTTGGTGGAATTACCAAATATTCGTGAACATCAATGGTGCCATAACATACCTGACAACCAGATTGCAATCTGGGATATCGAGACCTTCTTCCGCCACTGACGTAGCAAACTTCAACACGTCAGACGAGTCACAATTAGACATTTTTGGGGAGTATCTCACCAAGCAGTTAATCTCCCCGGTTCTGAATTTCACCAGAGCAAGAAACTGTTGCCGAAACGTAATGTTCATGCCACCGATGTCACCGGGTCTAACGCCAATGAGAATCCCTGGACGCAAATGTGGAATGTTCAGGACTGTAAAAAGCTCATTGAGAATTTTGGCAGTGTAGCGCTTCTGCGTAAAGACAATACATTTTGTTCCTGTGGTACAGCAGAAGTGTTTGCTGAGTTCCATGCGGAGAAGCTGCACTTTAGGGCTGAGTTCACCTGGGAGCTCGGGATCTGCGAAAGAGTAGTTCCTGACGGTCTCACTTGCTTCTCTGATGCGTATAATATCTTTGAAAACAGCGCCATGTTCTGCATTCAAGTTGTTCGACTCAACAAGCTTGCTGATGTTACCCTCAAGTTTGGGCAACACATCGTCTGCCAAGGCATGCCACCATGCTCTGTCTGAACACCATTTTCCCAGTTCTGAGCTGGCATGCCAGGCAAATCTAAAGACTCCTTCGAGTACCTTGATATTGCCATAGCGAGTGTCCATGAGCTTATAAAATTCTGTTGCGAAAGGTGACTCAAGCCTGTTGTACGCCCACACTTTCTCTATCGGGCGACTGACAACTTCCCGTAAGAGTGTGATCTTTGAAGTTGTGGCAATTCGACTATCCAACAAAGTCTCTAGTCTCCTACAAATAATTAGTCTGATATCTCCTGGCTCACTGGCCGAGAACATACGTTGCGGCTTCTGTGATGTCGCCTTTCGTGTCGATTGGCGAAGCTGTCATTCCGAAGACCCGTGGACGCTGAGAAGGCTGTGCCTTGAAATAAGAATCCCTGATAATGCTTTGGTATAGTTAGTATTAACTCTGGGATCAGAAGTGTACCACGAACCGGGCATATGGGTGATCTTTCTTCGCATGATGAGCTTCGTCAAAGATCAGAAGGTTTATTTGATCTATCTTTACGTATGAATTGAGCAAGCATTGGTTCAGGATCTCCGCTGTACAAACTATCACCATGTTCCGCTGCAAATGCTCATCCCAGGTCCGTTTATCCCATAGGTCAGTGCCCATGGCTCCAAAGAAGTGCGCAACATTCTGGTCAATGTTATTGCGCAAAACCGCCGCCTGTTGATATGCGAGTGTGACGCTGTCAACCTTGCAACAAGTTAGTATACACTACACCTCACCAAGGCTAGCAAGACAAATACCAGAAAGAACGACACACGACGCGGCTTCCCATTTGCGCGATTATCCAGCTCATTCAATATGGTATGCCTCAGCAAAAGCACGGCGATCAATGTCTTTCCCGATCCTACAACGGGTCAGCAGAAGGTTCACCTACTAAATAACAGGAGCAAAACGCTGAAAGCCAGCTTTGAAGGAATTACCTGTATCAAGCACAGCAATTGTGTTCTGCGTCTTGGCCCGTTCGAACAGCTCAATCTGGTATTCCCTCGGGTCCAACATCCCATTTCCCAGATCTTGCTTTGCGACCAAATGAGCGATGGATAGCTCACCATCTGATAAAGCTATTGGCGCTCTATCAATGGCTTCGTTGGAATCAGCATCGGCGCGCTTGGACAGCCTGTGTCTAAGTCAGCAATAGCCTCACGAGGTATCTCCGACGAGGAGGCGCTGACAGCGCTTCAAATTGAGCGTTCTGGACTCGCCGCCGCTGTGAAAAATCAATTTGGTTGGGAACGGCTTCATTATCGTTATCAGAGTCGCCTGAAGAGAGCTCGTCTTTGTGAACATCAGCACTAGAGTCTGCTGGGTCGCTTGCAGCAACATCATTTATGAAGAGGCCTCGTAACAGTGCAGCATTGCTGGAGTCTTCGCCTTTCAGGGACACGGATGAAGACACATCCACCAGAGAGATTTGTTCAGTCATGGTTGAGGGAAATTCTGAACTGGCTGAGATGGCGAAGTATGGAGGAAGTGAAGAAATATATTGTTTTACTTCACGAGGAGATGAGTAAGAACACATGGGAAATGAAAAGGTCTGCATTAATTATGAAGAGAGAAGAACTGACTATATAGAAGAGGGGAATGAAAAGCAAAGATAAAGTGAATGTATAAAGGAACTAGAGAAGCTCTATAGCTTAGTCGTTTGAGGTGATATTGATCGCAAACAGAAGGGTTTGCACACACAAAACAAGGATTCTGTGCATGATGACTGTGTTTCAGTCTGTTAGGGGCTACTGATCTGATGCAAATTCTTATATAATGTCACTTATAATGACCATGGAAGCTGTAGTGAAGAAAGCAAGCGATCGATCCCGAAGCTCTAGATATATATCTCGACTCCGGCCCTGCTGATAAGAGCTCTGACCAACTGATTGTGGGGCGTGGATCTGGCGCCGCGCGGGGCCAGCCCGATAATATTATTTTTGCGCAGGCCCGATCGTCAGGTACTGCAACGAAGCTTCACCTTGTCGTTATCATATCGTCATTGCCCAGGATATCATGGAGCAACCCCAGAGCCTTCGATCGCTATTTACCGCTGCAAAGGCTGAGAAAGCCTCGTTGGAGTCGAGGCCCGACTCCAATTCTGACCCCTATCGCAAGGATGTTAATGCAACGATAGCGAAGTTCGAGGAATGCCAGCGCCTCGTTGGCCAACTCTCCTTGTTCAGCTCGAATGAACCTCTGGAAGATATTGCAACGGGGGATATACAGTGAGTGCGATTACTGCTGGAGCTGTGACGATCTTGTGCTCATGACTTTTCTCTGCAAAGGTACCTCACTGTGGATTATCTCCTCGCAGACATTCTCCAACGTACCTATACCTCAGACCGCGAATCTACAATCCGGCGTGCTTTGGAACTATATGAGAAATACCTTTCCCGGTTAGATGACTATGGACTGCTTAATGACAACGAGAAGAAGCTACACGAACGCTACATATCGAATCCCTCGTCTTTCTCCTTGACTCCGACTAATGATGCAGCCACCCGAAGAGAAGTGAAACTATCAAGATTTCGGGAGGAGAAAGAGCTGAAACAACGGCTTGAGGTTGGTTCAATGGTTCTCTCGCGGTCGTGAGCCTTACTTACAATCTCAACAGTATTTGTCAAACAATCAGAACCAACTACAAAGTGACGATGAAGATGTCCGGAAACTTTACCTGGCAGAAATTAATCTGTACACCCATCAAGCCTTCCAGTCGATGGATCTACTCTCGCAAGAACTTTCAATGCTTTCAGCAAATCGCAATAACCCTCCCAATCCTGCTCAGCTCCCGCAGGACGACCCCAGGCGACGAAACAACAACCCTGAATCAGGTTATTCGGAACGTCTCGACCCGCCTTTGTCTCAGCTCCTCAGAGGTGGAAAGTCAGGAGCGATACTTAGTAAAGAAGGAAAACCATTGCAGCCTTTTACTTTACTGGATCGCCGCACTCAACTCCAACAGGGCGTGTTTAGGAGCGGCCATAATCTCCCCACGATGACGATTGATGAATATCTTGAAGAAGAAAAGAGAAGAGGTGGTATAATTGAGGGTGGAGAAAAGTCTGGTATGAAAGAGGAGATAGACGAGGACGACATGGACAAGGCGGATGAAGAGACAATGAAGGCTCGAGCCTGGGACGAATTCAAGGAAGCGAACCCAAGAGGCTCAGGGAACACCTTGAATAGGGGCTGACGTCTTGCCGTTGAAGTTCCCCAACATGAAATGTGCCTAGAAATGGACGCTTTTGGAGCCGATATCCCTCGTCGTGCAATGCAAGTCGTTGCCAAATGATAATTTTTAAACCCGCAGTAAAATACGTCTCCTGACGGCTCGATTTTACATGTCGAGAAAATTCATGGAAATTATTCGTTTTAAGGAAATGCCTGGAGATGCGGCGGAAGAACGTGCCTATACCTATCCAAGCTGGTTTGTGCATTATATATTTTTACATGGGGTATACACGGGGCATCGGCCCACTGTCTTTTTGCTAAGACTAGGGAGAAGACCAGCATCTCCACTTCAGTGAGATTGTATGCTTGCTCATCCACCAACACTCGTCCTCAAGGTGTGAGCTTTTTGCGTTGAATCTCCGCAAGGATCTCCCCTGCGCCCTTTTCTACCAGTGCCTTCGCAACGGTCACACCGAACTCTTCAGCGGATTCTGCCGTATCGACTGACCCGTCTACTTCGACCTCGGCACTTTCACGGCCGTCAACACTGACGACTATGGCCCTCATTCTCAGCTTGGACGACCCATCGGAATCCTGGACCCACTCCGTCTCAACACCAAGAGGGGCACTGCAGCCACCCTCAAGAGTTCGCAAGAGGCTTCGCTCTGCGAGGCAGGCCAAAGTAGTTTCGTGATGACCGATAGAGCTGAGCATATCCCGCAGAAGCTTATCATCCTTGCGGATCTCAACGCCAAGTGCTCCTTGGCCCACTGCGTAGAGCATCCCGCCATTCTTAGAGTCAAGATACTGGGATATGCGGTCCTCCAGTCCTAGCCTCAACAGACCAGCAGCAGCCAAGATAATGCAAGTGAATGGGCTGTCCTCAGCATCTAGTTTCGCTAACCGAGTGCCGATATTGCCGCGCACATCCTGGACCTTCAGATGAGGGTATCGGCGGGCGAGTTGAGCAGTGCGGCGGATGGATGAAGTACCCACGACAGACCCTGCGGGCATCTCGGAAAAGGTCATATTCGGCAATCCTTTCTTCATCACCAGAACATCCCTTGTATCTTCTCTCTCCATCATGGGGCCCAATGTACATGAGGAAGGTAGTTGAGTTGGTACATCTAAAATCGATATCCGTGAGTGTCAAGCATTTATAGCGATCTGAGGCAGGTGTGATCAACCTACCCTTCAATGAATGAACAATGAGATCGACATCACCAGCCATCAATAGCTCTTCCAACTCCTGCGTCCAGAGGTTCTTGGTAGTGAATTCGCGGAGAGCGATAACTGTATTCTTATCACCCGCTGTCTCCTGAGAGTGTATCTGGAATGTATATTCCGGCCATGACTTCTTCAGCGCTGCAGCAACCAGGTCTGTCTGCATAAGAGCAAGCTTAGATTTGCGTGTCCCTATCGTGAAGGTTCTCCGCGACGAGGAATTTGCGGCCTCGGAGGAAGGCGGGGCAGAAGCCATTGCGATAAGTGTTTCAACAGGACGCGAACGAGGGTCGTTTCGGGACGGCGCAACAGTCTATCGAAAGCAAGGTTTAGTCGATCGAGGTAATGGTGCAGGATATCTGCTGATCAAAGATTGAGAGGGTCGAGTGTCTTGAAGTTGAACGCCAACCAAGTAAATCATGAGATATCCCCGGGAAATTTGAAGCCGCTCTGGCGGGCAATCAGTAACTAATGGTGGTTACCGCCTTCCGGCCTGAAGTACTGTCACAGGTTATACGGTAATATACCAACAACCGTAAAATTATCTTACCACGGCTGAAATGCTCATACAGATCCCTGTGATCCATCATCAACAGATGGAGTAACTGCATGACACTCCCTTTATCACTCCAGACCACAGAGAATTTAGCGACGCTTATTAGAGGCTTGCATTGGTACTATCTGAACTGGACTATTCATGCGTATCCAATCTGCCACAACCAGGTCAACAGTCTGAGCTGGATACTGCAATCCCCGGATCCGACTGACGTAGATCACGCGAACCTCGGCTTCGGGAAGCGCTTATCGCTTCATCGCCTCCCCAAGAGTCACGGACTACATCTATGGAGTTCTGGAACATCTCCGCGACCTTAAAGCTGACCGTCCGACACCCTACAGTCCATTTATGTTAATTGACCGGCTTCAGACAAACGCCCTATCCTCGTGCTCCTATACTAATAGCTTCGTTTGATATTGACACAAGCTGTGTCTTTCTGATCTGGGAGGCCGAAATGGGTTCCAATAACGGAAGAGCGACGAAGTTAGCTTTAGTCCCTTTACCCAAAGGCTCCGTATTGCTCCCTGGCGTCACTCTACGCATACCTGTGTCGAATCGCCCTGATCTTGCCAACCTTCTCTCGACTCTTCTCGACCAGACCAATCTGGGAAAGCGGGATGGGAACACTATCACATTCGGTTGCGTACCTTTGAGTTCGCCATTGCTAAGCATCGACGGCCAGCAGCTGATCGATGACGGAAGTTTGGATGGTGCTAAGAAGGAGGAATGGGATGCTATAGATGCAGGTCAGGCAAGAAAAGAGGATCTCTTCCGGTACGGCACGGTCGGCAAAGTGATAGGGGTGCAACGACGTGCCTATGCAGAGCCGTTCCTCGTGGTCCAAGGAGTTCAACGTTTCACTATCAAACACATCCTGAGGGAGAGGCCTTTTTTCGAGGCAGAGGTGGTTCTACACAATGAACGAGGTTGGTGCACAGATCTATGTTGCCGTTAAAGATATACTCTTCGTCACAGCTAATAACAAATTCAAAGATGCCGTTTCGAACGATGCAGAAACCGTTGAGTTGTTCCAGCAGTTGAGACAACTATCACGCGAACTCATAACCCTCCTACGACTGTCGTCTCTACTACCTTCGACTGGCACGCGCCTGTCGCCGCTCGTTGCTCGCAAATTCGAGGTGTACATTGCGAAGACGGATTTATCGCAGGCGGGTAATCTGGCCGACTTTATGGCAGATGTAGCTGATCCTACTTTCGAGGAGAAACTGCGCGTGTTGGCTTCTTTGGCTCTGAGAACTCGGTTGGAAAGAGTCGTCGAGTTATTGGGCCGACAGGTTCAAGGAATTAAGAACAGCGTCAAAGTTACGACGATCTCCACCTCGTCATTCCCACCGAATTCTCCGTTCGATATCAGTCAGATCGATCCTCGAGATCGTGAGTTGTTGGCAAGGCGAGCCATGGCCGGCCTGACGGGCTTGACGCCCCCTGGAGCCGCAAGCGGACGTAACGAGGATGAAAAGGAGACAAACGAAGTTGATGAATTGCAAAAGAGGCTCCAGGAGGCAGAGCTCAGTCCCGAGGCTCGGAAGGTTGCTGACAAGGAATTGAGACGTCTTCGGAAGATGAACCCGGCAAACGCCGAATATGGCGTCTGCCGAACATATCTCGAAAACATCGCCGATATTCCCTGGACCAAGGTCACCGAGGACAAACTAGGGCCTGAGACGCTGAAGAGAGCAAGGAATCAGTTGGATGAGGACCATTACGGTCTTGAGACGATCAAGAAGAGACTGCTGGAATACTTGGCTGTCTTGCGATTGAAGCAGTCAACCAACCAAGATGTTGAGCGGCAAATTGCTGCACTCACCAAGGAACTTGATGCTGCCAATGAAGCGCATGTCGAGAAGGACGTTCCTGCTTTGTCCGAGTCAGACAGAGTCTCTCTTGAAGCAAAATTGAATTTGCTTCAGTCAAGACGTATGGCTGATAAGTCTCCGATCCTGCTGCTCGTTGGTCCGCCTGGTACTGGCAAGACGAGTTTGGCAAGATCCGTGGCCACGTCTCTCGGACGCAAGTTCCACAGGATTTCTCTTGGTGGCGTGAGGGACGAGGCTGAAATTCGAGGCCACCGGAGAACCTACGTCGCTGCTATGCCAGGCCTAATCGTGAACGGTCTTAAAAAGGTTGGGGTAGCCAATCCTGTATTCCTCCTTGATGAAATCGATAAAGTGGGCGGTGCCAATTTCCAAGGGGATCCATCCGCAGCAATGCTGGAGGTCCTGGATCCTGAGCAGAACTACACATTTGTCGATCATTACATCAACATCCCAATCGACCTGAGCAAGGTTCTCTTCATAGCCACTGCCAATTCTCTTGACACCATACCCGCACCGCTACTCGATCGCATGGAGACAATTACTCTATCCGGTTACACGACTGTTGAGAAGAGACATATCGCCAAGAGACACCTGATTCCAAAGCAGATCAGAGCTAATGGTTTGTCCGAGGGTCAAGTCGTGCTTTCCGATGAGGTCATTGACAAAGTCATTACCTCTTATACAAGAGAGTCGGGTGTGCGGAACCTTGAGCGCGAGCTGGGCTCAATTTGTCGGCACAAGGCTGTTCAATATGCAGATGCGGTTGATAATGGCAGGTTGGATACGTACAACCCTGTGGTTGCCCTTGGCGACTTGGAAGAAATTCTCGGAATTGAGCGTTTTGACGAAGAGATTGCCGAGAAGCATGGTCGGCCAGGCGTCGTAACCGGTCTTGTCGCGTACTCGACTGGGGGCCAGGGTAGCATCTTGTTTATTGAGGTTGCGGACATGCCTGGCAACGGTCGCGTTCAGCTTACAGGCAAGCTTGGCGATGTTCTGAAGGAAAGTGTGGAAGTCGCCTTGACCTGGGTCAAAGCTCATTCTTTTGAGCTCGGTCTTACACATGACCCCAACGAAGACATCATGAAGAACCGAAGCTTGCATGTCCACTGCCCTGCAGGAGCTATTCCCAAGGATGGTCCCTCTGCTGGACTTGCTCACACAATCGGGTTGATCTCCCTTTTCACAGGCAAAGCTGTGCCTCCCCAGATTGCGATGACCGGTGAAGTCTCCCTGCGAGGGCGGGTGATGCCTGTTGGAGGTATCAAAGAGAAATTGATTGGAGCACTGCGCGCCGGTGTCAAGACTGTCCTTCTACCCGAACAGAACCGGAAGGATGTCAAGGATGTACCGCAAGAGGTCCATGATGGCTTGCAGATTGTCTATGTCAGGTAAGACACGATCGATCCTCACATTGAAAAAGCATAATTGATTACTGACATATGTTGCACCACAGGCATATTTGGGAAGCTATTCGTCAGGTCTGGCCTGACGCCCATTGGCCTGGACAACACCACATGAACTTTGTTGAAAGCCGGCTGTAGAGTTCTTCTTCGGTTTAAACTTCTTTGCTCTGAACTCTACTCATACTTGTTGCATTCCTCTTCACTGCTTGCGCTGACCATTAACTGCTTTGGCTCATATCACCATGTCACTCTTTCTTGTATTAGCGCTTTCAACCCAATCACTCTAGCATAGCGTCTTATATAGCCTAGTTAATGGCCATCTTGGTTTTACTTCTTCCTATTCTGTCCATCTTTAACTTCATATGCCCAAATTGGCGTCTTTCCGGTAAAAACTACGCCCCTGAATATCGTATTTATAGTCAGATGAAATTTCGACATATGATACAAGGTTAATGAACATGTAAAAGAGAACGGAATCCGGGAAAGAAAAATGCCACGAAAAGAAGCAAGTTCCCGCTTTTCTATCCCCAGAACGAATGAAGCAGAAAGGAAAAGAATGCCATCTATGAACTTGTCGAAGTCGAATCCTTGGCTGCTTTGAATATCGACCGGTCATAGTTGAGTCCCAACGCCTGCCAAGTCGGTCTCCAGGTCTTCGTGCCGTCCAGCAGCTGCTTCGCCTCCTTTGCGTATTCTTCGCGCTCGACCTTGTTGGGCTCCATGGCAGCGTCGGGTCGTTGCGAGCGCTGAATTTCTTCCTGATATTTCTCGGCGTTGAAGTACTGATCCTTCTCCCATCTGTTTCAAAGCACATTAGCACAGGCCCCCACCGCCAATCCATGAAAAAAAAAAAAAGGGCAAGAAGGGTAGACATACGGTGACATATCCGTCGGCGCCTCGGGCCACACAAAGGGCTGTTTCATCTCCACCGTCATCTTCTTCTTCGACATCGGTCTTCTCAGACGGCCGTATCCGAACTTGCCCAGGGGCCGCAGGCGGGTCACTTTCTGTTGCTCGACGTAACTGCGGATGCGGAGAACACCGACGCCGTATAAGCGCTGCAGGTAGTCGCGCATATCGAGCTTGTTGAAATTCAAGGGCACATAGAATGTGGCATATCGCGGGGGAAGGAAGGGTGTGCGTATGAGGGCGATTGTGAAGTCAGGTCTACATTGCGGTATATTGTCAGCACAGTGAATCAGAGATCCCAAAGCGAGGCGCCACAGAAGGCTCATTGATGTTTGGATCAGCCTTGGTGAACTTACAGAAATACCTGCTTCCGCATCGACAGCGGCGCCGAAGGGGACACCCAGCCTGCGGGCTTCTTGGGGAATTTCGAGAATTTGCGCACCATCTTGAATCTCTATATCCAGGCCTCAACTGTAAAATTGGAAACCGGATAGAAGCGTAACAGTGGTGGGTATATGAATAGGATTCGTGATCTAATGCCGGGTCCTCTCAGCTCGGCGGAACTTTTGGAAAAATGCACGTGTGGCCGCACCGCCTACCGTATAAAGTGCTGCGATAAGCACATGTTCACGAAGAAGTATAGGACAGTACAACATTTTATGTGTACTTCGCATGAAATTACAAAATTAAAGTTAGAATCAGAATATCAAATTATGTACTCATTAACATCATTAAGGTTGATTGACTTTTTCCTTATCATGCTGAGGGCTACCGCCCTTCAGACGCCTCTGATACGTGCAGTTCTCCCAATTTCCGAGAACTCTCACCAATCTCGTCAGTTACAGAATTCGACGCTCGTTCCTGATTGTTGTCGCCATGCTCATCCTCTCCCTGTGATTCCGATCCTGACTGTTCGTCCTCATCGTCGCTGTCTTCATCATCTTCTCTCGGCTCGTCCCCATCCCCATTTGCGCCGACCTCCTTCATGTAGGCTTCCAGCTCGCGAGCCATCTTTCGCGAGAAACCAGACGCTTCTACCTCAACGTCCAACCGCTTCCCAGGGTTCTTCAAGAGCTGTTTCTTGGCGTCCGCGAAGAAAGGGCCTGGCTCATCGCTGACAAAATGGAACTTCCGTTGGAAATAGCGCTTGATGCAATTCACGTCGCGGTCGAAATACATCTCTGCGTTTGGATGGTCGATTGACACCATCTGCGGGAAATCGATAATGACCGGAACCAGCCGGATATTCTCATCGTTCTCCGCATCAGCAGGACCCTTTCCCTTCGCATCGGGATCCTCCTCTTCTTTGATCAAGATATTGAACTCGTTGTAGTCACCGTGAATAAGGCCAAACCGAGCAAGCTCCATGATCGTACCCAGAAGCTCCGAATACAGTAACGCAGGCTTGGGAACCCTCGATATCTGTCGTAGCGGGAATGCGTCGATCAAGCTCATGACGATGGTGTGTCTGTTCTGCGCGATAGGTTCGGGTACTGAGAACCCGTTCTCTCGAAGAGCCTTCATAAAAGCGAACTCCTTCATCGCCGCCAATCGCGACATGTACATCCATGAACCTGTACTCCGATTGCGCAGATAGTCTCTGTTGGTCTTGACTGTTCGGAAGGAAATGCGGCCCAGGCGATGGATCTTCAGAATGCATTGCGTTCCTTTACTGTTCGCGACGACGACGATATCTGACTCTTTCCCGACACCGATCTGGTTTCCGACGGAGTAGATACATTTCTGCTTCTGGTGAGCGTTCAGCGCCAGGTAGTCGAGACCCCCGTAAGTGAGCCGGTAGCCATCATCTGAATGCAGTATAGAATTAGCAAAGACATTCATCCAAAGTGTATCACTAGTAAGGTGCGAATAACTGTACATTTCGCATTCTTCACTTTCGCGATCAAATTAGTCTTAGCCAGGTTGGAGATGGACCGATGGACTCCACTGCCGCCCCGAAGGCCTGAGAGTTGTACAATCAAGGGCGTCGGTACGACTTCATGATTTCTACTTCCAGTTTCCACCTATGTAGAGCTCTTGTTAGCTGTCAGACAACGAGCTGTGATTAGAAGCAGCAAAGGCGGGGCAAATGACGGGCATACCGCAGTGAGAACGCGGAAATCCTCGGAAGTGAGGTATCGAATCGCTTTGGGATCGAGCTTCATTTTTGTCCGTAGCGACTGATAAGAGTGATTTTATGAAGGTGCAAGAAAGAGATTGTTCAAGCAGACTCTCCATCACGTCTGCCGTTGTTGCGGATGTCATGGCGGAAAAAAGCTACATGCTCGAAGCCCTATGCCCTAGTTTCCTATTTGAGCGCTTCCTTGGCATATAGTCCTTTACAAGGCACCATTGACATCGCGATAGTCTGAGTCGATTGTTAACATAGGTCTCTAAATACTAATAGATGAATGATAGTATTTCTTTTGATTGGTGCCACACCCGGTGTAAACCGCGCGATCCGTGAAAGAACATCATCCGCGTTCTGCTGCCTTCGGATTTATGTGTAATTGTATATGATCCGCCTCCGCGAGACCTAGTTACATGTTGAGTTACATCGGGAACCATCCAGTCGCTTATAGTCTAGAACTAGATCGTGGCATGATATTTGTCGATTCGGTTTCAAATACATTAAATCCAACCTCATCGGTCGCTATATGGTCGGCCCCGCACCCGGCCCAACTTGCAAAAGAAGCGTTTCGAATCATCGTTTCAATCAAGCGGAATTCTCTTGCCAATCAGGGTTCTAAATCATGCCAGTTAGTTATCAGGAAGAATAAAGAAATTCAAATGGATGTATTATCCGAGAAACTTACCTTTCGTAAGATCACAAGGCCTTCAAGGGTGCTGCTAAGGGGAATGTATTGTTCATCCTCCAGCTCTGCTCTTTCACCGTAGGACAGAAGAACAGGTGTGCTCTGTGTCTGCCAGCCGGTGATCGTCTTGGGACGACCAGCTTGGCCAACCACATCCACAGCCTGACCCACACGTACGTTCACGGTGAGTGGTTGGAGGTCCTCGTCCAGCGTAACGAGGAATCGTGGGTACATGGCGGTGATAAGGAAGTAGAGGAGGTAGTGATGTTCGGCAAGAATGAATTGTTTGGCGTCGATCAAAGATACAACGACAGTGAGTAGGCCAGCGGCTGATACGCGGGAAAGGACCTGGCGGTCGGTGTGGAATGGGTTCAGGGTCATCGTGCCCTTACCCATGTGAAGAAGACCCTGCGCGATGCGGACCATGAACAATGAGTTTTGGTCACGGTGGTAGTAGCTTGCCAATTGCCTCAGCAACTGCGCAAGACGGGCATTGTTGGTACCTGCTCCACAGAGACCCATGGCGAAAATCGCGTTGATGGCGACATCATTGTCATTGTCGTGGCTGTACCGCGACAGTGTATCGTAGACCTTCATCTGCGGGTTGCTGGGGCTGATCAGACCCATCGCAAGTGGGACAGCCTTTCGGATGTTGCTGGCACCGTAGTGCATGAGGTGACCGAACTGTCTGAGAATCATGTCCTGTCCGACTTCCTCGCCCATAGCGATGAGAGACAGACCCAAGACAGCGTAGGATTGGACAAGTTCATCTCCTTTCTTCTCATCGTTCTCTTCAATAAGGTCATTACAAATGTGAAGAAGTTCCTGCAGCTTCAACACTGTGCCAGTTCCTGCCCAGGCACAGACAGAAGCAAGAACGGAGGTTGGTTTGGCCATTGGGTGGTCGACGGCCTTGAGAATGTCGAGAACGACGTCGACCTCCTCCTGGCGGCCGAAGTACAGTAGGGCCAAACCAAGAGCCATGAAGCGGGTCCACTTGTCTTTCAGATGCTTCTGTCGCTCCTCATCCATCAAGGTCGTAGCAATGGCTTCGCTGACTTGATGATTCGAAGAGCCAACGAAAATAAGACCTAGTGAGACAGCCGCCATTGCCGAGAGTTGCATATCCAGGGAGACATCTTCAACGACGGGAAGCAGGATTTCCAGGAGCTCCTCCTTATTGGAGCCGGCGTAGGCCAGACCAAGACCCATGATGGCAGCAACTCTGACCGGTACGCTCTTTTCTTGCCAAACTTCGGGATCGCCCAGGAGAGCCAGGACGGGATCCGCCTCTAATCGTACGCCCGAACCGATCATACCTGTGCCCAGCAAAGCACCGGCCTTGATTTGCTCCTCGGTGGCATAGGTAAACTTGTCAATTCTGTCCAAACCAGAGTCGGTGTCCTTCGACAAGAGCATGCCGAAAGACGCTGTTGTCGACAGCATGCCATCGTCCTTTGTCTTCCAGATCCAACTTCCCTTGTCATCGTCTCCTAGCATCAGGTTGTCTTTACCGAAACCAGCATTGACAAAAGCGTTCACGAACGCGCTTGCCAGATTATGTCTCGCGGAGTCAACATTTGTCAAACCAGCGCCTCGGCTGCTTTCCAGGTGCGTCTTGTAAATGTCTTCCGGATTCTTGGGTTCAAGGATATCAAGCTCTTTGCCCAGGGATTTGAAATGCTTGGAGATCGATGTATTGTTAAGACAGTCCATGAAGGATGCGTTCTCCTCCTCTTCAGGCATATCGAGCCAAATCTGCTGTCTGGCGACCAGGAAAGCCATTTGATTCTTGAGCACTGGATCAGAAGTAGCGTTGATGTCACTCTTGATAAGATCTGTGTCGTTTAGTCGAATGGCAAGTACGATTGCTTTTGTGAGCTCCTTGTAGCGGACATAGATCTCGTGCGCCGTCCGGAGGAACTGCTGATCTTCAGGATAGGTGAGGAGGTTGACCATGCTGACCATATACAGACAGACTCTTGAGTAATTGTTTTCGTCGAGAAAGCGGGGGATCTCCTCGATGATCTCCAGCTCACTGAGGAGGTCAACAGCATCGGCTTCGGCATTATGACTCAGGAAGTAGGGGACAAGCGACAATGAGAGATCGATCAGGTCCTGTACATCTTTCTCTGCGTTCAACCTGTTTTGGTACTCTTGGCCAATCTCCAGAGCCAGATGCCTAATATATTCGTGACCCCACGAGCCGAGATCTTCTGCCTTGGTGAGAAGGCGATATTTCAGGGTCTCGAGCTTCTCTTCGTCCCCGTACGTCATACCGAGGACAGACAGCATATCCGCCAGCGAGTCCTAAATCAGAACCCATTGTGTCAGGAAAAGTTTCAACCCAGACGAGACTTTGGAGGTTAACCAACCTTGACAGCGCCTGCCGACCACTTCTCGTAGAGCTCTGTCAGCTCATCGTAGTGCGGTCTAAGAAATTTGAGGGGTTTGGGCACAGCGGTCATAGAAGAAGTCGAGGTCTTTATGAAATTCTTGATCGCATCTAAGGCAGGAGCGTAGAGCGACGTATCCGGTTCCTGATGAAGACGAGACATGTGGGTTAACGTCATCGGCCAACAAATTGAGATTTCAGCTCGATCTTATACCTTTAATCTCTCGACGAGCATCTCAAGTTCGCTCTTCAACTGCTGATCTTCTTCGCTGAGTTCCTCTAAGATAACCCGAGCGTTAACCCTTCTGTTGTAGCAAAAACGCCGTTCGGGACGGCGGCCTCGCGGTTATATGGGTGGATTATGACATACCTTCCTTCGACTCCTCTTCCTTCTTTTTCCCATTCGCTTGTGTCTTCTCGTCATTCTGTGTCTTCTTCGCTCCAGGCAGATCTTTCACATCATCAACCTTGCCCTTGCCCTTGTCGGCGGGAGCTGAGCTCTCGCCTTCTTTCACCATTTCTGACGGGTACCTGGCGAGTTGGTCTCGGTTTGGGCGAGGAAAGTAAAAAGGTAGGATTGAAAGGTTCGTGGAAGCTGCTTATAATCTCAAATACGGCAGCAGACAGCGTATTAATGAGGTCTCTGCACACTGATGGATGGAGCAGAGAGCGAATCCGGAGCTTGTTGATGGAAAGCAAGAGAGCTCACGCTCATCGCCGCTTGGGCGTTGCGCTACAGTGGAGCTTCCTCCCGCTTATGTAAGGCTACTTACTTCACCGCCGAGATATACATTCGCTTTCCAGGAACGATACCAAATTATGAGACACAGGGCGATTTTGGTGTTTTCATGGAATTGCTAAGCTTGAATATGCCAGTGTTTATAGCCTAGTGAAAAGGAGCATATGTATTCACGCATTGTCGTGGTGCGATAGACACCCGCTTAGTAATGGTGGAAACATGATGTCAATGCTGGATTCTCAACGAGAAAGACTTCGAACTCAATAGGAATACTGGGTATAAGTAGACTACATGATTCTCACTATCCAAATGCAATTTGTCGGTACCAACGTCGGTTATAGGATGATTGAACATAGTTCATCTGATACATGCTCTATTCTCCGTCAGCTCGCTCATGCAGACAGAACAGTCTCGTCAAGGTCGAGCCATCTGTCAAGTCACTGTCTCGACAGGCGCCATAACGGATAGCAAACTTCTTCGCGTATTCCTCGGTGTCTTGTGAGTACATTAGGTCTGACATTTCCTCACCACGGTATGACAACAGGGGCAAACTGCTCAGGTCCGGCAAAGTGAGAGAGAAGCGCTCAAGAAGCGGCATTAATGTCGATGCCTGGTCCAAGGGTTTTTCGGCAGACAATTGATTAATGGATGACCCAAGAGCTATAGTTGAGTCTGCTTGATCGTCGCGCAAAAATTCTTCAGGTGGTTGAGACAGCTCGCTATGAACTGTTGCAAGAGTAAAAGTGCCTCGGTCGGGGAACGTTGGGTAAAGCAGGTAATACCCCCGAGCTCGAATTAGCTCGAGTAGATATTCCATTACAGCAGGATATCTTTTTGAGATAGATTTCTGGTCAGTAGACTTCTCAGACGTGGGCCGGTGTAGAGCGAGGCGGTCGGCGAGGAAAGAATGGAGGTCAGCCCATCCATCGCCGAAATACAAGGCCGCATGACTGTTTGGAGCCTGCCATAAAAAGACAGGAAGCGGCTCGCCACCTAGGTGCTGTGATTTCTGAATTTCTTTCTCAACTTTCGGTGGTGTGAAAGGTTCGTCATCTGTGGGTCGTGATGAGGGAAGCTCGAGCGAAATTCCCAGTAATTTGGAAGCGGCGCGCTTGGTTTGAGCCGAATGCTTATATTTCAGCGCAGTATACTTCAAAAAATGGTAAAAAGAAGGCGCCAGCTCAACCTCTTGGGCCAATAAGAGCACATGCGTTACGTTAGGGTTTCTAGGATAGAAAGCTTCCACGGTTCTTAAGGAAGCTTCGACTGGAGTCAAGTAATCCGGCTGTATACGGCGGCGAAGAGTGACTGTGCTTGAGGTTTGAGGAGGCCACTTCAACTTTTGCAGGAAGTACAGGAGCTGTGGATCAACGCGAGGAGGCAGCTCAATAGTCAGGCTTGGAGTCGACCCCAGGTAATCTGCCGCTTCCAATGATCGAATTAAGCGGATCAAAGAACCAGATGATTCGGAAGGTGCTTGTATAAGGATCTCAATGTGAACGTCATTCCATACTTTTGAGCAAGCCGTCAGTCACACGTTCGCACGTTGAAGAAAATGCCACGCAGTGGTAAGATCACCTTTGAGAGCATCGCAATCCAACATCGACATCCACATGATATACCTCGCAGCAGTCGGTAGTGCGATGTGCGTTAGCTCAGTCTTGCTAATCTTCCTTCGAACGCCTTCTGTGAAAAAGCGATCCTCCCAAGAGTCCCCTTGGGTAATGAGAACCTGCGCGCGGGTAAAAACATGGACGTAGTCTAAACCAGCCGTCACAGCTCTCTCCATGCGAGTCTCAGTAGACCATTGAGCATAGTCAGGTCGACTATCTGTAATTACAAGAATGTCAGCACACCGGGCTGATGAATCGGGTCCAGAGTAAACACACCATGCCAGACAATCGGACAGTCGACTTCCTTTATGCCATTAACACGCTGTATGCCTTCGATGGACACATCATCTCTTCCCATCAGCACAAAATGGACTTCATTTATCTTCTGATCGGCCATTCGGCAAGCGAGAGGCAGAAGATCGGAAACACTCCGCAGGTTTGAGCCAGCAAACACAACGGCACGACTAATGGAGCTGCCATGGCGAGTGGGCGGCTTCCAGAAACGTTGCAAGGTCCTCGCTAAAGCATTGAATCTGACTTCGCCTTCGTAATAAAAATCTTCCTTAATTATTGTCTGAGAATCTGGACGCGGAGGGGCCCCTTTTGCAGGAGTAACCGGTGAAGGCATTGCAGGCGGCAATGACTTTCCACTGCCTTGCCGTGCTTGCGCGAACTCTGGGTTGAATCGTTCGACTGCGGGAGGTACATCCGTAGGCATATTCTTAAAAAACAAGTATACTAAGTAGAGGATGATAATTCCTATTATGAGCCGGCGTGGTCGAGGCGCTCTCCATTGCTTTGCTCGCGAGTGCGGCTTTTTGCCATTGCGAGGTCGGTGGTCGTCATCCTTCTTTCCAAGCTCTTCATCAGCCAAATACGGCCGTTTCGACGGTAACATACTGTGCACATATGAGATATAGCCCCGAAGGAGCTTCAGAATTCGAGGAGTGCATTGGAGGAGGAAAGATGGTCCTGTAGTTGTCGTGATAAGGACACAATTGATAGCTGCTTGGGGGTGTTGGAGATTCCGCTGTTGGTTGGAGCGGAGTCTCCACCGCGCGATCTCCGCAAGCCATACTAAAGTGTCTTCAATCAACGCCCATAACCATAACTAGCTATTATTGGCCACAGTCATCAGCTTTTACCATTCGGAGAACTTATGTCTGTACCATATATTCCGATTTGCTATATTGGCGAATTATTTGGTTCCATCTCCAGAAGCAGGCCATGTTGCCGTTTGTAGACCGAAGCCATTAAGTGCAACACCCTTGGCGCCTTGAACCGATATCCGCGCAGTCATTTCGTACATCATGGATCGCGCAATGGATGTGGATGCCACTGAATCGCGAGGCACTAAGCGTCCCGCTGAAGACGCAGAAACAACCGCGAGGCCTAAAAGAATCAGAGTCAGTTCACTGAATTTACCCAGCAGACTATTAAATCGTTCAACTGATAGAGAATGAAAGCCTCTTGATCCCGATGTGGTGAACAAAATCGCTGCTGGGGAGATTATTGTGGCCCCTATGCATGCCCTGAAAGAGCTTATAGAGAACGCAGTCGACGCTGGCTCTACCTCTATTGAGGTCTTAGTCAAAGATGGCGGCCTCAAACTACTTCAAATCACCGACAACGGGCATGGCATTGACGTGAGCATCCCTTAAGACATCCAGATCATCTAGCGGTTACTAATGTTAGCGCGCAGCGGGATGACCTCCCCATTCTGTGCGAGAGATTTACGACCTCGAAACTGAAGCAATTCGAAGATCTCTCTTCCATCGGAACTTATGGTTTCCGAGGCGAAGCACTCGCTAGTATCAGCCATATCGCTCATCTCACAGTGACCACCAAAACGGCTGGTTCCAGCTGTGCATGGAGAGCTCACTATAGTGATGGGAAACTTGTCCCTCCTAAACCTGGACAGAGTGCCGCCCCGAAAGCCACAGCGGGGCGTGGTGGTACACAGATAACAGTGAGTCGAATTAACTCCAATGACCAAGAACATCCCTGACTGGAGCAGGTTGAGGATCTATTCTATAATGTTCCTTCAAGACGCCGAGCCTTCCGATCTGCGAGCGAAGAATACGCCAAAATCCTCGATGTTGTCGGCCGGTACGCCGTTCACTGCTCCGGGATAGCGTTCTCATGCCGAAAACACGGCGAATCTGGTGCTGGCATCTCGACACCTGCGGCAGCCAACACTGTCGACCGAATCCGCCAGATCCATGGTAGTGCCGTCGCCAATGAGCTTGTTGAATTTCAAGTTGAGGATTCAAAGCTCGGTTTTCGCTCGTCGGGCTTGGTCACGAACGCAAACTACCATGTCAAGCGGACGACCATCCTCCTTTTCATCAACCACCGCTCTGTCGAGTCTACTGCGATAAAACGCGCAGTAGAGCAAACCTATTCGAGCTTTCTTCCCAAGGGCGGACACCCCTTTGTGTATATTGACCTGGAAATTGAGCCACAGCGTGTTGACGTCAACGTGCACCCAACCAAACGCGAGGTAAACTTCCTGAATGAGGACGAGATCATCGAATGTATCTGCGATGAGATAAGAGCCAAGCTGGCACAGGTGGATTCCAGCCGGACCTTTCTCACGCAAACACTTCTTCCTGGGGTCACGACAACCGAGCCATTGAATCGCAACGATCCAGCCGCTGGCCCGTCAAGTGAAGGCGACGGCCAAGTTCCTAGAACCCCTGCTCCAACGAAGAAGCCATATGAGCATAGCCTTGTGCGTACGGATTCCAGAGTCCGCAAAATCACATCAATGCTACCTCCTGCGATACAACAAACGCCCTCCGGTGCTGAGGCGGAGCCCGACCCCTCTAAAGTAGTCGAAGAGGGATTGCAGTACGAGACCACAGACCGTGAACCCCTTCGAATTGCCCTGACGTCAGTCAAGAATCTCCGCGCTGCCGTCCGGTCTACCATGCACAACAATCTAACAGAGATGATCGCATCACATACATACGTGGGGTTGGTCGACGAACGACGGCGCATCGCCGCTATACAGTCAGGAGTGAAGCTCTACCTAGTTGATTACGGCATGATATGCAGTGAGTTCTTCTACCAGATAGGCCTCACGGATTTTGGCAATTTCGGCATCATCAAACTCGACCCACCCCCGAAACTTGTGGACCTGCTTCGAATTGGAGCAGACGCGGAGCGAGAAGCACATCTCGCTGCCGCCGGCCCGGCTCGAGCCAACAGACGACACAGCCTGAGCAAACAAGCACGGCAGAAGAAAGTGAGATCTTTGCCAATGCACCGGACCTGGTCGCAAGAACACTCATAGACAGACGAGAGATGTTGAACGAGTACTTCTCTCTTCAGATCTCCGCAGAGGGCGACCTTCTCACGATTCCCCTCTTACTCAAAGGCTACCTCCCATCATTGGGTAAATTACCACGTTTCCTGCTAAGACTTGGCCCGTACGTCGACTGGACAAGCGAAGAAGAATGCTTCAGCACGTTCCTGAGAGAGCTTGCGGCTTTCTACACGCCGGAACAACTACCCCCTCCCCCTCCTGACGGGTCAAATGCTGCTTCACGCGACAAAGAAAATCCAGAGTCCTCGGGAGAGCAGCAGGAGGACGCAGTTTTGAGGCGCCGTCGATTGCAGATAGCCCGGATGCTAGAGCATGTTATTTTCCCAGCGCTCCGGGCTCGTCTGGTTGCTACCACACGGCTTCTCCGCGGCGTGGTTGAAGTGGCGGATCTTAAAGGTCTATACCGCGTGTTTGAGAGGTGTTAACGCTAGACCTGAAATACTACACATATCTAACGCCTTCTCAAGAGCTTATGGAGCCGATCTTGGGCAGATTCAGACGCAATCTTCCGGATGATACTCTCTGCAGCCAAGATCTCATTATTGGAACAGGATCCAATTGGGTCAGAAAAGCTTGAGTTTGTGCATCGACGAGGCAACTAGATAAAGATACAAGTGAAGGGAAAAGAAAGTAAAAGAATCAGGTGATCAGATCCAAGGCGCAAAGCTTGGTATGTAGAATAAACAGTCTTGAAGACAAGGCAGTCATGCAAGAATCCGGTGTGCCTGCTAAATTGAGGCAAGAAAAGAAGAACAATGACGCATGTATCGTGCATTGACAGGCAACTCATGGCTTCGTCACTTGAAACCCCAAGAACGCCAGAACAATTAAAGAAATCCGTCGCTTATCTCACCATATTCCCATTCATCTCATCCAGTCCGTTTAAATTCATCATCAAAGCGTAAATCTTTGTCACTATCAGAACAGGCCAAAATTCTGGTAAGGAAAATGCCTAGAAGCAGACCCTGACGGAGATGGACAACTGTTCGCGCAGGTCAAGAGGATGCCGCACTTGCGGGTCGGCATCAGGTGTATGTCGTGTTGCAATTATCTCGAGTATGGCTTGTTCATCAATGCAATTTCCCTGGCTATTGAGGCCCATTCGAGTTCTCTTTTTATGGGCTTATTGCGTCTCTGCAGTAGCTGCTCTTCCCACTTAAGAAGCTCATACCTGAGGAATTCTGTTAGCCAGTGATGCGATCATACGTGAAATGGACAGCGGGGTTGCTTCTGCTGAGTGACTCCAGCTGTAGGGAGTGCTTACACGAAACGCAGATGAGGCTGAATGATGACATTGAGTCTTCGGGCACGAACGAAGCAGCTAAAGAGGTAAAAGTCAACAAAGGTCTGTCCTTTGTAGCAATCCATTTTTCACGACCAAGGGTAGAGCGTGACTTACTATGCTCTCGGGAAAGATAGGTTAAGAGAAGCCATCACTTCGGCAATACAGATTGTGGCTGATCGAGAGACTCCAACTCGGCAATGGACCAACGTGGCTGCTCCATCATGCTTCCCTTTCCCTGGAAGAATTGACTGGTGAGCCTTATCAAAAACACTCAAGGGAACCAATCAGAACTCACTGATGAATTCCAAGCATCGGTCGAATTCCTGAGTCAATGGGTCTATCCCATTGTCTTGAACCTGAGTTATATGCATCACGTTCTCAGGGCCCATCCGAGCAATGTCAAAATCTCTCCATGAGACTGACTCTCCAATGCTCAGAATGCGCCGAATTCCAAGAGCCCAGAGCATTTCAGGATTGTTGGCGTGGCCCAAATTGCCAAGATACATGTATGGGAGAATTCGACTCGGAAGTGATCCATCACAGTACCGGAACCATGGCGGATCTGGAACGCTGGAGAGACTCTCCGAGTGCGTCGCAGGACTCTCATGCAAAAGTCTTGTCTGAATGCTGCTCAGAAAAGTGACATCAGACGGGTATGCGAAGAAATTACGCTTCCTGTCGCAGTGAAGTCGCAGCCATGCCTCATGAGCCGCTATACCTTCAGCGAACATCAAGTAAGCGATGACCAATAGTGAAGCTTCAGTATAGCCGTCTGGACAGTGGATAAGAATCCTGCGAGGCTTCCGTCGAAGAGACGTCATGGCAATATCTCCATCAACATCTGTTGGGGATTCCGGCTCTTCTGGGTTCGCCAGATAATAAATCCATCGTATAGTGCTTACAAGGTCGTCTATCTCTCTTGTTTCAGCGGATGGGACAACAAGCGACCCGGAAGACGGGAATTCTAGCCGCAGAGGACTGTCGTCGTCATCCAGCTGCCTATTGAGTTTAGCCAGATATCGAGGGCCAGGGATGCTGGCAAGATCACTTGTCTCAATCAAAAGGTCAAAATCTTCGACATGCGCGGAGTCGCCTGATCCAGATCGCAATATGTAATCAGGCGTCGGCCCTTGCCAGACATTCTTAGAAATCTCAGAAGCTTTGGCCATCTCGCACATTTCCAGCCGCTCCCAGTGAACTGGGGATGTGTTAGACCTATCCCTCCAAAAGATAAACTCAAGAAGGGCTTACAGAAATCGACTACCTGGCCGGTGAGCTGGCCTTGAGAGTTGATAGCAACCAGGCGCGGACAACGGCGTTCAATTTCAGAGAATTCACCTATACGTTCGTTAGCTGCTTTTTTGCGGTAGATTTCAGTTACCAAGCCGAGAATGGACTGACTTGAGAGGATGAATGTATGGTAGGATGGGAAGAATCCATCTGGGTCATTCTTATTTCTCCAACGGTACTGTGCGGTGGCAATTTTCTCAGCAACTTCTAAGAGTTGCTTTCTATTCACACCGTCTTGGCCGTAAACAACAATGTCTGATAGAGTAGCCAACTTTGCGGTTTGTATCTGAAAATTGCGAACAGAGAATCCCTCCTTGGGATCACTTGGAATGAAATCCCAGCCGGACGGTGCAAGAATCTCACTGGGAGACACTGCGCCTTTGAGTCTGGATGTGCTAAGATCACCACCGACTTTGACGATCGTGATGCCTCTCCAACATTGGGGAGTCCGGCGAAGAGAACGTCTCCGGTTTGTGAAAAAGCCCAGTTGTAAATGATTCTCCGGGTGAAGTCCATGGAGCCAAGGAAATACCTGACTGGGGTCTGGTAAGGGTTGAGAAGCCCAATAATCCAAGGCAGCGGCTAAGGTTACAATGTCGATCGAGTATATCGGCGGTGAATTGGTCACACGCGAGAACGTGTCGGGAGGATAGAGAAGCGACGTGACCTCCTTATCGTCTTTCGCCGATTGTACAGCAGTCTGCGAAGCTGCTGTCGAAGTTCCCGACGGACACACTGGTAAATGTTTGTTTGGTACCGGCGACGGGGTTCTGGTGAGATTCAGGGATGAGGAGATTCCCGCTGGCGGAGGGGTGGCATGTCGCAGCGTTTGCTGCTGTACCAACACCGTAGCCATATTCAATGACAGCTGTGCAGTTCGAGTGTATATACCAGTCCAAAGTATGTTTCAATCAGTGGAATTGATACAGACGCACGGTCGCTGGCGATTAATAGTACATCTGCTGCACAAACATTTGCGACCAAATTTCCAACTTATGTGGATGGTAAGGAATGGATGAATGATGCCTGTGTGAGATAGACTTGTTAGCAGATCATCTGACGTAAAGACGAGACAATTGAACCGACATAAACGCAAGGTGACTTGCGTCCTGCGCTGCTCGGGAAGGGGTGGAAACAAACGAAGAGAAGCGGCCTAAAGCATACCCGGGTTCTCAAATACTACACTCTGAAGGGCAACTCTGATAGTTTCAAAAGACAATAACAATAGCCGGGAAGGAATACTGATGACTGAATCCAAAGTATTGTCGAATCGCGCGGATACGATGGCGTGGTGGTGAGAAGGATTCCCCAGTAGTTACTGTATCCCCACTCAGTAGATAGCAATGCGACGGACCCGCTGATAAGGGAGAAGCGGGAACTGGGTGTCACGTCCTTGGCGGGTGCAATGGTAACAATAAATTATATGAGAAGCCACCGAAGAAGATGTTGAACACTTGTAGGATGAGCTGGCAGATAGGAGATGAGTTAAATCTAGCGCTGTCTACTGCGTTTTCAATAATGAAAATAGATTAAACGATAGCCAGAAAGTCATTGCCTGGTGTCTTGGTTTTGTACGCCCAAAGTACGGGGGTGGGGAGGGGTAGTATCCGTGATCTAGTGTACAGTAGTCTCGCACTAGCAATTCCCGTGTTAGAGCGAATTGTGGATTAACTGCGGATGGCTCGTGCTTCCACAGTGGGTGTTGCTCTCCCCTCCAACGTCAAATCACCAGTCTATTATTCGATCGTTGCCCTTACGGAGTAAAACTGCATGAGACTGCACTACTGATGGCTTTTATGATTAAATCCTGCTTTCTGGTTAACTTTGAGCTCAATATATGGTCAAAAACTCACTTCTTTGGAGGAGCATCTTTGACCAAACCCCGTATCACCAAGTATCTACGGGAACCATATCCTACGTTGGGCGACTTTCTCGTCTCCCATAAGGCTGACTTGCCGCTTGCAGCCAGAAATGACACCCATCTTGTTTACACAGGCGCCGATGCTCTCTATTATAGATGCTTTGAAATAACATTCTATACCATCAGTCTGAGACTTCCCAGACTGAATCGAATGGCATCCAGCCCCGGTCTTTTCTGTGCCCCCCACCATTTCCAAACTCTCACATCATCCTTGACGCCAACAGTTCTTGGGTAACATCCAATAGGGACATCAGGAGCGCTTTCTCCCCCCCGGAAGCACTTAAGTGTGGTCCAACCAACATCAGTGCAACCTGCCAGAGGGAGGTTTGGAACCTAATTGTCGCCTCTCCTGCATGGCCACCAGAAACTCTGTTGTCGGATCCCGGCTTTTTGATTGGAGTAGGGGCGAATCCGTATTTTCTTCCCATTATTATGCATCGTGTATCTTCAGTCACTCGTGGATGATCGCAACTCGGACGCCATGGTTCTAGAGTGTGGATGGCGACAATCTGAGGAACGTCCATTGCGACGGAAACTATGACGACAAAATCTCGAGTTCTCTGTCCTCTCGGACATAGTTACCAGGTTTGCTAGGTGCTGCCAAAAAGTTTCACAACGACAAGGTAATGTCCAAGATTATTCCCTGCTGGGCTGCCGTTGTGCGATAGTGCAATCGCACCTGCGTCCGAGGTTCTCGAGGGCCGTATGTCGGTTACAATGGTTTCCTTCCCCTGCTAACTTTCTTCTTAACGGTCTGATTAAAGCTTCAGATTTAGAACCTGCAGGTCGCTTGCGCAATATGTACGTTCTGTAGCCTGCAAGCTTCGAAAACAAGAGCGTCAGTGGCACGCGACCTTGTTCTAAAAGCCTGAGCTGAGTGTTTGCTGTTCAACAATCCTATATACAATTCAATAAATCTGGGTTTACCCCACTCGGAAACTCCAATACCGGTCTAGCTTACATATGCGACGTGGATGGATGGACAACACACAACATTAGGACAGCTTTTCGGCACCACAGTTCATCGTCTTTTTATAATCCAGACTTCCCAACTATGGCTGTGGGGTTCCGTCTGACGAGCGAGGAATTGAACACAGAGCATTATGCTTGTGTGGCGCGTGCAACTCTACGTCGTTTCCACTCGCTAGCTTGATCTCCTCGGGTAGAAGGTTATGATGCTGCCTTTGGTCCCAACTTAGCACCGTTAGACGTTCGCAACCCTATCATGTTAACGTTACCGGGGAACAACAATTCTCGCGATGGCTATACCATACCCACTGAAAAACAAGCGACATGAGGATAAGCCAGACGACCAGCACCGGCAAGTTTGGATTTGAAAGTGCAGTAGTGCTCCGCTGCGATCTGCTGGCTGTATGACGAGCTAGCGCGCGGAACGCGATTCCGTTTGTAGCTTGAAGAGCTGGTATGAAACATCAAATGGACAACTAGACTTGTCCACGCGCAATTCAGCTATTTTTCAATGTCGCGAACACTTGGCCCCAATTATATTCCGGCGCTGTCTTTCAGTTCTTGCGCGAGCCTCAGCAGATAGAAGCGAGATATGTCAGATGGGAGACCGTCGAAAGACCTCACCATCTTCTGAATGTCAGCTCTGGCTTTCTCATAGGCCTGCAAGTCACGGTTGCCGTAGACGTCTCGACCAGCAGCATATCCTTTGGGCAGGCTGCGGAAGAATACATTGACTGCAACACTGACCCCGCCAGTTGGAGAAGCAGTATGCAGCCACATCGGTGGGATGAATAAAATATCGCCACTGTTCAGCACAGCTTCTTGCGGCGACGTGTGTGGAATTGAGACGACAGAGCCGTTTTTGATATTCTGGAAAATATCGGTGGTAGAGCTAGAGGCTCCTGGTGGCACTTGCAAGTATTGCACGTCAGTGGGAGGGAAGAGTACCAGTCTCCTCTCCCCTCGGATTTGGCATAAGACATTCGCCATCACCTGCGCAGAGTGATCAGCCACTCTGAGCTTCCATCCCTCATGTTTGGTGGTTGGACTTACATCGTAATGGAGCCACATAGTAACCGGCCCTGAAATTCTTAACGGAGAGCTGTGGGCATTTTCTGTCACGAATGAGAGTGCCTCAGGGAGTTTAAAGTCATCTTTTAGACCAGGGAAATCCGCCGCAAGGTTGGCAGGAAGCTTGGATGGTTGTTCAGCGGAAATGCTTCGGAGATACTGGCGAGCACCCGCATGAACCTCGTCCAAGAAGTCCCCGAAAGTCTTGGTCACATAGGAGAAATTCTTCGCCTGGAAATTCATGTTTTCCGACCGACTCTCATGAACCACGACCTATTTACGAATCCTTAGATGCGGGTACCGAATTGTCTCGACTCCGTCTTACCTTGCGATCACTTCCCACAGCATCTGTCAAATATTCCTTCGTCCAGAGTTCGGTGCAAGGTCCAATGTCTGACCCCTCAATGATCACCGGCTTGCCATCAGCCAAGATCTGCTGGAATTGCTCGGAGGTGTCGACTCGTATACGACGAATCGATGAGATTTTCGAAGTAGCGCTGCAGCCTGCGATTTGTGGAACAGTGGGAGATGGGACAGATGTCGGAGTATGCGTAGCTTCAGGAACAAGAGTCCAATCGTTCTGGGCTGTAGACCCGGCCGACCTCAGAACCCAGCTCCCTTCCGTCCAGAATGTGCCGAACGAGAAGCAAACTGCGCCACCTCCCAGTATCAAAACCTGGCCTGGGTCAATCGCACAGGCCACATGACCGACAAGCAACGGTCTAGGACCCTGCAAGTTAGCACCCAGTCCTATCGCAGACAGAATCTCGTGGCCCCAGGACGACTCGCTTTCGACGCATTTAAGGAGCTCTCCTACATCAAGCAACATGATTTCACATTCATATGGGACAATCTGTCGAGGAATAATTCCACCGACTATGACCATCCCCAAAGGAGTCCGTGTGACAGTGGATCCAAATCGGTGGATGTACTGACCCAGAGGTGTTTGTTGCAGGTGCTCGGTATGATCGGTCAACTCCAGAAACACAGAACCGTCACTGCGCTGGCATATCTTCCATATCCAAAAGTCTTCATTGATGATTCCGTCGGAGCCAATGCCTCCGAACAGGACGCCTGTGGTCCGGTTGATGCTCTCTAGACAGGCCCCAAATCGAGCAGGAGGTCTTGCGCCTTGTATCTCAACTTCCTGCCATCCGTTGCTGTTTGTTTGCCATAATAACCAAGTGTCAAAGATCGATCCGTCGCTAGATCTCCCGCCGTACACAAGGACTGAGTCCGAACCTGTCTCAAGGGTAATCTTGACCGCGCTGTGTCTGAAGCGAGGAGCTGGGAGACTCTGGGTGGACTGCCACTGCTTTCCCTGTCGCAACCAGCAATCTTGAAATGCGTTTGCAGGTGACGCTCTCCCACCAACGAGCAAGCAGTCACCACCGCTCAGGCTAGTCACCGTGTGACACATCCGCGCAGAGATCTCTCGTGGAGGAAATGGAAGCTGCGGGGTAGTCATACCCTTGCGCTTGCTGTAGAGATCTGTCGACACATCGCGAGTCTGACGGCCTAAACCCGAATGGTGACCCATAGAATTTTCACTGTCCGGGATGAGGGCCCCGAACCTCCTCTGCCCGCCTCTCGGGTCGTTGCCCGCAAGCAGCACATATTGTGAGGATACATCGGGCTCCTTAGTAAATGTCGGCGTCTTCTGAGACTCCTGAACAGAGGTAGGTGGTTTCGTAGAAGCGACGAGCAAGAAGTAATGCGAGGCAAAGAGCGCAAACTCTTCCCACTCATCGAACGGTTCGACTGTATCAAGCCATGCTCGTAGAGAACTTCCGAGAAATTCCTGATCTGACCAGAGATCCCAGAGACTTCTAGCCTGCGCATGTGCCCAGCCGGCATTTCTAAATCGATGTTCTTGCTCACTTAGTGAAGGATATTCGTGGATTGAGTACAAGGGCGCTCCGAGTTTGTTGAAGTGCTTCATCATTGTTGAAGCAAAAGGATGATTGGGTCCGTCAGGGAAGAACTGTTCCAATATACAGAACTGAGAATCTGAATACCCTGTTAGCTTGACGGCAATGATATGGTAGATTGGCGGTATTAACCATTGTTGAGCTTTGAGGCCCAGTCCAACACAGCATTGGCAGACTTGACATCCATGTAGGTCAGAGAGACCTCTGCCAGGAACAGAATAGAGCATTCAGACGGAAGGACCTCTGTCTTCAGCACATCATCTAGCTTCTTGAGGTTCTTCAGATCACAACCAATCGCCAAGTATTGCTCGCTGCGGATCTGGATTGGACTTTCATCCGAGAGAAATTCTACATTCTCAAGAAGCTGGGTAATCTCGTCTGTCCTGCGAATGGCCGTCTTCTTGCTGACCATCAGCTTCTCATAGTCGATATCCACGAACCTCGTGGTACTACACAAGGATTTATCGGTACTCAGGAGTATGAACGGTAATGGATCACTACGATAGCCCAACTTAGCATACGACTCAGGCGGACATTTCCCCTTCGTCCGATCGGCACAGCGGTAGTTCTCTACGACTTACAATCCACATCCAAGATTCAATACGAATTTGGGTTTATCAGACGGCTGCCTCATAAACCGCCGAACCGACTCCGCCATAGCATGCATGCGAAGCCAGTATCCACGATTGATCAAAGGCGATCGTCTCGGGGGTTTCTTCACGAAATATCTGAAGAAATGGGGCTTGGTGTAGTATAGTAATTCGACGCTCCGCTTGGACACAATGCTGCTATTATTAGTCTAGGTGGAAGGAGTCAGTGGTATGTGCGCGGAGACGGCTTCAAGAACGACTTACTCCCATCACCAAATCAGCCTCTCGTTCAGCCTTGGTGCTGACTCCAGCCGTAGCTGGTTTCTTTGCAGCCTTCATTCTGGATTCAGCAACCAACAAAGGACAAAAGAAAGCAGACAGTCACAATCAGTAAATTGTGAAATTACCATTCATCCATAGAGGGCCTTGAGGACCAAAAAATTTACCGTATTGCGGAGCAAGATGTGGCCCAAGCGCCCAATGCTCGCTTAGCGCGTTTCGCCCAATTGTGCAGCGAACCGCGGCAGTGAAAGCAGTTCAGGCGATCCCCCGCGATCCTCCGCGAATGAGAGCTAGTTTCCTGCCAAGTTCCAAAGACACCGCTCTGGTTTGAAATGACGACAGTGTCCACAGCTTTTTGAAGGAAGTCTGCTTTTACATCTGTGTATGAGATCAACCGTGCCAGTATCTCCTGAGAGACCCGAAATGCAAACCCGGAGCTGTTTGTGACGAACCCGATCTGCTATGAGACCCCGTTGATCTGCTGTTCTCTTCTGCCCTTCCTCCATCCTCATATACGATTTCGGAGCGTGATTCAGCGGGGTAGCCTGTCTGTTCTAGTGTCGCCGGTGACTATCAGAGTATACAAGACGGATATTGGATTGATCAAAGGAGATATTCAGGCGGCTTGGTAGCCTATCGGGGTCAAGATGGCAATGAACTTCGTGACCTTCAACCAAGACTACAGCTATCTGGCTGTTGGTAAGCGCCCCTTGGGAACTCTTCAAGCGCATGCGCACGCTCTAAGGCTCTGTATTCCCTCCATCAGCGACCTCGAAGGGTTTTCGCATATTCACGACGGACCCTTTCGCGAAGAGTTATGAGACGAAAGAGGGAAATATTGCCATCATCGAGATGCTGTTCTCGACATCTCTTGTTGCGCTGATCCTCTCACCGCGTCGTCTTCAAATCACTAATACTAAGGTTCGTAGTTCATTACTGGTCAACTGTACATTCTTGAACTCTTTGTTTCCCGATAGACACGAGGGGCGGAGTCATGCTGTTGAGTGCGCTTTTACTTTGCGGCATATGTTGACGCTTTCTGCTTGGCTATTTGCCTCATATAGCGCCAATCTACGATATGCGAATTAACCTTCCCCACGACCGTGCTGGCAGTCAAATTGAATCGGAAACGACTCGTGATTGTCCTTGAAGATCAGATCTATCTTTACGACATTCAGACGATGAAGCTGCTCTACACCATCCAGACGTCGCCCAACCCCAACGGTAAGCGATGTATTCCGCTCTTGCCTTTAGTCGAGCATTTTCTAATGCCAGACAGCGATCTGCGCGCTATCACCGTCGTCTGACAATTGTTACCTCGCATACCCTCTTCCACAAAAGGCACCGCCTTCTTCGTTCAATCCGCCGTCTCATACTCCCCCGGGAAATACTCATGTATCGCCGACAAGCGGAGAGGTTCTGATATTCGATACTTTAAAACTGGAGGCCATAAATGTCATTGAAGCTCACCGATCTCCGCTGGCTTGCATCACGCTCAACAGTGATGGCACGCTGCTGGCCACCGCTTCTGACAAGGGAACCATAATCCGCGTATTCTCCGTTCCTGACGGCCACAAGCTATACCAATTCCGACGCGGTTCAATGCCATCGAGGATTTTCAGCATGTCATTCAATACCACATCGACCCTGCTCTGCGTCTCCTCTTCTACAGAGACAATACACCTTTTCAAGTTGAGCCATCCAACATCATCTCCAGACGCCTCCCCTTCCTCTCCTGTGGGCCGTGACAGGTCCCTCAGTCGAAGCTCCTCCGGTTATTCTCCTGACCGCGGCGACCTGACGGGAGACGTGGGCTCATCAGATTTCCCCGCCCGGAAACATAATGGAACACTGATGGGTATAATCAGACGGACCTCGCAAAACGTTGGCAGTACTGTCGCTGCCAAAGTGGGGGGCTACCTTCCGAAAGGAGTCAGCGAAATGTGGGAGCCGACCCGTGATTTTGCTTGGTTCAAACTGCCAAAGCCAAACCAAACTCCTGGTGGCAGCGGGAACAATGGCCCTCTCCGCAGCGTGGTTGCTATGAGTAGCAACACACCCCAGGTCATGGTGGTTACCAGCGATGGTAACTTTTATGTATTCAGCATCGATCTCTCGAAAGGCGGCGAAGGTACGCTGACAAAACAGTACTCGTGAGTTTACCTGTCCAAACATTTCAGACTTCGAATGTGATATTGACTCGTGCTACAGGGTGCTTGAGTCGAACGATCGGTTGGGATACTCTGCAACGGATTACTGAATCTGATTCATTTGATACCACTCTTTTAGCGGCACTTCATCTCCATTTCTCCATACATTGGTTTTTATACATTGATTTTCAAGCGGCGGCTGTCACTCTGTGCTCTTCTTTCTCTTTCTCTTTTTTTGGCGTCAGATATACCGAAAGGCTTGCGCCAATAAAGGAACAATCCTGGGTTATGACACTTTGTAGCCCTTGGATACTTACCGATGATTCAGTGTCTCCCACTACATGATATATTCGAATTCAGGGCTCGCCACTTGCAACAATCGATATGACTACGGTAGGTGACTCATACACTCGCAAAATAACGTCTGTGAGGTGGTTTCTTCAATGTAGTTCAGTGTTATACATCCAACGATGCCTAAACGGTCGACCATCTGAGTACCTTGTATAGAAGTCACATGACATAGGGCGGTGCTGAGAATGAAAATTATCTCCGAAAGATGACTCGAGCAATTTTTCCATTAATACGAATTCATACGCAGGGTTCAAAAAATGAGTTCCTGATCACTAGGTCAACATCATCGCAAGTGCTCACATACTGTTGAGGCAGTCAGCATCTGCCCAAGTGGCAGGACAATATGCATTCCGACTATCCAACGGATCACACTACAGATGAGCATGTCAAGAAGCCTACAAACCACACGCGGGAACCTAAACGTCGAGCAAAGTGCTCAAATCCGCTCCGAAGAGGCATACAGGATTTTGTAACAAAACATATACCCTCAGACGACCTTGCCAAACATGGTCTGTCACCAGAGAACCTGGAATCAGCCTTTCCGAAACGGTTCACAGTGTACGAACCACTGCTGCTGCTGCCAGTGAACGCACTCAGCGATCCTCCAGCCTGGGGCTCGCTTTACGCAAGCCTAGATAGCCAAAAGCGAGCGTTCCTCTTTGAGTCGATTGCTACGGCATTCGAGCGTATGGGCGTTACTCATATTGCTATGAATGCGCCTATCGCGCCTACAAACACGCAGGGAGCAGAGAACAGGATGCGCAGCCCTGCGGGACTGATTCCTCTCTACGGAGACTTTGGCCTGGCGCCGTCTGGGGACGGTGAGAATGGGCAGCCGACGCGGGAAGACTTGCAGCGTGCGTTCTGGGTGCAAACTATGCAGAATCAGGGAATTGTGCAGATCTGGGCCCCGCTTTATACGATGTTTTCTCGAGGGAACATCACAGAGAAGGCCCGGATTCTCGGTCAAGGATCGGTGTTTGAAGGGCTTGATGAAGGTACCCTTGGAGAAAACATCGACGATATCAGCGTGGTTGATATGTATGCGGGTATTGGGTATTTCGTCTTCTCGTATCTGAAAAGAGGGGTGAAGAGGGTCTGGGGATGGGAGATCAACGGGTGGTCAGTCGAGGGTTTGAGGAGAGGGTGTATAGAGAATGGATGGGGGTGCAAAGTGGTTCAGGTTGGGGATGATGGAACATTAAGTGAATCGATCCCGGATCTGATTGGCAGTCTTCAAGATTCAGACAGGGTGGTCTTGTTCCATGGGGACAACAAATTCGCCGCTCGCGTTATGAGCGAAATCAAAGGGCACAGGGAGCGCCGAGATGCATGGAATAGAATTCGACATGTCAACCTGGGTCTCCTTCCTTCATCCAGCGGTGCTTGGAGTGACGCTTGCGCAATGATCGATCTACAGTTGGGAGGTTGGATACATGTGCATGAGAACGTGGATGTGCAACATATTGATGCGAAGAAGCAGGAAATCATCACTGAGATCGGCAGATTGAGAGCGTTAACCTTCCCAAGTGATGTTCACCAGCCTATTGAATGCCGTCATATCGAGCATGTCAAGACATATGCACCAGGCATTATGCATTGCGTCTTCGACATCAAGTTACCTCCGTCAGGAGACGCACCTCCTACGAGACTCGAGCTAAGCCGAATGTCGAAGCAGTCTCAATCCTGAAGTCAGATGCTACGTCGAGAGAGTGGCTATCGCACCTCATGAGAATGAGACTGTCTCACCTGTGAGTTCCAAAAGGAAGAGTATGGATTTCACCAGCTCATGTCGTGTAACCGACCCGCGGACTCTCTGATAACATGCACATATATACAACACGACAGATATCAAACTGTACATCTCTATGTCCGTCTGAGAAATTTCTGCGGGATGTTCGCCTCGACAATCGCCATTCGTTCCAGTTGTTCAAGTCTATCCGCGGCATCTTCTTCCTCGTCATGTCTTCGGAAATGCTCGATATCTTCCGGATGGGTGAGATCTTCTAACTTGGCGTCCTCCCCGTGAAATTTCTCGAAATGATGGATTTCATACTCGTATTCAATATCACCATGGTGTCCAGGACCGAATCCGAGATCGGGTAACCGTTTACCGGCTGAGATGAGACGCATCCAGTTGTCGCGAGTGATAACCCCTGAGCTCCCTGTGTCGAAAAGGGCAAACACTTCGCGAAGCGCCTGTTGCTTGCGCTCCTCGGTCACCCCAGAATTTGACTCGTCGTCCATGCCATATGTCTTTCGGACTTCATCAGGGGTCCATGCGCCGGAGGAATCGTAGTCGTGAAGGGTGAAGAAAGAACCTGCGTCGAAGGAATCGATGTGGTGTTCCTCTGTTGAATAAATTGTCAATGGCGGTTCCCAATGGAATAATGACGACGTAGAGAGCTACCTTGCATATGGCGAGTCGCCCAGTCTGAGGAAGGGTTCTGCTGGCTCGCATGCGATCCATGAGCATTGGCGAAGCTGTTGCTTAAAGCCAGCAGCGCAGTTGCAAGGCCAATGGAGCGGACAAGCATTGTCGACAAAGCTGCTTAAATGACAATTCCGAACACAGGATGTACAAATCCCAGATACTTACAGATCAGAATGTATCCAGTATCAAAAAGGCAAATAATGATAAATGAGACGAGAAACAGAGCAATGGCTTGTCCACATCTCCTCAACTACTTGGCTGTTTGCATTGTTTGTATCAGGGCCCTCCGCCTTTTTTTCCCGGCTCGAGAAAGAAATCCGCATACATCGTGCCATCGCCGGGGTCTTGGACTCACCATCGACTATCTTGGCCTGCGCACTTTTCAAACGCCATTGAGCCGGAGAGGCACCTCGATTGACATTGACTCGACCACCGTATGCTTTATCCGAATGAGTTCCGCTTAGAAATGCCACGATAATGCAAAGTCTATGGTCCCGCGTTGCTCCGACGCAGTCGACCTGTCGATGCGTTCCCTGCCTCAGTACCAGTGCACCCGGAATAACGTCCCGAGCAGCGACCGCAGCAAGCAAAAGACGCCTTCGCATAGGGAATTCGGTCACGGCGCTGTACACCAGCATCTTTGCTGCCGCAGCTTTGGCAGATGCTCGGGCCAAGGACAAGCGCCGACATGAGTGGGCCGAGAAGATCGCAGCCGTGAAGGAGGAGGTGAACGAATTGGTGGATGAAGAACATCGACTACTAGTGGCCATTCAGGCTCGGAGGTCGCGCACACTGTCACAAGGAGCTTTACAAAAACGATCATTTACGACCTGGAGATCGATACCAACGCCCAGAAGCGACCAATGGCTCCAAAGAAATCCTCCCAGTCGTTTGGTCCATGCAGCACGAGGTCCTGATCTTGAGGACGACGAGGAAATAGTCCTCCAAAACAATGAGTTCGAGTTAGCCACTCCTGGAAAACTTCAGGAAATAATTGAGAACGAAGGAGATTTAGATGACGACAGAATAGAGCTGGAAGATGGTTTCTTCCCTGAAGATAAGGAAGTTCCGAAATGGCTGTCGGACAATACAATTCGACAGAAGGCCATCCGGAAACTTGCAGTGAAGCAACTAGCGATACGACTTTTGCTTCGCGAGTCAATCGCGCACAGTTATTCGGGTATTGCGATGGACCACAAGGCCGACTTTGAGATGCCCCAACTTAATTTCGCAGAGTTGTTGTCTGAACTGAACAAACTTCGACGCAGGATTCGCCTTTTGAAAGTCACTGAAGGTGCATACTATGACGATCTGGCGCATGATCTCCGCGTGCGGTCGACTACGGAGCTGAATATGGAGCGTACGAGACTCGACGATGAAGCAGCTCGAGATGTCTCGTTGTTTCTCAGAAACAAGATGTCGCTACAGGAATTAAATCTGCGATTAGCGAATAATCTACTTCAATCTTTGGATCCTGACCGACCGTATGTCATGAAGCTGATGATATTAGCTTTCACCAGGTCCATGCAAAACGATCTTACGGACCTGGTGCTCAAGACGGTGTTGCCGCACAGGTTTCAATTGAACTCTTCTCTCATCATTTCCATTTTGACCTATTACAAGAAATCCAAAAACCTCAAAGCGTTTGATTCGTTTTTGAAAGTGCTTCGGGGTGAAGGCTACCCGGTGGATCTGGGCAAATTGGGTTTTTACAAAAAGATGGTCGTCAATGGCGTGGAAATAACTATTCCCCCCGTGGCCAGTGCTAATCCTGTCATCTATTCGACGTTGATCACAGCAGCTTTGCGCTTCGAACAAGTGGATCGAGCTGATGCCTGGCTTCAAGCCGGGAGGAAACACGGCTTCACGGACGATTTCTCGACCCTGTACGCCTATCTGAAGTATTATGCCAGAAGGGGAGACTGGCAAAACGGGCTGTATACACTCAGGAGATCGCTTGCCTTCCTAACTGGTTCAACGCTACACTCCGATCGGCATATCGAGAGACTGATTGTGCACATGGTGCAGCTTTGTGACTGGTGTAAAAAATGGGACCTATCCGATGCGATGATCTCAGCCGCAATCGAAAGCGGCTTTGATTGGAGTTCCGCGACCACAAATCAACTTGACATCCAATTTGGCCGAGATCCTCGCCTCCATTATTGGCAGAAGAGGGTCGACCAAACGACAATAGACAAACGAAGTAGGCCTGCATGGGAAAAGTCTTTTGCCTTTGCCAAGCTATTTGGGGAGCAATTAGAGGATCTTGTTTCATCCGAGGATCAGGATCCCGCCGCCCACTGGCAGAGAATGGTTGCCCTGCATTCTCGGGAAGTGTTGTCAGCTATGTCTGGCCCTCTCCGTAAACTCAAAGACACAAAACCGATCGAATCGGCTCCCCAGCCGATCCTCAATCCTGACGATTTCGACTTCGTTGAGCATGTCGGTTCCGACCCTATTGAAGAACACGAAAGATCCGCTGAGAAGACGCCGCAGGAGGAAATCGACTATCTGAAATCGGAGGTGCGGGAATTGAAGCGAATGGTTTCGCAACTACGTCCCAGGCTAGGAGCCTGGCGGAAACGTGTGGGTGTCTCAACTGTGGCTTCCACCGGCGACGGCATAGACCCTCCAGAGGGAAAACAACACAACCTACAGAGCGCCACTGTTCACTGAAAGTGGTGGATCCGAAGCCGGTGGCTGGAGTAGAATGGTCATTCAAGTAGTGATCGCGCGCGTTGTTTGTGATGATACATCAAATTACCTGTATAATATTATGTCGGATAGGTATAGGACTTGGAATGATGATGCCGTAACACCTGCTTCACCACTCTTGATGAGTTCTTGAGTTTTGGGTCGCAGAAATACATCTACCAGACATTCCCATTATTAGCGTTTCAAGCAGTTGTACTCTCTCTCTACAATCATCAGAGGGCATATAGTGACGAAACGCCGCCGAATATACATACATGTCAGGCAAGTCTACTCTAGAATGACTGAAGTCAAGATGGCGCCATGAAATAAAAGAAATGGGGAATCTATTTTATTCTCGAAACCAGGATAATCTATCGTCTCTTTGCAGAGTCTCCGCGCATCTTCTCTTTGCGCGATAGTCTCTCTGCGGCGCGCAGCAAGGAGGATCGGATCTCGCCCTTGGGGAAGGTTGAGATATCGTAGTATGTGGGAGCGATATCCTAGAGAGAGGTTGTTAGTACATGCTCGTTTAATGATAGTACTGGGACGGAGACGACATACAAGGAGCCATTCGGGTTTGACGGCGGTCACAGTCCGAATGTAATTCTTAGTGGTGAGGACGAATTCGTTATAGAGAACCCACTCGGCTTCATAGCCGAGGACGGTTGACGGGTGCAGAAGAACACTCTGGTTGTCCTTGACGGTCGTATAGACACTCTTTCCCTGTGGTTCCTTCTTTGCGACCTGCATGAAGAATCCCGCGCACAGCGCACGCCGGATGTTCTCGTAGTATTTCTTGTCTTCGAAAGGAGTCGAGATCATTTCTAGCTCCTCGCGCTCCATGATCCTCAGGAGCTGCATACGAACGTTGTCTGCCGATTGGAGAGATCTGAGGGAGAGGTAATGATCGTGACACCACTGCTTTGGATTCTCCTGGGCTTCCGGACTCTTGAAGGCATGATAGGCGTTCAGAAGAGTGAGGTGGTCACCATCGGGATGAGCGAAAAGATTCTTCATCTCGTCGGCGCGCTTTCTCTGCGAGGCGGGCCTCACGAAAATCTGAGGAACCGAAAGCAGAGCTGTGATCGACAGAATCTCATTTGAGCAGTAGAACTCGGGAGAGCTGATCAGCATGACGGCAAGCGCGGGGTCAAGAGGAAACTCGGAGGCAAGGCGGCCCAGCGGTGTCAGATTGCCGTCGTCATCAAGGCAAGCTAAATAATTCAACTCTTCCAGAGCTCTCATGAGAGTCTCGGGGGCGGGAGGGTCCATCAGGTCAAAATGAACCAGATCATCGATTCCCAACTTCTTCAATTCTAGCACGGTCGAAGAAAGGTTAGATCGGAGAATTTCGGGGTAGGTCTGATCAATCAACTCCTTCTTGAAGGCACTCTCCGTGTACAGACGGAAGCATTTTCCGGGGCGCGTACGACCCGCACGACCAGCTCTTTGTTGAGCGGAAGCCTTGGAGATGGGAGACACGAGAAGTGACTCGACCCGAATTCGGGGGTTGTAGATCTTCTGTTTCGAGAATCCCGGATCCACCACGTACACGATTCCGTCGATGGTAAGAGACGTTTCTGCAATGTTCGTCGAAACAATCACCTTACGGCCAGGACGACCGCCCGGCCTGCGAGGGGGAGGAGCGGGCTCGAAGATACGCTGCTGCATGTGCGGAGGCAGACTGCCATAAAGCGGATAGACTTTCAAGGGACCAGCGTCGGCTTCTCTCACCATCTCGTCCGCCTCAAGCGATATCTTGCGCGCAGCATCTTCGATTTCTTCCTCACCGGTCAGGAACAGAAGGACATCACCATCTGGCTCTGTGGCGTGGATTTGAAGGACAGTGCGAATGGCTGCTTCTACGTAATCTTGTTCCGGTTCGGGAGTATAGAAGATCTCGACGGGATGAGTACGACCGGGAACGGCAAGTAGAGGAGCGTCGTTGAAATACCGCTGGAACTTTTGCGCATCCAAGGTGGCGGACATGATAATGATCTTCAAATCGGGCCGACGCTGCACAACTTCTTTGAGAAGACCCATAAGCACATCGGTAGCCATGGTTCTTTCGTGAGCTTCGTCAAGAATAATTGTGCTGTAGCGTGTAAGGTCATGATCATGCATAGCTTCTCTCAGAAGCATACCATCCGTCATATATTTCAAGCAGGTCTTGGAACTTGTCATGTCCTCGAAACGGATACTGTAACCAACTTCCTCTCCAAGCTTAACATCCAATTCAGCAGCCACACGCTGAGCAACGGACATGGCAGCGACTCGACGAGGTTGAGTACAAGCGACCATTTTGCGCTGGGTTTGCGGTAAATCATCGAACAAGACGAACTGGGGGATCTGTGTAGTCTTTCCGGAACCAGTCTCACCGACGAAGACTAGGATCTGGGACTGCTGGTAAAGCTGCAAAAACTCATCTCTTGAACATAACAGTCAGTTATTTATAACCAAAATTCCTCATCTGAGTCTGAACGGGCTTACCTCTGCTGGTGCACTGGAAGATCACGACGAGTCTGCAAGATAGAGAAGTACTTGCTGGAGAAAGGTTGGCCGGTAAAAGGATTGATCTCCCCATCCTCTATCTCCTTTGCTAGTGCCGCTGTCGTCTGATGCCTCTTCAACTTCGAGAAAGCAGGATTCGTCCCTGATGAGTTCGAGTTGCCGTTGGTAGACGCATCCGCATACATATGAGCCAGGTAAGGATTGTTCCTGGGATCCGTCTCTGTTTTGTCCATCTTCTGACGCTTAGCACGCGAGCGATCTTCAGAGTCTGAGCGCGAATCGACCATGGCGATATGAGTTCTGCAAATGAGTGGAGTTGCGACAGTGAATGAGATCGCCTCTGCAGACGAATTCAATCATAATCTTACTTGAATAATTATCGGGCGGCAGAATAATAATTTTGGCGAAAAAATGATCTAACCCAGATAGGCAAGTGTCGCCGCCACATCGGTGCCTTTTGTCAGTGTTCTCACCGCCTGGCGATTCTGCCACACCCCTCCCCACAGAAAGGCAGGGGGATTGCCGTGTCTGTTTTTGGAGCTGCCTATCTAGCGCTTGGACAATATTAATACCTGGGTGCAGCTCTCAGAAGCGAGGAGGCTCGTTGACTGAGCGACTGGCCCCCTGTCACTTGTTCCCTCATCGCGTATATGTGCATCTGAAGTCGCATTGGGAGAACCTGTTTCTACTGTCAATTGATCTGAAATGCGGGACTAATCTTCTAGGCATATATTATCATCTCAACAATTGGGACCCTCAACAGCTCGTCAATTGATCTTCACTAAATCATATTCTCTGGGGGAACTCTAGAACGCGCTGTTCTGTATAGCTTGCGAAGATGGATTCAGAAGATTTGGCCCCCGCATTCTGCATTGGTCAACATGAAAGCAACCGTACCATACCCATCACCACCCAGATCGTGCAGTCGACACACGAGAGTAACGTACGTACCCGTCGATCCGCCGAATTGTCTGGCCTGCTAACAGTTCGATGTTAGTATGATATGCTTACGACGCCGATAACCACTCCTCACTTTCACTCTCGAGTCCTAAGTCTGCTCTCTGGTCACTTGTCTAAGTTGCAGGCAGTATCGTCCGATCCCAATGGTACTCTGGCGACAACTGAGAATACGAGACCTGTGGTCATCCCTCCACTTGGCCCATCAGACACTCATCTCACTCCGAACCAAACGATGAGCCAGTTGATGGGTGTCACTAGCCCTTGGATTGACCTTTGTTCCCCCGATCCATTGATTGCAGATATCTCCCGTCAAGTTCTTATGTTAGAAGTGGCATATGCAGCTTTCTGCGGCATTGGCTATCTCCTGATCCCGGGACCGAAGCTCCACCATGGAAATATGCACGCAGAAGGCGTGATTTTCTACGCGAGAGCAGTTCAAGATGCCATTAATCTGGGTCCATATATTCAGTTTCACGTTTGGCTGAGAATTGTGGACAACCCAGATCTGGAAGTGAATAGTATGGGCGACCTCGCTCCTCTTGGCCGTGATGAGTTCCTCTGGGGTTCCGATGATGGGCAGTCGCTCAAGGTGGACCTGTTTGGGACGTGGGATGCTTGGGACGTAATTAGAAGAACCTGTAAATATCACACGAGACTCTTCGTAGGTAAGAATTTATTTTCCGTTTCTGCAGCCCTTGATGCGTTCTTACATCTGTGACTATTTCCAATTTGCCCTGTTGCTGAAACCTATACCGACAGCACTATCCTTACCAAAACAACTTCCTCCAATGTCCGTCCAGTCTCGCTGGCATTCCGAGCCAGTTCACCTGCTTACTATGGACGCCAATACTTTTATCAAGAACCAGAAGGGCTACCCTGTCCTATCGAAAGCTCACCAGGCATTGATTTCTAAGTTCATGCGTCTTCGGACGCCCCCGTGGATTCTCCTCTGCGACGTTGGCCCTATTCCGGGAGTAGAGGCAAGTGAGGTGTCTGAGGCGACGCAATCGAACCTGTCCAGCTCTGAATATCCAAGTCTCTCGCAAGCCGCGGTCTCGAGCAAGAAGTTCATTGATCCGACACCTCATTTGTCATATATCAGAAATCTCCAGCAACGCCAACCACCTCGCTCTGCTATCGAGAGATTTGGCATGGGTTATCAAGACTACCTTCAGGCGCCACTACAGCCCTTGACGGTCAACCTGGAGAGCATCACATATGAAGTTTTTGAGAAAGACCCTATCAAGTATGAGTGGTATGAGAGAGCCATCGCGAAAGCCCTCAGCGACTGGGCCGAGCAGAAGAAGCCTACCTCTAACCCGGATGGTCGGGTGGTACTCGCTGTTGTGGGCGCCGGCAGAGGGCCGTTGGTAACACGAGCGATCCGAGCAAGCGCTGAAACAGGCGTCGATATCGACCTTTGGGTCGTGGAGAAGAATCCCAACGCGTTTGTCCTCCTTCAACGCCACAATGAGGAACTCTGGGGCGGCAAGGCAACCCTTGTTCAGTCGGATATGCGTAGCTGGAAAGGGCCCCAAAGGGCGAAAGATTCCGGCTTACCCCTGGCCACAGTTGGACAGTCGCTCGGTATTGAGGATTCGCTTCTCTATAAACCAGAACCAGATCAAAAAGGCAACACGCCCGCTCCTGAATCTGTGAAGAGCATGACATCGTCCGACTTATCTTCTGGTCAAATTGATATTGTTGTCTCAGAGCTTCTCGGCTCCTTCGGGGACAATGAACTGTCACCGGAATGTCTGGACGGTATCACTCATCTACTCAATCCTGTGCACGGCATCTCCATTCCGGCCTCGTACACGGCCCATCTCACACCCATTGCGGCCCCTAAGCTGCATGCGGACGTTGTGAACCAGTCTATATCGAATCCAGCGGCCCCGGAGACACCGTACGTTGTCATGCTACATGCCATCGACTTCTTGTCCACGAATCAGCCGTCTGCCGGCACCACGTCGGGCGACAGCGGCAACAGCTATATCAGTAATACTCGATCTTCTATATCGACCATCCCAGTGCCTGAGTCTACAACCCCTTATGTGCAGACGGCGTGGTCCTTCTCGCATCCCAACACAGATATTCCTCCTCAGTCGCCTTTTACGTCCATCATCTCTAACTCACACAATGTTCGCCGCACGCGCCTGGCCTTCCCTACTCAGAATCGTGGCGTCTGTCACGGCCTGGCCGGTTACTTCGAGACTGTGCTCTATCGAGATGTGGAGCTATCAACAAATCCCGTCACGATGGACAGCAAGAGCGCTAACATGATCAGTTGGTTTCCCATATACTTTCCACTCAAGGTGAGAATTCATGCACGTCTTTTCCGAGTACTACTCGCATCTAACAACGGCTTCTAGACACCTCTCAATGTACCCGACAACGGGGAGATTGTTGTCACTATGACTAGGCAGACCGATGACCGGAAAGTTTGGTACGAGTGGATGGTCGAAGTGTTCGCTCTGGAACGCATTGCAGATGCACCGGCAATGGAATTGCCCGTCATGAGCGGCGCACGGGCGGTGTCTCCAGCTGCAGACGATGCCAGCGGCAAAGACAATGGCACCGACAAGCCACAAAAAGCTGGAAAGCACAGCGGTTTTCGACGTGTGAGGGTTGGAATGAGTGATTTGCACTCGAGTATCAAGGAAGGGTGTCTGATGTAATAGGCCTCATGTCACTGTCGATTCCCATGGCAATGTACGGTCGCTTCTGTGTCGGCAGACGTGAAGTGACTCTGGGCTGAAATAGGAGCATCTGTGAAGCAGAAAGCAGCAGACCAAGGGGTCATGGATATCTACAATCAGCGGGTATCTACTGTCCACTGGGTATCTAGAAGCGGCTACCTTAGACTAAATTCCTTAGTTTCACGGTCCTGGCTCGAGCCAACGAGAGACCTTGGCATTGAGTGCATTCATTGTTAAATGAAGCTACTCCGGTCTCCAGGCCGTTGCTGATTTGCCCTCAGAGTAGCTCGCAGCCTCGCTTAGGTCAACCCATCTCAGAATTCTCGAATTAAAGTCAGCAGGCTATCCGCTAGACAGATCACTAAGAAGCAAGCTCTCCTCGGAATACGACCCGTGCTAAAACCGGAAACGCACTAAGGCACGGAGTACAATTGTGCAACTGCTCCTGGTCTCTAGTTCGGAGTAAGCTTACTTGGAAATAACCTACATACAAGTGGGATAAGTTGTCAAGCGGTGGCCGTACGCCGACGCGAGACTGTGTAAAGTGAGACAGAGTCTAGAAGCCTAGAACACTAGACACAAATCATAAAATCGAGCTCAATCCGGGTCATCCTTCGAGTATCAACTATCTTCAAGCTTGTAGATCTTCCTGAGCAAGGGGATAGCCAAGACTTGGATGGTGTGCAAAGTCAGAAGGATTAGAAATTGTAAGGATCTACGTATCAGGGTAGATGGCCTGTTGACTAGGTAAGAATTGGTGACGATAATCAATGGAGGAGGATGGTAAAGAGTAGTAGATCATATGAAACAAAAACTAATCCTTGTCTTCTCGAATACCAGACAAGGGAAGACACTAGTAGTACTTCTGGGAAAGAGAATGTCTTGGAAGCATTGGACGGCGTGCATTGGGTGGATTGATTAATGCCGAAATACGGAGTAATCCAGTCTCCAGTTTATCCAGTTATTCCAGAGGCCGAAACAAGCTGTTGAACAGGGAAGCCGGACAGTCGCAGTGTTGTCTGTGTACGGAGCACGGCATGTGGGAGGTGGACTCCGGGCTCAATAGTGGAGGGGATCAGAGCCTATGGCCACGAAAGAACTTAGGGGCCTGCGGCCGCGAGTGGGCAACGTGGTTTCATTGGCTTCTGTGGTTGGCGCCGCTTGTTATCTCTACCTAAACTTTTGAATAATCAAGATCATTTGCGATTAGTTAGATGCCGATTTTGATTATCATGACCTGGATCCATGTACTTCTGTAGTCAAGGTAATTTACATCAAGCGAGGGGTTGTTGATAACCGCCAAGCCATTGATCTTCAGACTATTGTACAACGAGCAGTGCCAACAGTGAGGCTGGTCATAGTCAGTCATACTGAGACGAAACTCGCGCCAAGCAGTAGGCACTAAATAGAAGGAAGATGATCGTAGGATGAAGCTGATGAAGCTGATGCAGGAGGGGCGCCGACTCCGCCGAGTCGATGTATCAAGGTACGTATCATGAATTACCCTTATCCGCCACTGCCGTATGTAATGTAATCCTATGTAAGATACCTTAACTCCGCAGTCATTTTGCCCGGTGATTGCTCCTTTTGGTGGTCTCCAGGGGCTGTATTATTTACCAAAAGGGAACTCATTGTCCACGGAATCATTACAGAAGTATGATCACGACCAAAAAAAAAAAAGCAACTTAGCCTACTTCCTTACAGCACTTGCATAACCTTCATCCAACTGCATCATTGACCTGATTGCTGTCTATTCTTGTTCAGAGCCTGCCTGCTTACTTGGACAGCCATAGCTCCCTTTATAATCTCCATGATTGCATGTGTTCTTTGTTCTTCGACCGTCACTTCGGAGGCCGTGGGTTGAAGTACCGCCAACACTACCTTGCTGCTACTCACTTTGACGACTTCTGCTATCATTAGAGCTTGCTTAAATCTCTAGCTCTTTCTAAGCAGAGATAACCTTCTGGTTTCTGCTCTGCTGAATCTTCTTACCTGTCTTCACACCTGGTCTACAATCTCTTTCTTCCGTCCGCGACCCTCCCTCCTTCTTCCTGCCCCTCTTATCAAGCCTGAAATGGTTCACTCGACCGGCGAAGAGCGCGCTGTACATCTGACACGGGAGGCTGTTGAGCTGGCAGACGCTGGCCACCGCGAGGTATGCTTATTTTCTTTTTTATGTCTACCGGATTTCTGCTCTTCTATTTTTGTTGTCATCGGTCGTGCTTTCTTATGGGTCCGCCATTTTTATCTATTCACACCTCTGTACATTTCCCAAACTCCGCTAACTTCTTTGTCCTCTCCGCAGGCTGCCTCGCGAAATCTCCGGGAAGCTCTTTCCTTAGCACCAGAAAATCCAACTGTCAAAGCTGCCATTATCAAGATTCAACAAGAGGAGAATAATGGTCACTATCTGCTAGACCTGTGCCGGCGATATGCCTCTGGAAAGGACGAGAGTGCGGGAAAGGATGCAGCTCTCTATCTCCGCACCGATGGTCTCAAACCGTCAGAGGAGGTGGCGCTGGAATGCGTCAAACTCTTACTAGCACGGGAACCTTCTAGCCTATCTTCTTTCCAAGATGATATTATCTCGGGATTGGTGCACCAGAACGCCAGCGTACGACAATACTTTTCGGACCGGCTTCAAGTATCTGTCACGACTTTCTTTGACGAGATCTATGATCGGGGCGATGGGGTGGCAGTCTGTCTGGATACTGTGGTCTTGGATCATGCCGTGTGGCCATCAGAGGATACGCGCCTGCACTGTGAAAGCGAACTCTTCCAGCTCTTCATCGCTAAGCTCATGGAATCGGGACATGACTTGGATGGTCGGTCCCTGAAAGGTATTGCACGCCTACTCGCGGTCGATGCGGTCAAGCTGCAACATCTGGTTGATGACGAAGGACTTGACGTGATCCTTGCCTCCCTTGACATCAGACTTCCTCTCGAGGTGAGGAGCCAGGCAACTCTCGCGACAGTCAAATACCTCGAAACTTCGAAGGAAACAGGGCAGGACCGTTTCTCGCGGCTTCTTTCCACGAAAGTGACGAATGCACGCAATGACGATCATATAGTCGCATTTTCCGCCCTCTCTGCCGTTTTCCCTGTTGTGCCAGATATTGCTGCTTCCCTGTTCCTCTCTGAAAGTTTCATTAGTTCTCTCACGCCATTTACGTCGAGGAATATGAAGAGCCGGAATGTGGAAACGGCTATTCTGGAGCTGCTGAATGCAGCCTGCATAAACCAGGCCTGTCGAGATGCCCTTTCTAAGCACCTCTCTGACTGGCTCTCTCACCTTTTGACGAATGGCAACGATCAGAGCTCAGAGTTGGCAGCGGTGATATTGGCGAAGGTTCGGGCTTCTGAGAAAGAGAACCCCGCCACGTCCAATGGTAAAGATTATGAGGAGGACGGCCAGACAGCGGAGCTGGTCAAACGCTTCAAGGAACAGATCTCGAAGCATAAGGACGAGAGTGTTTCGAACGCAATCGAGGGTTTGGCCTATTCTTCTGTCAAGCCAGTTGTAAAGGAGCAGCTTACGAAGGATTCTGCTTTCTTGAAAGATTTGATAAAGGTGCTGAAAGGCAGTATCGCGGACGCATCGGTGCTGTATGGTGGCCTGATGATCATTCTGAATCTCACACAGTTTCTACCCTCGATGACCGAAGAACAGAAGAAGATGTCTCAACTCAGAGCGTACGCAGACGCTTCGGGCGCGACAGCACGAGCTGGGCCTCATCCGCTGGACGACGACGAGCACGTCATCGCTCGTTGCAACGCGTTAGTTCAGGCCGGGGTCATGCCTCTTTTCGTCGAATGCAGCAAGAGCAGTCTGCCTTCCGCGCAGGGGCTCGTGAGCAAAATCCTGCTCTCTTTGTCCCGAGACCGCAAATCTAGAGGAACTCTTGCGCAACAAGGCGCGGTTAAGCTACTTCTCAGCCTGGGGTCTGCTAGACAAGGCACGTCGGGCTCGATTTCTGACGAGGCGATGCAGAGCGCCTCACATGCACTCGCCCGTATACTTATCTCTGTCAACCCGTCCCTCGTTTTCCCATCCTCCGGAATTCCTCAGGTCACCTCAGCCGTTCGACCTCTCACCAGTCTGTTGACGACGCCTGAAGTAGGCAACTTGAGTGCGGAACAGCCGCGCGATCTGCTACCTGTGTTTGAGGGTCTTCTCGCTCTAACGAATCTTGCATCGTACCCGGATCCGTCCGCAGCGGAGGCCATAGTTCGCCATGCATGGACAGTTGTCGAAGACCTCCTACTCTCCAGCAGCCCTATGATTCAACGAGCATCATGTGAACTGGTTTGCAATCTGATGACGTGCGAGTCTGGCGTAGCGAAATTTGCTGATGGCTCCAAGCGGGCTGCTCAGCGGCTCCACATTCTGCTGGCGCTCACTGACACCGATGACATGGAGACACGCAGAGCTGCCGGTGGCGCACTGGCTATGCTTACCGAGCTCGATGCTGCTATTGCGGGCATCCTCGATCGGCCGCGTGGCGTGGAGCTACTTCTGGGTCTTTGTAAAGAAGACGACGAAGGGCTTGTGCATCGGGGTGTTACGTGTATTCGGAATCTGACCTGCATGGCAACTGGCGACATCTCGAGGCGCGCGAAAGAAATGGTGGAGAAGTGTGGAGGGGTCGATATCCTGACCGGTGTGCTCAAGAAGTCGTCGAACCCGGCGATACTCCAGACTGGAGTAGAAGCTTTGAAACCTCTAGTCAAGAGCAAATAGGCTCCTCACAGTCTTTGAAGGAAATGGCTTTTTTCTCGGCAACACGTTGAAGTTCAATGGAGTTACTGGGTATAAGGAGGGGCCATCTGTATGGCGAGGTTTTAATGGGTTGTGTCTGCCGAGGCTTGCTTCCGGCATATTCTGAGCTACTCGTGTGATTCCCTACCTCGTTGTCTTCTCGTCCTGCTGAGCTGTTTGTGCTCCTGTTCTTCAATAGCGACTACTTCTGATCTTCTTTTATCTTTCAGCAGAGGATGTTATTGTTGTGTACTTAGCGTTAGGGAGGGCTCGGCGTTTTACTTTAGGGTTTATTTTTTTCTCTACAGGTTGTCTCGCAGAATCTCCATAGACACGATTTACAATGCGAATTCACATTTTAACTGAACAGCTCGAACCCCTTTTGATCGAGATTCGATTCTTTTTTCGATGGAACAAAGCACTGACCCTGGCAGTGGTCACGAGATCCGTCCATGTGCACAGTCAACTCAAGCCATCCCTATCCATTCTTGCCCCTTTATCCGTATTCTGAAGGTAAAGGTCGGTCTATTATCTGTAAGCAGAAAAAGCAAAATAACATCTTCGGCAGACCTCGAATAGACGCCGGGTCCGGTGAAGAATGGCATCCGGAAGGGTCAAGTTCCAAACGGTGATGAGACAGTAGTCTACTGTAGGTAGTCATCTGACCTGTGCCACATCGGCGCATATAGTAAGGAGTATTTACTCCGTAGTAGATCTGTAAATATCGAAGGATTGCCTACTGGCAACCCCTCCATCACACTACAATAGATGGGGGTATAACCGGAAGACCCGAAGATATCTTATTTGGCATTGAGTACTTTGAGTCCACTGGTGGTGAGTTCGATAAATCTTTTTTGAGCACTCAGGGGGCCGGTAGGGGGTTGTGGTGTTGTCTGACGGAAGATTAGGGGGTGAGAGGGAATGATGGCTGAGATGCAAGCGAAAGAAAAGGGATATACTATACTCCGTAGGCAGGGGTTTTAGGGAAATCTGGCATTATTGGAGATTGGATAGGACGATGGAACGAAGGATAAGAGAACAGGCACTCTAAATGGACGGGAAGGAATGGGATATGATTGATATTATTGGTGCATTGTGTGACTTCGAAGTATATATCGCGATTGATAATGATTCCATCGTAGGGTTTCAAGTGGGAGACTGTACCTACAGACCGCGACACCTCGATACCGACTAACAGGGGGAAGAGGTTGGAGAGCAAATGATCACCTCACAGAACCTAGACGATCTCATGGACGGGGCTCACCGACAATTCTCATCAGCGAATACGGAGTATCAAGTACTAACATACAGATGGAGGGATGCCAATCCTACAGGGGCATGCATAAACATGTGCAGAACAAGCCACATGCAACCGGTTGACAGTCATAGCGAGGAATGATCATCTCCCGTCATTGAGGGGGAGCAATGAGCGTACATACCTGCTCCGTACTTCTCTTTTGATTCGCGGTTTGTATTGAGAAATGGAGACTGAGTTCTCTATCTTGCATCTCCCATTGGCGAGGAGGAGCTGATGGGCGTAAGTCTTCCCCACGTATCTTGTTGGATGCTGGATAGTCGAGTGGGACTGGCGCAACCATACGGGGGAGATACATCATTAGAGAATCATCCTTGAGCTTCGTGACGAGTATGTCTGGTTATATATAGTTGGACTTGATCCATTGCAATCTCCAATTCTCTCAATTATTACTAGAGGTGCACAAATAGTCTCATACAGATGTTACTGCTAGAGTAGTATACTCAAGTTACTCCTAGACCTCCACTTGACGTAATACTGCCACCACTACTGCAGTTTCAGGGTATGTGTCGACTCCAGAATACCGTAGAATCTCCCTCGAAGATGACAGCAACAACAACAATACCAGGAGTGCTAATCATGGCTCAATGCAGACAGAGACTCCCGAGTGTCCGACATCTCGCCCTTGGAACCAACAAGGTGTGGCGGACAAATCACAGTGTCTTTGATACCCACGCCGCTGAGCATCAGTCAAAGAATCGCCATCTTTCCCCGAAGGTGTGCTTCCTCTGTCATTTCTCACTCGTTGAGCACTTTTCTCTACCCACCAGGTTCCTTCATTCTTCTTATTGCTATCATCATAGAGACATCTCCGTTATTCTTAATATTATTCCCGAGCGTTTCATTATCATTTATCTACCGATCTCCCGGTTGACCCACATTGCAGATTTCTCATCGTTAGCGTTGCACTTGATTGTTTGAATTTTTGATCAATCGCAGCTGTCTTAATGGTCTAAATCCACTACTGTCTAAAAAGGTACAGTCTGCTCACTAGAAGCGCCTCTGAAGGTCCTCCTTGCACTCACTTGCCTTCACTCGGCTTTATTTACCGCATCGTTCTGGTCGGTTTTACCACGTGCTAACTCGGAACCCTTGAGGGCATAGTTCGTCAAAGAACAATTTTCAAACCGTCGCCGGCTACCCGCTACCCAGTCGCATTCACTACCTATAAGTTCTTGACGCGCTGGAGTGAGGGTGTATTCTGTCTTCCACTTCTTCGAGACAACGTCCATACATAACCTATAGTTCTTCGCACAGACTGACAGATGGAGCTATTGTCGAGACCTTCCAATACCCTTTTCCTTGCTTCTCTTTGCTCGTTTATTTGAGGGTTCCGATTGTTCGCTGGCCTTCCTAACACTCCTTATTATTTTTATCCTTATCCTCCTGATTCCATAAATCCGCTCCTGCGCGTTGTCGAGAGAAACCTCAATCTCTCCGAGCAGACGAAGCACGCTTTTGGCTCTACTTAGAGGCTACGATTGCAGCCTTTCATCATGAAGTTTGGGCGCAACTTGCCTCGCAATGTCGTTCCCGAATGGAGCACTTCGTACATTAGGTACAAGGCCTTGAAGAAACTGATCAAATCCGCGGCAGAGGAGGTGAAAGCTGGCCGTGAAGCGGATCTTGCGGGTGGGTTCCTTGTCTCCGTGCCATACGCCACAAGGTGAAGCGGCCTACTAACGTGAAGTTGTCATGCAGAATTCTTCTACTCCCTCGATCGAAATCTCGAGGATGTCGATTACTTCTACAACAAAAAATTTGCGGACTTTTCCCGTCGGTTGAAGTTGCTGGAAGAGCGATATGGCCATTCCCTGCATAAAGGGCATGAGCTTGATTCAGAGGATGTGGAGGATCTTCTGGCGGCGTTGCTCGAACTGCGTGGTCAACTGCGCAAGTTACAGTGGTACGGCGAAGTGAACCGTCGTGGATTTGTCAAAATTACCAAGAAGCTTGATAAGAAGGTCGGCGTCGAGGCACAACAGACGTACCTGGAGACTAAAGTGGATCCGTCGCCTTTCGCCTCGAACGCAAGAGTCACCGAGTCTTTAAAGACAATCAACGATTGGCTCTCCGTGCTTGGAGAACAGAAGGTCTTCGACGATGCAAGCTCCACGAGATCCTCGCTTTCCTTGAAGAAAGGACCTTCGCGCCCCAACCTCAATCTGCCCCCGAGCATGCTCGCTGAGGTCGACGAGGCTTTGCGCAAGGATGACACACATGTTCTCCTGGAACTAATGGAGACGCTCAAGAAATCCGCGGATGATATCGGAGAAACGGTCTATCCCAAGGTTTTGAAAAGTCTACTTCAGCGGTCCATCTACTATCGTTCCAAGGCGTGCATTTCAGTCCTTCTTGGTCGAATCGACTCGCTCGACGAGGAGGACGACATCAATAAGCGCAACTGTATCCATCGGTTGGTTATTTCTATCGGACGAGCGCAGTCGTCCACTGACTCAGAGTCGTCCGCCTCCATGGTGCTTGATTTTTCGCTGGAAACTTCTCATTACATCACCCCGGCTGCTCCTCCAACAATGCGGCCACCTCGGCCAGTGGTAAAAGAGACGAATCATCCTCAGCTTCTGGACAGAGACGACCCATCGGTTTCACTTTTGCAGTTTATTCTGGACGAACTCCAGCCCCATCAGCGCGGCGCATTGCTAGCCAAAGATCTTTCTGGACGCACCCCTCTGCATTATGGTGCACAGTATGGGTTCAAAGTGGTATGCGAGGTCATCATTGAACATCTGCAAGCTTGGGATATGTTTGATGTTCGTGAAGGCATTGATGCACCGCAGTGGCAGGATAACGATGGCTGGGCTCCCTTGCACTTGAGTGTTGTTGGCGGTCACCCGTTGACGACACGGGCACTATTGGAGGCGGAGAACTGGCAGGGTGCTTCCGAGCAAAAAGCCTCCATACGCAAGCAGGTGTCGAAATCCAGCGCGGTCTTGGCATTAGCCACCAAGGCAAATTTCGTCGATATAGTGCAACTCCTTGTGGATGCTGGAGTCGACATCAACTACCGGGATGACCAAGGCGAAACCGCGCTGCATGTGGCCGCTCGGTTTGGTCACGATGCGTGCGCAAAGATTCTGCTTGAGGGCACTGCCGATCAGAAGGCGGACACTGAGCTTACTGAAAATACTTATTCGTGGACGCCGCTCTTCGTCGCGTGCGTCGACGGATCTCTGAGCGTTGTAGAGTTGCTCATTGAAGCTGGCGCCAATCTCGAGAGACTCGACTCTTCGGGCTGGAGTGCCAAGGAGCATGCTGCATTGAGAGGCCATCTTGATATTGCGAGACGTCTGGCACAGGTGACGCCCGAACCCGAAGTAACGGAAGCTGAGCCTGCGATACCCGTTCCTTCGGTGTCTTCTATCCAATCCTCCCCACCTTCGCAATCTTCCCTTACCGAGAGACGATCTAATGTTAGCCCGCGCGGGAGTCCTGCGCCGCGGAGCACTGAACCTATTAAGACTTTTGGACACCGGTATCTCACCGACAAGGCCATGATCCTGGTCAGCCTGGGCACTATGGACATGCGAAAGCACATGGAAGCAGTGAACCTTGACCGTATTCCTATGGTTAACGCTCATTCTACTCAATTGGATACGGCCCTGTCCATCGTCGTATCGGCCAATGGAGCTGAAGGAGAGCCCGAGATCATTGATCTTCCGGTTCAAGATAACATCTCTACCGAACCGATCGTCTTCCATGCCGCAGACCCAAGCAAGGTCAGACTTCTGTTTGATCTTATCCCCACATATGCTGGCTCGAAGGATCAGATTGTAGGACGCGGCGTTGCTCTGCTTTCGAGCGTCAAGCCGACGATCGGTTCTCACCGTATCAATCTCAAAGGTGACTCCACGGTTCCCATCATGGCTGCCAACACTTTGGAAGTCATTGGCTCCGTGACATTCAACTTCCTTATCATTACGCCTTTCAATCATCCGAATATGTCGATTACTGGCAACAGGACATACTACAAGAGCATGAGCTCGACCATGGTCATCGGACACCGCGGTTTAGGGAAGAATTTGGCCAGTCGCAGATCCTTACAGTTAGGAGAAAACACTTTGCCGTCGTTTATTGCGGCTGCCAATTTGGGAGCTTCCTACGTTGAGTTTGATGTCCAGCTCACGAAGGACCATGTCCCTGTCATTTATCATGATTTCCTTGTCAGCGAAACGGGTATCGATGCCCCCGTTCATACTCTGACACTTGAGCAATTCCTTCAGCTTGGGGAGAGCGGCGTGTCCCACCGGTCCACCTCCCCGTATCAGTTGCCTGACGCTACCGGAAAGAAGTTGGGCAGTCCCAACTTCCGTCCGCGATCAATGTCCGTTGGCGGCTTCGAATTTGACACTACAGAGCTGAACGAGCGAATCAAACACACGCGGGATTTCAAGAAGAAGGGGTTCAAAGGCAACACCCGTGGCAATCACATCCAAGCTCCATTTGCAACGCTGGAGGAGCTGTTCAAGAAGCTGCCAAAGTCGGTTGGATTCAATATTGAACTCAGTGAGTTTTCGCAACCCCCTGAAGAACAGTTACGAGACGATCTGACCAAGATCGCCAGAATACCCCATGCTCTTCGAGAGCGAGGAGGAGGAGATGGATACTTACGCCGTCGAGCTGAATTCCTTCGTGGATACTGTTCTCAAGATGGCCTACGATCACGGCCAGGGGCGCAACATGATCTTTTCCAGCTTCAACCCCGATATCTGTCTTTTGATCGCTTTCAAGCAGCCTTCCATCCCTGTGCTCTTTTTGACCGACTCTGGCGCGTCTCCGGTCAGCGACATCCGAGCCAGCAGTCTGCAGGAAGCTATTCGGTTTGCTTCTCGCTGGAGCTTGCTGGGCGTCGTTTCCCAGGCTGAGCCACTGGTTCTGTGTCCGCGTCTGGTCCGCGTCGTGAAGGAGTCTGGTCTTGTCTGCGTATCTTACGGAACGCTGAACAATGAGCCAGCAAACGTCAAGGTAAGGCCTTTATGCTACACACGCGTGGCTTTGATCTGTACTAACTCCGAATAGCTCCAAGTCGCCGAGGGAATCGATGCCGTGATCGTCGACTCCGTTCTCGCCATCCGTAAGGGCCTCACGGAGCATCAAGCTAAAGGCGATACTCCGGCCCCATCTGTGCAGCCAAGCCCGCTGGCTGGACCCAATCGTGAGGCGCTGAAGGAGTCTATCCAGATACCTGTCCTTGAACAAACCGAACAGAAGGATGACCACCTCCATGTGAAACAGCAGGCTGTACTTAATCCCCAGTGAGCCTTAAACTGTTTATTCAAACATTGCAATCATCAGGTGCGACTTTTGCCTCAGCGTCAAGTTAAAGCAATTCGGGCTACACTTACTTTCATCATTTGCGACAATCTTGTCTGCATCTGTACATATATCGAGTGGTCGATTTCGCATTTCCATGTTGCTTCTACAAAGCGTTATCCACCTACTGTCACTTGAAGAGTCGCTAGGTGATGGAAAGCGTGTATCTTACATTTCGTGTTTTTGATGATGTCAATCTCTAGACCATGTGGTAGAACCTGTTGCAAAATGGGAGTGTGAGAGAGAACTTAATGATAATAGTAAAATCCTGAACATTTCAGAAAGGTGAAGGTCTACAAATTTTCACTGTTTAATGGAAGATCTTCGTGTCCTGGCTCAATAAATTAACCATCTACACCATCCTGTGACAGCATGAAGGCGGTGGAGTAACATTGAACTGCTTCATCCCACGTGACTGGCTTTTCTATTCATCTAATTCTCATCACCATCAGGTCACCCAGAAAACACTGACAATAACCTGCACCCTGGATTTCCCGCTACGGCATACTAACTAGACAAGATCTATTCCCTTTCCAGCGGTGTCCACATTCGGTCTTTGGGACGTTGAAGACAAGCATCAATTGGTTCGACCTGAGCTCGAGGACTGGCCAACCAGCCACTATCCGACCTTGTCTGGCCCTCACCATGCTGTGATCGATCCAGTTATTATTCGAACGCATCTCCCTCATCGCGTCGACGTCGATCCCTCCCTCAACTCACCTCCCAACTCGACGGCAGAAAAATGAACGCCGTAGATGCGACGGAGCACTACGAAACAAGTGCCAGCGGTAAGATCGCCGCAAGAGATAAGAAATATCTACCTTACTGAACGAACTGACTCGAATATGAAGATCCCGCCCCCTCCTTGCTGACAATCGTCCTCGACACAAACCCCCACGCCTGGGCCCTCCTGGAAGACTCCCTCCCGCTCTCCACCGCGATAGCCAACATCCTCGTCTTCGTCAACGCCCATCTGGCCTGCAACTACGCCAACGAAGTCGCGGTCGTCGCATCGCACAGCCAAAAGGCGACATGGCTGTACCCATGCGAGATCAAAGAGGACAAGGAAAAGAGCAAGGGCAGGACAGAGAGGGATGAAGACGGCGATGTCGCCATGAACGGGTCTGGCGCAGGAGCAGGATCAGGATCTGCTGCGGCCCAGGTGAACAAGTACCGCCCCTTCCGGATCGTCGAGGAGCAAGTCGCCCGCAACCTGCGAGAACTCATGGACTCGACCAGCGGCGCGGACGTCGCGACCACCACCTCGACGATGATGGCGGGGGCGCTGACGCTGGCGCTGAGCCATATCAACCGGCGGTCGATTGCGTGGGCGGACGCGCATGGGGGAACCGCTGCTGGGCCGACGGGGGCGGTTGAAGCGGGCAGCTCCGGGGCTGGTAGGGCTGGGACGGATACTGGGGCTGAGGGTCTGCAGTCGCGGATTCTGATCATCTCCGTGAGTGGTTCGACGGATTCGGCACATCAGTACATCCCGATCATGAACTGTATCTTTGCCTGTCAGCGGCTCCATATCCCCATCGATGTCTGCAAGCTGAGCGGGGATGCGGTGTTCCTGCAGCAGGCGTCTGATGCCACCAAGGGAGTTTACATGTCGCTCTCCGAACCTCGCGGCCTACTACAGTACTTGATGATGGCGTTCCTACCTGACCAACGCTCTCGGAGACACTTGGTCATACCAACGCGCGTCGACGTCGACTTCCGTGCCGCTTGCTTCTGCCATCGCCGTGTCGTCGATATCGGATTTGTCTGCTCAATCTGCCTGAGTATCTTCTGCGAACCTCCTGAAAACGGCGACTGCCTTACTTGTGGCACCCATCTCGAGATGGGTGACTACGGTGCCAAGCCGGCGGTTGTCGCTCGGAAGAAGAAAAAGAAGAAGGTTCGCACCAACGGTGCATCAGCGACAGCAACTCCCACACCTACACCTACACCGGGCCCTTGAAAACCTCCGCCGTTCGAAGTGCAACCATTTACTACCAGGCAAGGTCAGTCTCTAGACTGCATATGTTGGACTATTTGCTCGAAGCTCTTGCTTTGCATTATGCTGCCTATTTCAAAGGTCTGTCGGCCCTGAAAGCCGGTGCAGAGAGTAGATTCCAGTCTTGGACACATGCCGGGAATTGCGAGGATCGCCAAAGGAGACTCCAATTCACCAATGTTGGCCATACTACAACCTGAAAGAATACCAGCGCAAGAAACCTCGCAGAGGGAGCATTCTGACGGCAGTAAGGGTGCCATCCATAGGCGTGGTATGCAAACAGCGAGTCTCCGGAACGGCTATGCAAGAAAGGCAAAGGTCCAAAGGCAACCATGAGACAATCCTAGACGGTCAATTCACTCGTATCTGGTATTGCGAAAAATTTGGCGTGTAATCTCACACATTCGGTCCGGCGAACTGGAGGGGCAATTGCAGCCGGCATTCGAGTGCAGCATCAACGGGACTGGTTTCTGTAAAGATAGTCTTACGCCAGTGATGCCCCGATCCATTCTCGTGGCTACGAAGCGCAAGTCAGTGATGCATTCGAATCAGCGCGAACCTGGCTGTCGGTCATGAGACCCGTCAATCATTTACCTTATCTTCTGGCCCGATAGGCGCGGCCACCTTGAGCAATAGTCGAATTTCCCTGGTTGCGAGACATCACAGACAGCGGTTTCCTATCCTCACTACTCATGGAAGCGAGAGCCTAGAAGATAATGCGAGTTCAGTGTACAGGTTCTCTAGAAGACCAAACTTGAACAGATTACTCACAAAAGAATCAGAATTATGACCAAAGTAGAAGAAAATCCCATCCTTCGTCTTCTTGACAGTCAAGATTCCGATAGCGCCTCCACAAGGGCTTGCTTTCACGCCGGGATGCTCTGCGCAAATTGTAAACGATTTGTTCTCTATCAACGGTCGTAAGGGACAGGGAGTACAATAACTCACCCATGAACTCAGTGGCTATCGTCGCATTCATAGCTTCGTCTTCGGATACATTTTCGAAAGTGCCGTCCTTACGCTTCTTTTGACAGTAATAGAGTCTTGCAGCTGACGTCTGCGCAGCCATAGTTGTAGCAATGTGCTCGCCTGTGCCCGATGTAATCGAAGCGACTGATACTTGTTCGGGATCGCTGGTGTCCACAGGAATCACATAGGTGCCGATGCCCACCAGCGCGGCAGGCCCAATTCGACCGCGATGCTTCGCGCCAATCCCGCCAGAGGAAGAACCTGCCGCAATATTGCCATAACAGTCTACAGCTATAGCCCCGACTGTATCGCTGATCATATCTTCATCCTCATCTGCAGCGTCTGGGTGAGCATGCATGGAAGTAGTGTCAGGTGCACAAGGTGCTGTTGTAGGGTTCGCGCGGAAAGTCGCACCATCTGCATGGGTGTTGGCTGAGGCAGCCATACCTTGCTCAGGTGCGGGAGCAATACTTTGTCCACCTGCCACATCCATAGGTTGTCCACTTGCAGGACACATGCCGTGTCCATGGTTAGAAGCCATAGCTGGTGGTGCAGGAGCTATACTTTGTCCACCTACAGGAGCCTGGAGACGAGGAAGAGGGTTCAGCAAGTCGACTCCGGTAAAGGGAGAGCTGGGTAGATGTGGGCGTAAACGAGTATTGTCAATGAGGCGGGCGGGATTACGATTCAGCATTGGCCGACGAAGGAAGGATGCTCTATCTTCTTCCATGCGAAAACGTGAAGGATCCCGTTTCCTTTCGACCAGTTCAGCAGCCTCGAGATCCTGCAGCCAGCGGTGCCATCTCTCTTTCGAAAAGCGCGATATGAGACCGTCAGGAGGCAGTATGACCAATCCTTGCTCATAAGCAAAGTCCGTTGCACCCTCACCAACGAGGAAGCTTGGAGGCACTCTGTGGCAAGTTAAAGGCTTTGCAGAGGTTTCAAGTAGCATTCGCGCTAGAGAGATCGGATTTTTCACCTCTGAAGTGAACCAGAGACATTAGCAATAAGGCCATGATTGGGATGGGCGGACAGTCCAATAAACAACACAAGAACAGGCGATCGCGAAGCTGAGAAGAAAGAAGAGGAACTTACGCGAGACGGCTCCAGCGGCGCCGCTCCTGCCATGGTGGTCGACAATAGTAGCATCACATTCGACAGCTCCTTCGATCGTCAGGTTGCTCCCATAGCCAGCATTTGTCATCTCGTCATCCTCCATTACAATGATGGCCATCTCAACAGCATCCAGAGCTGATCCACCGCTTTTCAAAATGCCCATTGCGGCTTTGCAAGCGCTATTGGCAGTCAGACCAAAAGCTGATACATGAACGACGTAGATCATGGATCCGCAGGCAGGCGGACGGAAGACTTACTTTTCGCATACTTGAAGGTGAGCTCTCTCATTTCCATGGCCGTGATATCCCGCCCCTACATGGACGAAGATGGCAGAGATACCTCCACCTCTCTGTAGTTCGCTCATATTGAAGATAAGAGACTTCAATTGAGGATAGAAGAGGGGAGTATCCCGAAGCTGCGGCCAGCTACAACCAGCTGTTGTGACAGTGGATAGAGGTTGGGGCCAGAAGACAGCGGTGCAGACGCGAGTTGAGACCCAAACAAAAACAGACAGGAGGCGGCAGCGCGATTGATATTCACTGCAGTCGAGTCGCTAGCATCTCAATGCAGATCACTGAGCAAGAGCAAGCTAACGAGCAGAGTAGTAGAGCAGCACGTCCACCACTTCGGCCCCCTTCCTTTTTCCTATCTTGTTATGGGAATGAGGGAGAGAATATCCTAATAGAGAGAGAGTAATAATACAAAAAGAGCTTTCTTCTGCTCAGAGGAATGAGTGGGAGGGAGGTATATCAGAGAGGAGGGAATCTGATGGGATAAGGCTATGACAAACGAGCGGATAGTGGTAAGAGGAAACATGAGGAGCAGACTCCAAAGCCAGAAGTTGAAAGAATAAATATGAAGAGTAGATAGGAATGAATAGGAGATTCATGAGGGAACAAACAGCAGATGCAGGGTGGACGACATACAAAGTCCATCGATTAAAGCTGGAGTAGAAGCTAGAGTAGAGTGCCTTCCCTTTTAGGAACAAGCATATCTTCTGTGAGAGCAGCAGGAACCTCAGGTGTCTTCTGTCACCGCCTTGATGCCTGATTACACTGATATACAATGCTCTGTACGATCATGATTGATTTTATCCAGAGTTAATAAACACTGAGTATCGCTACATCTTAAGTACAATAATAGATAGCCTGCAACTATGAGATTTGCGGAGAGCACATGACATGGCTTGGCAACTACGTATTTGGATCTCCATAGTTTAGTCTGCTCCATACACGAGGTACCTAAGAAGTAGTACTGTTACTGCCCGCCTTCATCTCCCCCTCATCCTCCTCTTCCTCCACCACTATTATTCCTCGGTGCTTCCTACAGTCTCCCTTTTACTCAACCAATTGATCAATCCCTCTCTTCTTCAATTTCTGATATATCAGGCTTCGGCCCGACTTCAGCGGTCCCACTTCATCCTATCGTGGCCTGTCAATAGGGGACATTCCAATCCGTCATGGCGTCCCAGACTCCGGCCGTTGTCATGGACAAGTATGTTGATGTATCTGCTATAATCTTCTTGTATTTCGGCTAATGATGGTATTCTCTCGTGCTCAGCGGTACCGGTTACTCCAAACTCGGTGAGTTTCAGTCCGACTCGCGGCTACCTGGCATCACCAAGCATTAGGCTGACACAATCTCAGGTTTCGCCGGTAACGATTCGCCCTCTTTCGTCTTCCCTACTGCGATTGCCAGCAAGGTAGGAGCCGGAAGCGCGGGAAGCTCTGGGAGTGGCCGACCACCTGTTGCGAATAAGCCATCGTTTCTGGGGGCAGGCTCTGGGTCAAGCTCGAACTTGTCGGCAAAGCGTGGGACTGAGGATTTGGATTTCTTCATCGGTGATGAAGCTCTGGCGGCTGCCAATGGACCTGGCTACGGCATCAACTACCCGATTCGCCACGGACAGATCGAAAACTGGGATGCTATGGAACGTTTCTGGTCCAATTCGATCTTTAAGTACCTGCGCGTCGAGCCTGAAGACCACTACTTCCTGCTTACTGAACCGGTACGCTCATGAGACTTGATGGAGCACCCTATTATTCTGACCTTAGGAAATCATACTGATATATGCTTCATTTCAGCCCCTGAATCCTCCCGAGAATCGCGAGAACACTGCAGAGATCATGTTCGAGTCGTTCAACTGTGCTGGTCTTTACATTGCCGTTCAAGCGGTGCTTGCCCTCGCTGCTTCATGGACGTCCTCTAAAGTGACCGATCGATCCCTTACTGGAACGGTCATCGACTCTGGTGATGGTGTGACCCATGTCATTCCTGTCGCGGAAGGCTACGTCATCGGGTCATCCATTAAGAGTATCCCAATCGCTGGTCGAGACATTACCTACTTCGTACAGAGCTTGCTGCGCGACCGAGGCGAGCCGGATAGCAGCTTGAAGACGGCAGAGCGGGTCAAAGAGGAGTACTGTTATGTGTGCCCTGACATCGTCAAGGAGTTTGCCCGCTATGACCGCGAGCCCGATCGGTTCCTGAAGCATACCGTGACCTCCCCTAACGGCCGGAGCGTGACAATTGACGTCGGCTACGAGCGCTTCCTTGCCCCAGAGATCTTCTTCAATCCTGAAATCTACTCTTCCGACTTCCTGACCCCCTTGCCGCAAGTCGTTGACGGCGTTATTCAGTCCTCGCCCATCGATGTCCGGAGAGGTCTCTACAAGAATATCGTCCTGTCCGGTGGATCGACCTTGTACAAGGACTTTGGCCGTCGTTTACAGCGCGATATCCGACACCTGGTAGATGCTCGTATTCGCGCCTCGGAAGCTCGCAGCGGTGGTGCTAAGAGCGGTGGTTTGGACGTGGCTGTTGTGACACACAAGAGACAGAGACACGGCCCTTGGTTTGGTGGTAGTCTGCTGGGACAGACCCCTGAGTTCCGGAGCTACTGCCACACCAAGGCTGAGTATGATGAGATTGGTCCCAGCATTGTCCGCCGATTTGCCCTCCTGGGTGGTCCCGGAAGCACCTAAGGTAAATCAACACCGGATTTAATTGCTTGAAACTTCTGTCTGCTAGCTCTGTGTCGGTCCATGTCTATAACTATTCTTCTGTCATGAAAATTTAGATCATTCTCCTTGATACGGCTGCCTTTACAGATTCAGGACGTTGAGGGACGACAAGGACGCTGCGTGCGCTGAAGTCTGACAGCCGAATGGCAATGTAAACAACAACCACAATGTATATATATGCAAATGGGACCAATATCACCCGAAAGCCCGCTTGTACTTTTAGTTTCGCACCTTAACGCCGCCTAAACCGTGAGCATGGATGTGTAAAGCTTCGCTGACATTTAATTACTTTTATACGGCACAAAAGATGCTAAGATGAAGTGACCGGCACCTTATTCAAAATCGCGACTCCCTCCACATGTCCCGTCTGCGGGAAGAAGTCGAATCCTCGAATGCTCTCAATCTCATATCTCGAGTTCGTATCTCCCTGAACCATGACCGCCACATCGCGCGCCTGAGTGTGCACGTTGCAGCTAACATATACAACGCGTCGCGGACCGTAGGTCAGAAGTTGACGGAGGAAATCATCGCTGCATCCTTTACGCGGCGGGTCAATGACGAGTAGAGTCTGTTCGGGTGGATATGGGACGTTCTTGAAGAGGGTTGCGGCGTCTGCGGCGGCAAACCCGGTATTGGGGAGGTTGTTGGCGCGGGCGTTCTCGCGGGCGGACGCGATCGAGTCGGCCGCTACATCTACGCCGAGGCTTGATTTGAAGAGAGGAGATAGAGTGATGGTGAAGAGACCGGAGCCGGAGTAGGCGTCGAGGAGGTACTTGATCGGCTGGGGATCTTGTTCGTTGCCTTTGGGGAACGCGTGCTGGCGGATGTACTCTGTGAATCCGGAGAGGATAGAGTTGTTGTTCTGGAAGAAAGCGCCGGCTTTGTTGGTGAAGATGTAGTCGTCGATGTATTCTACCGAGGTAGCGTTGTTGTCGGTCACGCATCGCTTCTCTTCGATGTAGTTATCGCGCTCTATGCGAATGACATCGCCAGACTCTGATTCTGGTGGATTCTCGCCCTCTTTTTGTACGGTGCTGGCCTCTGCCTCGGCCGAGTCCTTCGGTATGCGCCTGGTAGACTCGCGCATCAGAAGCGTTGCACCCTTTTTAGTATACTTGTGGAGGTTCTCGGCGACCCTCTTCCTCTCGCTCTTGAGGCCCCGCCGAACAATGTCTGTCCCCAGCGGACAATCCTCAATGTCCATATCCATGCGCCGGTTCTTATATGTGAATCCAATCGCAGGAACTTCGGTTGGCACCTCGCCGGACTTCCTCCTCTTGGCTGCGCTGTGGCCCCCAGGAGCTGTAAAGTGTGGTGTCAACTTCGTCCGGTATCCGTATTGCAAAGGCGAAGGGAAAGTGTCGTCAACGGCGGGGATCAGTTCGGGAATGAGGCCCGAGAAGTTGGCATAAGCCTTCTCGACAATACGCTTCTTGTGCGCCAGCTGGTCTTCGTAAGACATCATCTGCAGCTGACATCCGGAGCACCTGCCAAAGTACCCGCATCCAATTGCGGCATCATTGCGCTGCGGCCCAGGCTCAAGCACCTTGATAAAGTCCGTCACACTGTGGGATAAAGGTTCGTGATGCCGGACAACCTTGACAAGCACCTTGTCGCCTGGAACAGTGAAGGGGACGACGTAGACATGATCCTTGTTTTCCGAAAGTGCGAGACCATCTCCAGTGGAAGATATCTCCGACACTGTCACTTCAATCTCCGTGAAGAGCTCGGGTAATGCGGGTGATGGAGTGGAAGCGTCGTTTTCCGCCTCGGGTTTATGCTTCTGAAGAAGGCTATCAATGTCGGTCTGAAGGACTTCGTCAAATCCGGAATTCTTTGTCCGATCGGCTCTGCCCTTCTTGCGCCGCTTCGCGTCCGTCTGAGGTTTTCTGTTAGAACTCTGCATGGCGTTTATAGGCAATGGCGCATTGCGATGCGGCGGGATACGAGGGAAGTGAGCTCTGTTGGAATGCGCAAAACGACTAGGTTGCGTAGTAAAAAGACGACTCTTCAAAGACAGTGAGAAAAGTGATCTCACAGCGAACATTAAGCCAGAACTCGTGAGCAGAAATGAAGGTAATCCCTCAAGATCTGTAAAATAGTACACTGGATGGAGAGGTCCCAAAAAAAAGGCGGAGGAAAAAGAAGTCAGCGGAAAGGGCGAACGCGGATTGGCTGGAGGCTCTCCGCTGAGAATTTCACCGTCCCGTCGATTGTTCCCTTCTGTCCATCTCTCACTTACTCCATCACGCGGCCCATCTATATCGCCAATTCCGCGACATCCCCCCGTTCCTTGCCGGGGAGCTGCATTCCGTCACGATGAGTGTCGCCCGACCGGTGAGATGTCTGTTTTGTAGCTTCTCTCGGTCTGCCTCCGCGGTCCCTCGCGTGCCTCGCCGTCAATTCCATCCTTCCCCAGCGCAGCTCGCCAACCGGAAACCGAAATTTCCCAATGTCAAGGCCGATAATTTGAAGTCCTTGGAGGAGATCTCCCGGTCCCTTAAGCCGGAGGATTTCAAGCCCTACACAGAAGAGGAGAAAGCACGGCTGCAGGAGGAGTATACACCCGAGCAGATGGCCGCGATTGAAGCCGGTGAGGCGGCAATCGATCCCAAGGATCTAGCAGAGCAGTTTGCCATCCGTCGGGATCCGATGAAGCTTCACTATCTGGATGATTTCTCGACCATCGAACCCGGGGTAGACAAGCACGTCCGCGCCCCGGTGACCAATACCGATTACAATGCCGAACTGAAAAGCGAGAGCGACTTCGCAGAGGATTTTGGCCGTTTCCTTGCAGAGCTTCCCAGAGACCCCACCGCGGCCGACTGGGTACGGTTCGCGGAAACTCTTCGTATGACCCGTGGCAAGGAGGAGAACGAACTGAACCCCCACAGCGCTTTGGTTCCGGATCTGCTTGCTCCTGGAGAGTCCATCAGTGGGGAGCGGAAGGAGATCAATTTCTTCAAGGAAACAGACCCGAAGGCTAGAGAGTCAGAGGAGATCACAGATGCATTGAAGCAGCTCCTTTTAACTACCGGATATTCACAAAGGGAGATTCAGGATCTCAGGACAAAGACACTCGTTTCGCACGCGGTTGTCAACCAGACCCGCTTGGGTAAGGTCCGTCGTCAGTACTGCTTGTCGATTGCTGGTAATGGCAACGGTTTGCTCGGAATTGGCGAAGCCAAATCAGAAGAACCGGCCGATGCTCAGACGCAATCCAGATACAGAGCTATTCGAAACATGCAGCCCATTCCTCGTTATGAGGACCGGACCATCTTCGGGGATGTCGAGGGCAAGGTGGGAGCTGTTGAGTTGAAATTGATGACCCGCCCTCCAGGTAAGACTTCAATTTCGTTGATATCAGTAGCAGCACAGTAGCTGACGATTGCCGTACTAGGATTCGGTCTCCGTTGCCAGCATCTGATCTTCGAAATGTGCCGTGCCTGTGGCATCCACGACCTTGCCGCTCGGGTGGCCCGCTCAAGAAATCCCATGAACACAGTCAAGGCCGCCTACGAGGCTCTGATGAGCCAGCGCAACCCGGAAGATATCGCTCGGGCCCGGGGCAAGAAGTTGGTCGATGTGCGCAAAGTCTACTACTCGGGAAGAGCCTAATCCATCTCCTGCAATTTCATTTGATGCACCACTATCTTCACCCACGAATGCTGTCTTTCTACTGGTTTGTGACACAGAGGGACATCTTGACGGGTCTTTATCATGCATAGAATCGGCTGTATGATTATGGACACAATTTGAGCGGCATTCTCAATGCTTGCTGCGTTACGGCGGTGTATATAATTGTTTTGGACTTTCCTTTACTCTACATGTCTTCTTACCATGTACTTGTACCAATCCACTGCCATATTATCAAAAACAGTCTATCCATGAAACTAAACTCCGCGCCATATTGTCATGGACCCATCCAATCTATGAAACAAACAAACTCGCCATAACGCATCAAGAATCAAATAGGGTAATACCAATGCCGTCCATGCAGTCCATGCAAACCCATTCCCATGTCCATACACATCCTATTCTGTTCGGTCACGCATACCTTCCCATAAGGCTAACATCCCCCTCATACCCCACCCCCTGCCCCTGGAACTGCTCATCCTGCCCCTCCTCGTACTGCTGCTGTTGCTGTTGTTGCTGCTGCTGCCGCTGCTCCTCACTCTCATTGATCATCTGCTGCTGCAACACAATACTATACACACTCGCCTTGAGCAGCGTACACACCGTCGCAGTCTTGCGCTCCAGCAGCCGTAACCCATCAAGCGTCAACGAGGTCGGATCCCCCGCCAGCCCGGCCAATTTATCCGATAACTATACCCCGTCATCGTTAGCAACACCCGTTGAGACTCGTAGCACGTAGCTGGCTAGCTAGTGGGGGTTCTGTCGTGCAAGCCGAGGCGTAGGCGTAGGCGTAGGCGTAGGCGTAGGCGTAGGCGGAGTGTGGACCTACCTTGTTCACGTTCCCCAGGAGCCGGGTATACTCGTCCAACACTTCCTGCTCGAGATCCGAGACGACGGGGTTTGAGGCGCGCAGGAGAGGGTTTTCAGTTGTTATTGGGGAGGAGGGAGCGCAGTCGCGGCTGGCGGCGGCGGGTCTTCGTCGAAGGACATTGCGACGTGCGAGGGTGTGTTGGTTCTGTTCCTGGCGGGTAAGGAGATGATATTGGGATTCGAATCGTTGGATGTTCTGGTCGGTTCTTGATGTGATTTAGATGAGGTGATGAGGTGGTTTGCTCGTGGTTTGTTGACTGGGGTAGGATTGTTTGTTTGGGTCTTTGTCTTCGGGTCGCGGCGGGCTCTCTTTGAACAGGATCATCCAAGTCATTCAGGAAAACGACACAGCATGTATCTACTGCGTAGTCTTTAACTTATAATCTCAAATATAGTCACAGATATTCTACACAGACTTCTATTGCTGTTAATCTTCTGAAATCAAGAAATGCTAGAATCCATTCAGTGACCGCCGCTTGGGTACTCCATGTCCTGAAGCCAGTCCAGCTCCTCCTATGGACAGTCACAACACTGGTTTTTGCAGGAAGAACAGATACATGAACACATAATAGTCAAATGATCCACGCCCGAGTAATTAGTACACTCGACGCTGACCTCCAATGATGGGATGGATCAGAACTGGTCCGCTAATATAACCGAAATCGAAAAACGCCGTCTTCTGCAATAGTGACAGTAATGGAAACGGAGATGAAACTGTCGCGTCGTGGAATCGAAAAAAAAAAAAAAAAAAAAAAAAAAAATGAGAAAGCCGAAAATCGCCCACAAAGCATAGAACGTCCGAAGACAGGACTCGCACTGTCCTAGAAACCGATAGAAAGTCCATAGTCACCTTGACCAGAGCAGAATGTAAGAATAAAAGCCAATGGGATAGCTCTAGACACGCCAAACTCCAAGTTAATACGTGCAACAGAATATCAACGTTCGAACACAGATCTTCATGCCGTCATGATCATGAAAGTAACCTCACGTCAGAGGTCTGAAAGCGCCGCTCAGGCGGTTTGTTTTATCGCAAGGGATCAAAAAAAGCGTATAGGTTTGTCGTTGCGGGCTTATGGATCAACCAGCTAAAAGTCTCCGTCATGATGAAGCGTGACACTATTGAACTCCTCGAAAGGATCGGCCACCTCTCCGTTGGGCGTGGCAAGGCCCGATTCTAGGGGACGCCCTTGGGCTTCGCAGTCCCGCCAATATCGACACTGGCGCTCTCCTTGACATTGCGGAAATTCGCCGTGTCCGTTCCGCGACTCTGGTGTGGAATCATGGGCGGTTTCATATGGCGGATGAGAGCCCATTGCGTCTGCCGGAAGAAAGGATGAGTCTTGACATCCGACGCCCCAGCTCGAGCGCCAAGACGCTTGGTTTCATCCTTGATCAGCAACTTGCGGATCAGGGATTTGCATAAACTGTGGATGAAAATGTCAGTTTGCACGAATGAGAGCAAGACTCGACGGCAGACTTACTTCGAGATCTGCTGCACTCCGGCATGCTCTGGAAATTGCACTTCGTCCCTTAGGATGTTTCCAAACGTTGCATTCCTATTCTTGCCCTTGAAGGGCGTGGTCCCGTAAAGCATCTCGTAGATCAGGATGCCCAAAGTCCACCAATCCACCGCGCTGGTATGTCCGCAACCCTTAATGACCTCCGGGGCAATGTACTCTTCGGTGCCAACAAAAGAGTTTGTTCGGAAGTCAGCAATACATGACTTGGTGTCAATGGTGGGTAACGACGTGGCGGAGTTGCCGCTGCGCGCAGGAATCATAGTAGGGGCCCCGCCTGGTCCAGATTGTTTGGACAGATCGAAGTCTGACAGCATGATGTGGCCAGACTGGTGAAGAAGAATGTCTACCAAGATACCGTCATTAGTAACGAGCGATCACTGATATCGCATCAGATTTCGGGAAAAGAACTCACTTTCTGGTTTCAGATCGCGATAGATGAAACCCATGAGATGGAGGTATTCTAGAGCGGCAGTGACTTCTGCTGCATAGAACCGGGCGGCATCCTCCGATATACACTTTCCTGGGCGTGTTTGAAGTGCTGCGCAGTATGTGATCAGTAATACGCTCTGGGACAATTGCACAGGGTTGCACACCTCGAAAGAATTCACCGCCGCTGCAGTACTCCATACACAAGTAGAGGTAATCCTCAGACTGGAAAGAGTGGTACAGAGTCACAATGAACGGATGGTTGCTCGTAGCAAGAATTTCCTGCTCGGCCAGTGCCCGCTTGATCTTGTTTCTCTTAATCATCTCCTTTTTACTCAATACTATTCACGTACGATTAGTTTGTGTTTTCCCAGTAAGTCAAAAGCAATCATTTGGATGGCATTGCATGAACGGCAGAATTGCGGAAGCTTACCTTTCATCGCGTACAAGCGACTCGTCTTCTTCTCACGAACAAGGTAGACCTTGCCTACATCTCCCTTGCCGATCAACTTGATCTTGTCGAAACTGCTAGGGCCAACCTCCACATTCCGGACCTTGATTGAATTCGAACTATACGTCCGGCGGAAGGCAGCCGCGTTGCGAATCTGACCGGGACTCGGGACCTTGCTGTCCGGGCCCAGTTTGGGTACGGCAAGTGTACTAATGTCACTATCCCCAGAGGCTCCTACCAGGCTAACTTGAGACTGAGTCGCCCCCGATTGTTCGAGTAGAGGCTCTTTACCCATCTCCGCGGTTTGAGGACGTGCATCAGACTGACCTTGCGTGAAAAGGCCTTGTGCATTTGGTGCGGATGCAACCCGGCGAAGCTTCCGCGCTAATTCCTCCTTGTTGGCGGTCGTAGCCTGTTCAGCAGCAGAGACACCATCTACCTGCAGTTCAGGGGTGTCAGGAGGGGAGGAGGGGACTGAACCGTCGTTGCGATGCTGCAGGGAAGGCTGACCCTGGTGAACGAAGTATGGATTGGCAGTAGCAGTAGGAGAGACTCCTTCGTCGAGCGGGTTGCCTTCACTTGCGACTGTGGTTGAGCGATTGCGACCGATAGTAGGTAGGAAACGGGATTGTCTAAAAGTCGACTTCGCCTCCGCCTTGGCGCCGGTGGACGGACTGGCGTCTCGGTCTCGTTCTCGATCGCTGCTGGAATGAGGTGTGACATTGCTGCTGGAACTATTGATGCGGAAGAAATTCTTTATCCTTGTCGGGAGATGGCTCGATTCATTGTGTTTTTTGGAAGCCAGGGATAGACCGGGGAAGTTCCCACGTTTCTCATTCGTCACACCGGACGGACTAGAAGCGAAAAGCTGCGTCATGCCGGCGGGTATTGAGGTTGAAGATACCACCAAACGTCCACCTGTACCTTGCTATCGAAAGAGCGAGGAAATCCAAAGATTGTCCGAGCAAGGAAGGAGGATGAAATACGGCACAGGAGGATAGACGAAGGGCGAGCCGTGTGGGAGGGCGGCCTGCAACGGACTGCAAACCGCGGGGACAACGTTGGCGGTACAGAGTTGTTGGTTGGTTGAAGATGCCCAGGAAACTCGCTTTAGAGGGACGTGCACCCTGGAACAAGAGAGGCCGCGGGGACGATTCGCATGGGTGGAACTGAGATGTCAAAATATCCCTAAATGATAGATAGAAATACTTTTCAAACGAGGGACAACAAAAGAATTCTTCGATCTACCGAAGAGGATGGGATGGGACAGAAGGGGGCTGAGGGATGAGGAGAGCAGAGAGGGAGAGAGAGAGAACAAGAAAGAGGGAAGCGGGAAGTGGAGACGTGGAGGGATTCCAGGCTTAGTCAAGGCCTTGGAGATGGTGAACTAGTGGCCAAACTACCCTCACTACGGGGTATTAGATAGCTTGCATTATCGAAGTTTGATGGAAGAATGATAGAAGAGCATCATCTAAGCTGATACCTCTAATAAGGGTCGATACAACCATAATGGAGCGACAATGGAATTATCCAAACTCCAAATATGAGCGCTCCACTCGACATATCCAACCATCCAGACATCCACTATCAGACGTACTATTACTTCTTGGATGTTGTCGCCACTCAGCCACTGAACCCAATCAAACTCCTCAATGCTGTTCGCCTCTTGGCCACGGATTCAACCCAATTCAGCAAAAGGTTAAGTTTCTCCATTCCAGTGAACCGTTTCCACTGAGATAAGATACGTAGATGGACAGGCACACTCTTCGCCACATCGGCCACCCTTTCTCTTACGGAAAATAGTATGGGCGGAAAAGAAAACACAACACTATTACAATGAGTCCAGTTTGACACTGTCGTCCAATATCGAATATCTACCGATCTATTGCCGAAGTTGCCAATCTCGAATTGGGAGGTGTCAAAAGATCGGTACCTACGAGTCTACGACGGAGTACATTTAGGTACGACTGCGTCACTATCGATATGTGGAGAGAACGTACTAGGGAGAAAGTCGAGACTCAAATCACAATACTCTTTGGTGGACCTTCTCCTGTTTGTTATCATGCAAGGAGACCCGGTTTCTCGTCCTTAACCGTGGAGAACCTTTGGGGCCACCAGGACAGCCTAGACCGCATTCCATCAGACCAGTCTCGGTGATTCTACCTTGGAATGTACTACCAAGTTGTGGAATGTGCACTAACGATGAATGCATTATGAATGAACTGCCTGCCTGAAGACTTGAGGATACTAACTGATGAAGCAAAACTCGCTTTCGGTTCGACTTGGGCTTGCCGGAAGCTCACAATCAACCTAACAAACAATCATGTATGAAAAAGCGGTAAACTCCTGCCTGGAATCTATGATGCTAAGTACACAAGACGTCCTGTCGCGAAGTGATGTTACTAGCTTCAAGAGCTGGGACCCTCTTAGGGCTAATCCAATGAGCCTGCTCAAGAAGCCATCCTAAACTATGCAGAATCTGATTATACTATGATTGAAGACCAATTGATCGGAGTCTGAACCCCCCGAACACCTGTGGGGTCTATGGCCTGCACAGCCGACTCGGTGATTCCAGATGTACTCGCCTGTTCTCCTGGTAAATAACTATAGGCCACAAGCCCCCATCGCATATGATTGTCAAACTTTCCCCAGCTTTGTGTGCTGGGCCAGGGCCTGCATCTTGTCGTCACCATGACTGATATCGCCCAGATAGGGTCTGTTTAGCATGCCTTCAACACCAGCGAGGAATGCATGGGCATTGACATTTTGAGACACTGCCAATGCCGTAGTTTTCTGAACAAGCAAGCCGTAATCCTTGTTCAAGTACTGCGTGAGTAGTTGGGGGTTCGCCTGCTCCGCGTTGACAGAGCTCGTTTCTTCGCTCAAATCAGTCATACTAGTCGCTGAAGTAGAAGGACGCGGTCCATATGCGATTGTGCTATGCGACTGTGAACTCTTTGAATGTGACGCACTAGCATTGGAAAGCTGCGCAGTGTGCACCGTGTCTATTGCGGCAACCAGGTTGGGATAGCGTCGACTATGGCAAGGAGTTCACGTGTTTTAGCTCAACTGTCCTACTGATACAGGGGCGTCCGTACCTTTCCTGATGCGTGTCCAAACCGTTTCCGCTCTGTTGACCGTGGACCGAGTCCCCGCCTACCGAACACTTGCTGGTTTCGTCAGCGAAAATATCCTTGAACTAGGGCGTGGCAGACACATAGAAACGCTTACTCCTCGCTACGACCAGTAGCCCATGAATCCGTTGTCGATGCATAGGACGACGATGACTTGCTATCAGCGTCCTCATCTGTTTTGAAAGACATCTCGCCACGTCGGATGGGCGCTCGTTGGATTGGCATTTCAGATGCCCAAGGTCTTCTGAGACGTGGTACAACCGGCCTGTAAGTCCCAGCGCCTTTGATCAACTCCGTGGACGATTTTCTTGGAAGGTAGGACTGGACGTTTGCGTTTTTCTCACTGTAGCTATGGGCGTCTGGCACCGTCGATTGTATTGAGACTCGTGACAGTTCTTGAATAAGTTCGTTGACGGCATCAACCTTTGGCGTGGCATCCCCCATCATATGCTCTGTACCACGGAGTTCGGAGGATGGCGGTTTTGAAAAGGACGTCCAGCCATCATTGACGCGTGTTTTTCCATCTCTTGCCCTACCGTCAACGAGATCTCTAGCTCGTGTATTAGCTCTGGCAAACTCCGATCCCGAGTTAGACTTTCGATTGCGTTGGGATAATCTAGAAGCCGTCGAAGCATTCCATCCTGAGGATAAATTTTGAAATTCAAAATAATTGTCCAGACTTCCCACATTTTGACTGGCCTGCCACTGAAAATACGGGTCCACAGACTGATCGGCTGGGAGAACTGGTGGCACAGCACTGACCGGTGATAGCATGGAAAATCCAGGTATCGCATATTGTGAAGCAGAAGGGGGTATTTCCAGATGGAATTGATTGGCCATCATGCTCTGAGACAAACAATTGTTCGATTGGGCTGCGGCGCCAGCCCCCTTTTCCTTCTGATTCCCAGGTCCATTCGAGACTCTGAGGGTTGCTTCCAACTGTTCTTTGTATGACCGCACCACATCTAACTCTCGCACCAAACTCTTCCGCTGTTCGACCAGGGGCTTCTTCGCGCAGGGATCCATATCCCAAGTATGCATGGCCATGTATCTATCGAGACTTGTAAGCTGAGTTGATAGGGCTGCATAATCGGTCGAGATTTGGCTCAGAGATTTGCGCAGCGAGGATTCCAGGAAAGGCCCCATTGAGAACAGTGGCTGATTGACAGCCACCAATTGACCGCCGACTTGATGATACCCCTGCGGTGCATGGTTTGGAACGAACGAGTCCAGGATCGACGAAGATTGGCTGATGGTCGAAGAGTATCCACCGATCATACTGCTGCATGGAGCTATATCAGATGGTGTAACCAGTCCTGAGGACTGTGCCTGCGACGCGGACGACATGAAAGGAATGACGTTCGATGCGCTCAACCCTTGCAAAGATGGATGAAAGGCGAACTGATACCCCGCGAGACCATACATAGCATAATTCTGCAGCGCGGCTGCATGAGGCTCCTGAAATTGTGGTTCAAATTGAAAGTATTGTTGGCTCATCAGCGGGAAGGCCGCGTTGGGCTGCGAAATCATGGAAGAACCTAGTGCAACTGGCGCTATAGTCGGAATCGACGTCGAAGCTAAGATCCGTTCCGATTTGTCATTCATACTTATACTTGACAATCTCGCGTGCGTCGCCAGTATCCTTTGAGGTTTCGGAGACGACGAGTCGGCACTAGCATGACGGCAAATATCCTCGGACCGTTCTCTCTTGTCTTTGGCCTTGGACTTGCCTTTACCGATTGTCGGAGTAGAGAATGTGCCACGGTCATCTTTGGTTGGGTCAATCGCTGACAGTTTCATCTGAGGTGCAGAGCCCTGAGAATCCATTGGAACGATTCGCCCACCAGCAGTGACACGTTGATGTTTAGGTGACGCGTGCTCCTTGAGAAATCTCGCGAATCCAGCGTCAGCTTGAGCCGGAGCTCCTTGCGGAGGATCACTTGGCTGGCGACTAGGGTGTCGTAGACGAGGCCCCGAGGTTGAGTGGGTTCCCTGACTTTGACGCGATCTATTTGACCCGTTCCTTGACCCGTTGACTGGACGCTCAGACAAAACACTTCTATCTGCTTTGTGTTGGCGGAGCAAGTTATCTGGATGACATCAAACCGTTAGCATTACCGAGCTCATTATGCTTGAATGATGACTGCAGAGGCACATACAGCCTAGGGCCTGCGCACTGAATCGACCAAGGTCTATGTGCATATTCTGGCTCATTGCCAGCAGGGTTGGGATGTCATATCTCATTTTCCGATTTGGACAAATTATGCTTAGGGGACGTCCAAAGGACAAGATCAACACACATGAGACGTGTCAAAGCAGTATGGGAAGACAAGAAGCGAGAGAGGTTCTCCTGTGATGTTGTGATGTCCTTGCTGGGGGTTCGCGTCGAAGAAACTCACCCTGGGTATATAATCGGGCGGATCTAGAAGGTGCATTGGACCCTGCCGGGTCAGTGAGCAAGTGCTCTTGTGAGGAAGGACCACACTTAGATCATGTATGTGAAGTACTTGGATTGTTTTATTATCCGGTAGGAAATTATCATCTAGAATAGTAGATCTCATGTGGCTATTCCATTTGATGGCGAGTGCAGCGAACAGCTCAGCTCAACTGGCGCGACAAGTGCCTGGCGATCCATATCAAACATGTTCCCGAGCCTGGACTGGCTTAAGGACGCTGTGAGTATTCCAGATATCGTCATGTTCGTCTTCGAATGGAGGTGCAGTCGTCCGATTCCCAGCAAGAGTCGACGTCATCTCCCAGCTTCCAGTCCGCTCATGACCACAGACAACTGCTCCTCCAGCCCCAAATGTCTCACTATCTGGGCTCTCTGCTGGCTTAACATCCTCATGCGTAGAATCTTTGGCGGTAAGGTCAGCATCACTTGCCATCTTGCTATTACCCTTGAACCCTCCAGCGCTTGATCTGCTCATACGTCTCATATGGAACCCACGCACTAGGAAAAAGAGTATAGCAGCCAGTGCTAGAGCGACGACTGTAACCACAGCTCCAATCACGCCAGCAATAGCCGGACTTAACCTGTTGTCGGAGGTAGATGTCTTCTTAGCCTTGCCCATCACTCCGGAACAAAACACAGCCGACGATCCGCATTCGAGGCACCACTGCCGAGTCGAACCAAGAGAAAACTTCTCCATCTGTGCGTGGAACTCGGAGTATGGGATCGCATCGTTACTTGGGCCGTGCCCAAAAAGTGGGTAGGACCGAAATTCGGCGGAAATGCCTGTTCCGTTACGCAGGAGAAATCTCACGTAGAGCTGAGACTGGTCCGGGTATGTTGGGGCTCCTTCAGCTTCGAGGCTAAACAGTTCGAAGACGAGCGACGCCCCGAGGTCTGGACGCGAGTAGAAGTTCTCCTGGCTCGACGACGCGAGCTGCATGAGCGAAGCAAGAGCCACAGCGGGTTCCGAGCCCCAAAAACAAGGCTCATCTTGCTGTTAGCTCCCCGGTATTGGGTGTTGGTGTCAAAAGCTTCCAAAACATGCGACGCCAGGGTTCTCCCTGCAATTGTGCGTATGTCATTGGATACGCTGGGTTCCGACGAGGATACGTTGCCGTTCGTTGCGTACATATAGTGGTCTGCATACCATCGCGCACGTTCGATATCCTCTCGTTGCAAACGGGACAACAATGATTTATTGTGCAATAACTCATATTCAAGGTATTCCGATACGTAGAAGGCGTTGGCATAATTGGCCGAGGAGAGATCATATACTCCCCTCAAGGATTGGCTGTACAAGCGACCGTAGAATGCCTCCGACTCTTGCGTAAGTTCCTGTACCTCAGGGCTGAATTTGTACTCCAAGTCAGCAACTTCGTGCAGAGTACATTCAAACAGTCCGTCCACAATGATCGATCGAGGATCTGCTGAGCCCACCGTGATCACTTGGGGATACTGATATCCGTTCAAAGGAGCACGAGACAGCGACCCATTAGCGAGCACGAAAGAAGGGTCATAGAATTTCCCATCGTAGACCTCGCCGAGCGGCGGATACAGGCCCTGCATGAAAGCTTGGGCCGATGCCACGGCTGGCTGATCGGTCCTTGAAAGAACGGAGATCTCCTCGGCCTCTAGTGCGTACGGAGACAGGCTCGGTATTCTTGTTCCCACGCCACTCCCGTTGCTATGTATGGCAACATAGCGGTCTCGAAATGCGGACCCGGCGGCATACAATTCACTTGCTCCGTACGGAGTCAACGCTCTTGGGCGAGGCAGAGCGTTCGGGATACTATCCCCGTGAAGTGTATATGCGAAAACCGACCAGACTTGCTCCTTGAGGTCTTGGGCTGCGACCAGGAGAGGAAATTGCAAAGCTGCCGCTGCTGCCAGGGCCAGGAAGCGTTCGCGAGAGATCAACATCACGATCTGAGAAGCAATTGTTTAACGAATGGTGGGGGTTCAAAATTGCGAGGCTCGGCGCAGTATGAGCTTGACAGGAGACAGTCCAGATGATATTATTCAGTCAAGCTTGGGGTAGTAGCATAAAATATAGTCGCTTTCTTCAGTGTATAAGTCAGCTGAACGGGAGAATTCCAAGCATCCTGTCCAATTTTAAGGTACCGAAGGAAAGCATCGCAAAGACGTCTAGACCCCAATCACGGCCGTTGGTATCCAAGAGTGCTGGTATGGATATGACGAAACGAATATCATTGCATCAACACTGGAGTTGTATCAATATAGACAGAGTGTTTGCAGAAGTTACATGTGTGGTTGTCCCACCGGGCATCCCTCTCTGTTCCATGGTCACAAGGCTTCAGGTAGATGTATGTATGTCCCCCTCACAAGATAATTCCACTGGTTCATTAGTACGTAGACGATTCTCAAAGACGCGTACCCTTCCCGTTTCAGTCTACAAAATCGAAGCGCAAGAGAGAAATCGCCTTCTTTAGCAATTGATGCTCGATTGAACTCACTTTTGGCCCTCGATAAAGCCGAGATGAATACCACTCACTCAGCTTTGTAGATAAGACTATGGATTTTCTGTAAATTTTGTAGACCAGAGTAGCACATCAGTCTGTTTCAACTGTAGAGGCATGGTAAGCATCAGGGTCAATGACGCGAGCATCGGTAATGGTAGGTAGCATTCGAGCCAAAGTAACCGTATGAGGCTCTACTCTGGTACCGTTGACTAAAGTTTGCAGTGGACATATTTGGTTGTCAATTGCAAGTCAGGTTGGTAAAGAAGTCAAATGAGTGCCCTTTATAACGTATGTCAAATGAAAGCTGAGGGCTAGGTTCGTTTATCTTCTCTGAAGAGGTTGCCAAACTGGTTGGTTTAGATCCTCAGGCATCAAGGCAGAACTCGAACTCCATGTCAGCATTTCCACAGTCTGTTTTTGCCGCCTGTTCGTCAAGCAAGGAGGAATCTAAATTTGTAACTGAGATCAATTTGCCTTGACGATTGGAATAGTAGTAGTCTACCTTATCGAGTGAATAATAATAGAACAGTGTGAATACACCTCCAAAGTTGAAGCATTCACAGCTTTCGCCCATCTGATTCGTCCCTCCTGACCGCTTCCGGCTGCCGGCGAAAAATCTATCACGCCGTCCCGTCCGTCTCACCTCTCCCCAAGCCCTACACCTGCGCCCTACCCCTAAGCCCTTATTTCTGCTCTTGGAAGTCAAGATAGTATCTTATTAGGACCTTGCCTTGTCCAATATGGTAAACACGCGAGGTTCAGGTCCCTCGTCTGACGATCACGTCTCTTCTGAGCTTCCTGCGTCTCCTGCCCTCAAGGTCGAGGACGATGGTAAGTGTTCCTCGTGGTTTATTGCGGACCTTGATCTGCCTGTCCAACATGACACAGGAGGTCATTGTCATTTCTTTCATTTATTTAAAATAAAATTGTAGCCTGTTGATGGTTTGAAGTTCGGTTCTGACTCTGATTCATTTGCAGCTTCCTTGAAGGCGTCTCACCCGCGCGAGGAGGACGAGGATGGCTCCCTTTCCCCTCGAGCTTCGAAGAAGCGGCGCATCGAGCCCGAGTCGGAAGGGCTTCTTCTCCTACCAACTCAAACGACCGAACTGACCGATCAAGTCCCTGGACATCAGATCGAAGAAGAATTAGTATCCGCGCTCGGTTCTGGGATTGTCGATACTGTGGAACGCCAGAATGCCGGGCCGACTCAGACGGTCAGCTCCGCGGGAGATCCCGCGGCGCCGGAGACAAACCCGGAGCTTGATGATATGGCGTCTGTCATCTCTAGTATCATGAACCATGCTGAACGGGTCGAGGAACAATGCGCTATGGGCCAGCAACAATTAACTACTGCGACAACGACACCGGCTACCCCGGCGGATCAGCCGGCGCCTAAGGGTCTAGTTTATGTGAAGGCAAACTCGCACTTGAAGATTCAGAGCTTGCCTATATTGGACAATCTGGTAAGAATGCTTCTTATCCTGTTATGTGGACCTTCTAGACTTCAACCCTGACACATGTGCGGTTCAGTCTACCCAAATTCTCTCTCTTCTGGCCAAATCCACTTATCAGGACATTACCTCGTTTGTGGCTGAGCCGGAGTCAGAAAACGGACAAGCTTATGCGACCATGAGATCCCTCTTTGATCATACGAAGAAAGTGTATTCCTCCAAGGAATCTTTCCTGTCACCGACCGAACTTGGTCTCACGGAACCTTCACAAGTTGACATCATCAGAAAAGCAAACCTGGCCTCATTTGTTTCAAGCATCTTTGGCACACAAGAAATCGGATTTGCTGAGCTGAATGAGCATTTTCTGGATGTTTTCGTCCCGGAAGGGGGCCGCCTGTTGAAAGTACAAGGGGCTCTGTTTCTGGAGCTCAAGACCCAAGCGTTCATAGCCTCCATGAACAACACTGAGAGAACAAGGACCGAGTTGCTGTATGACCTGTTTCCAGATGACCTGGAGCAGCGGTTGCTTGACCGACGGCCAGGAACTCGTCAGCTAGCACCTAGTGAGGCTGATTTCGTGAAACGTGCCGGCTCACGTCGGGATATTCTTTTGAACGATATCAACAACGAAGAAGCGATGAAAGCTTTGCCCGATAAGTACCACTGGGAAGATTTTCTCCGAGACCTCAGCTCGTACATTACGAAGAACTTTGATGCTATCTGCCATCAACAGGTTTGTTTTTTTCTGTGACCCCTATCTATCCTTGCCTTGCTAATGCTGATCAGACGAAGAAATTGAATAAGGGAAGACAGCCATCTTCATCGAGTGGCGAATCACAAGATACGCCCAGTGCACCCCTCCAGGGCCAATTCCCTGTTGCTTCGCAAGCGCCTGAAGTTCCGGTTGACAAGAATATGCATGGTGACCTAGTAGCCCGTGCGGCACGTGCGGCCCAGATCGCCTTGCAGGGCCATGGATTAAGACGTTCTCAACAACAGCAGTCCCAACAGCAGCAGTCCCAGCAACAGCAACAGCAACAGCAACAGCAACAGCAACAGCAGCCCAGTCAGCCACAGCAACCAGGACAACCCCAGCAACAGCAACAGCAACAGCATCAAAACCATATTCAGCAGGCTCAGCAGCAACCCCAGCACCACCTACAGCAACAGCAAATGCCACAGCAGAGTTCTCAACATGGGGCCCAGCCACCTCATGGGTATACTGCTGCTCAGCCCACAGGCCAGCTGCCACCTCAGCAAAACCCACATCAACAGCACTACCAGCATAGTCCAACCCCGCCGGGGTATCAGCAGCAGCCCGGGCAGCTCACATTCCAGCAAAGCCCTCTGCAAGCAAACTTTCAACAATATAACCCTGGGGTCACGTCTCCATGCCAGGGAGACCCAACGGTGGTCAATCAAATCATGGTTATATGCCTGGAATTCCTCACTATTCACAATCACAACCCACTCAGGTACTCTATGAGCGCGCTCGCATGGCGGCTTCGGCGAAATCTTCTCCAAGCAGTCGCAAATCCGGCCTACCAAGCCAGCGCCGCCCCTGGACTACCGAAGAAGAAAACGCTTTGATGGCTGGACTGGATCGCGTAAAGGGGCCACACTGGAGTCAAATTCTTGCGATGTTCGGCCCTGGGGTACTATCAGCGAAGCCTTGAAGGATCGGAATCAGGTGCAGCTGAAAGACAAGGCGCGCAACTTGAAACTCTTTTTCCTCAAGAGCGGTATCGAAGTTCCTTACTACCTGAAGTTCGTTACCGGTGAACTCAAGACGCGCGCTCCTGCGCAGGCCGCTAAACGTGAAGCACGGGAGAGGCAGAAGAAGCAAGGCGAAGAAGATAAGGCTCATGTGGAAGGTATCAAAGGCATGATGGCCCTTGCTGGCGCACACTCGCAGCCCGTTCCGCTCGGACACGGGCACGAAGCAATGTCTGCTTCTCCCGGCCTTCCAGATACTGGCAGCCATTCTACATTCGATCAGACCGCGGAGCAGAACCTGATGCAGACACTGGGCCAGGAAGTCCATGGGGCTCAATTTGGCCAACCTCAACATCAACAAGGAAACGTCGATCCCAACATGCACATGGGACAGTAAAAACTGGTCGTTCTTTCTAAAGTTTTCTTTTCTCCGGCCTGCCCCAGGGATCGATCTGAAGTCGCTGTGGGTTTTACCATCCGAATGGCGATATGTCTTTTCACTTCTGGTGAAGGATGCTGCTTGCTGCGTTGTGTAATAACATGGTTTGGGTCTGGTTTGGTCTGTAAGAGTAGAATTCAGGCATCTATTCGTACATATGTAAAATGACTCTGTATTTATAATGAATACCATTTTCAGTTGAGCCTATTTTAGAGAATATCATGAAATCATACTCAAATCGTTGCTTTTCAAGCTCATGTAGCAGGGCGCATAGTTTAAGTGTCCTCGGGCCGAACACGGACAGATCTCCGCGTGTGCATCACCAACACACATCGAATCGTTGTACACACCCTGGAAAGAACAAACCTCAGCGAAACGTTTCCCCCAATTCTCCTATTCGTCCAACAGGGGTTGACTTTACCCGTCCATTCACTTCCGTCTCTCTTGCTCAAGTCACTAATAAAGTGATCTGTCACGATGGCCGATTCATCAACTCTATCACAACCTCCAGCGCCGCCTTCGTCGCAACCACCACCTTCATCCCAGATCGGCTCACAAGAGCTTCCGTCATCATCAACACAGGCAACAGTACCAGGAGAGTCATCGGGTACTTCTGAACCCCCGTAGTACCGAAACAGGAGCCAAATACGACGGATGTCGAAGCCCTTGACGCCTCCATCGCGCAGGATATCGATATGAACACCGGTGGCATTACCAACGCTGCAGGCGCAAGCGACGGAGATAATACGATAGGGAACCCCGTTCAAGATGCAGTGCCTACATCTGTCGACGCTATTGCAGCGGCAGTGGCACCATCGAAGAAGGAGACGAGTTTGCGCGAGTTTCTGGGCAAGATGGATGATTATGCGCCTATTGTAGGTCTTGCTTCTCTTGTCATTTTTCCTCTTGCCTTAGTTTTGCCCGCTGTCTCTGTCATGAACGTATAGAAAAGTACACTCTTGAGGCATTCTAACAAGATATAGATCCCAGACGCGGTAACAGCTCACTATCTCACTCTCGCCGGTCTACCACCCCCAGGAAACGGACCGAACCAAACCCCCCACATCTCGCCCGACTCCTCGCTCTCGCAACACAGAAATTCATTGCTGATATTGCGGCGGACTCATATCAGTACGCACGTATCCGCGCCTCGAACAGTACATCAGCCAGCAACCCCATGGGCAGTCTGAACGCTGCCTCAGGTTTGAACATACCCGGCGGTGCTGGAGCTGGCGCAGCAGGCGGCGCAGCGGGCGTTGGTGGCGGCGACGCAGGCAAAGGCAAAGCGAACACACATCTAGGCATTCAGCGTCCTGGTTTTGGCGGTGGTGGCTCCGGTGGCTCTGGGCAAGGTCGGACGGTGCTCACCATGGAAGACTTGGGCATGGCTGTTGCAGAGTATGGTGTCAGCGTCAAGAGAGGGGAATTTTACCGGTAGAGAAGGCTGGGTCCTCGTGACGGAACACACCGCGGTGGTCAGTACAGCCAGCATGCGACCGGGTGTCATCCGCTTGGCCTGAATGATTCTCCGTCTGCACGGTTGATAAAGCTCATCCACGAGATTTGGGCGACTTATGAGAGATTTTGACGTTATATTCATACGCAGTCTTGGCGAGAGGGATTATGGTGGCTTTCTCTGGGAAGGCAGATTTTTCAATTTTATTTGGCGTACATACCGGGTTGAGGACGACGGATATCCTGCATTGGGGTTTCTTATATTTCGAAAAGAATTTTCCTTTTCTGAACTTTGCTCGCAGGCGTTTTTGGAAGGCTGAATGGGACACATATTCATTGGTGTTCAACCCAACAAGTATACAACTCTGATATCCAGAATGAAAATATTGACTTTCGCAAAACCTAAATAACTCCAACACAGTAACCGCTATTTTTACAATACAGATATGTGTAGATGTACACATCCCGCCAGTAGAAGACGGAAGAGCCTCGACAGGGAGACGATACCGCAGAGCAGCCAGATCTGTTACCCTCCAGTAGACATTCCCTGCCTTGATCATTTGGAACAACCGCCGTAGCAGTCCCAATCACGATCCCATCCCATAATGCTGCTCGCCCAGGAACAACACCCGTAAGCGCCAGTGCCAAGGTCTCGAAAACGCAGCGACAAGAACCATCGAACGGTATCCCCATACCGCCGCCAGAACCACTTATTTGTTCTTGGACTGCTTGTACGTGAACCGCTTGCGGGTACTACCAATGCCAGCCGTCAGCGTCTGCTTCTGCTTCTGTTTGTCGCCCTGATTGTCGGGAAGTCTCTCAAACTGAACGGGGCATCAGACATACGGAACATATTCGCCCAGCTTCCTCCCCACCATATCCTCTGTGATCAACACATCCTGGTACGTCTTCCCATTGTGCACTGCGAACCGCAAACCGACGAAATTAGGCAGGATTGTGGCTCCGCGCTTCTGTGTCTTGATCGGGGTGTGCCGGGAGGAGGGGAAGCTTTCGCGGGAGAGGGAGACTGTCGAGAGAAAAACCGAGTGTCAGCTTATACAATAGAAGAAATCAAACTCATTTGAAGCTCTATCCGCAATTCTGAGGCAATTATATTCAAGCTAGCGAATGGAGATACGTACGGTACGATGTTCGGGCCTGCGGTGATGGTAGCGATTAGCCATTATCCTTTCCTTCGAGACGTATAAATCAAATAGGAACAATCTTGGGAAACTTACCTTTCCATACGGATCGCCCCAGCAGAGCACGAGTGGGAAACATCTTGTCGATACACGCTGCTCAACAAGTCCGAGACTCCGCAGGTTGAGAGTCGCAAATCAATGCTTTTCGGATGGTTGATTATGTAAGCGAGTATACTTGGGATAACTTTTGCATGAGATACCAAGTCATTACGAAGAGGAGATCTGAACTTTGAGAAAAAATAGCTACTATTCTTTTTTATCTATTATAGCCATTGACTGTGATTGCTAGCTGTTATATGTCTCTTCCCCAAGCAAGCTATCATCGTATATTGGTAGCATTAAACAGAACCAATAGCTTGAATATCTTCAGATCCAGAAGCCGCCAGCGACTGTTGGATATAAAGATCCCGTGTTCCTGAATTTTATTTGACGTGCTCATTCCATAGCAAGCTCATCAAGTAGCCTGACTAAGCTCCGGACTCCCATGAGGACGTTTTCGTCCGGACCCTGACCGGGCGTCCAACTGGCGTGCGCAAAGTCAATCAGGCGGAGGTCATGCACCTTCGGAGGTTCATCCTCTTCCTCCTCGTCTTCAAAGTCTATTTCTCCTAATTGTGCCGTTTCTGGACCAAGGTTGATATTGATTGCCTGCTGCGGTATTCCCTCTTGTCCAACCTGGAGGTTGACAACTTCGAAGGAGCCATCTTCCTGCAGAGCAAAATCAAACTCCTCGTCCTCTTCATCGGCCTCTTCCGGTGATCTGTCCCTGGGTTTCTTTTCTTCTTCTAGTGCTTGTTCCATGGCCTCTGGGTCACCTTCGTAGACAATGAGAACACTAGACGAATACATCCTGCTCTCTTCCGACTCCAGGATAAACTGCACACGCCTCAGCTCGTCAGCAAGTCTCTTGGTGATTAGTTTGGACCGATCAACAGGGCCGGCCTTTGCGCCGGCGAGGAACGTCTTAAAGCCTTCTTTCACATTCTTCTCATTAAAAGACCGTCCGTACCACTTGTCGTAGCGCTTGTAGCCGTCCTTTTCAATGACTTCGCCCTTAGCACCCTCCGCTCCCTCATGCTTGGTGGCGTACGGATTGGTCTTGCCGCCCTCGTCCGTCTCCCCATGAGCGCCGGTCCAAACCTTCATCCCGGCAATGCGAAACCCAAGGCTACCGCTGGTTGTCTCCTTGGCCACAGCCTCCAGCTTGGCCCGTTTCGCGGGAGGCGCGTCATCAGCCCAAAGTCGCGCGCCAAGCTTCACATCCAGGACATTTGGACGTTTAAACCCAGACGCGACATTCTCCAGGACTATGGACAGCCCTGTTTCGAGTTTTTTTCCACCAGAGGGCACCCAGATTTTGTTTTGTTCTGCGCCATTCGAGCCAATTCCAGAATTCAACCCAAGTTGCGGAGCCTCCGCGGTGGTCGGCGTGGCGGATGATGATGAGTCGTCCGCGGTGGGTAAAACAATAGCTCCACTCTGCTGAGCAGCAGCAGTGAGCGCTAACGGCCCTTGCTGGTCGGCAGATGATAAGGTCCCGATGTAAGTGGGAATGAACTCTCGAAAGGCGGGATGGAGGGCGCTAGATTCGTAAAATGCAACTTCTTGGGGAGTGCAAGGTTTCGCGATGAAGGAACCAGAGGGAGTGCAACGCACGCCGTCACTGTAGAGAAAGGTGTTAGACCAGTCATGCGACCCTGTATATGCGCACAAAGCGCACTGCGCTGACAATGATTGGATGCTCAATGCAGGATAATTCAGCCGCCGCTAGAGAGGCTGAGATATGGTGACGTGGGCAAGGAAGGTGAGCCGAGCGAAATGGATACTTACTGTCCAGCAGCGGCGTGATCGAAGTCGACAAAGCTGTCAGTGTCGAGTTTGGCTGTTTTCAAACTATCGGACCTTGAAGACGATGGCATGTTGTTCGCGAGAGAGAATAATCATATATTGTTGCACACCGGAGCGCCGCTAAATCTCATTCGTTGCTCATTCCGGAAATGCGTTTGACAAGTAAGGAGGTATTTCGAGGCCGCGATAGAGATATGAGAAGTAGTCCAAGGTGAAAGGAATGAAGTCGTAGGTAGAGTGTAGTCAAAGAGATGGCAGAGTTAGGGAGCGAAGAAAAGGAGAGACAAGGCAAGTGCACTTCCGTCTACGGTTGAAATGCAACCATGATCGGCATGACTGACACAAGGGGGTCGGAAATAAATACCTAGGAGATTATTCAAAATAATACCGCTCTAATAGTCTGATGGAGTCGTTGTCGCCTTAGCGTCTTGGTTCGAACAACGGTCAGTTTTGATAAGAAGTGATCGGCGGCTGTGATTGCCGGCTCAGCGCGGGCCGAGGACGGCTTGTTTCTTGGGATGGCATCATATCTGCCGCTTTTGGTTGAGGCGAAGCCTTTGTCCCTGGCCCTTCGAGAAGTTCAATATACCCAAGTCTTGAGTCCTATTTCGCTCTTTGTCGTTATACTAGATGACATGGGTATAGATGGCCTTGTCAGGAAAGGAACAGAGAGTGCTTCTAACTACGGAGGCATTGTTTCTTGCAACTCTTATATTTACAAGGGTATTCTGCCTCTGTAGATGTCAGTGATATCAGCTTGTTAATAAAATATGTTTCAAGATGGAATGGAACCTTTTTAACGGGCCTTGTTGTCTTTCGAGCACATATTACCAGAGTGGACGATCAAGGTGATATTGTTACCATTCAAACTATCTAGTCCTTGACTAATATGTGGGCAACCAGTCTAGCAGCAGTAGAGAATCATTACTGTACTCCTTTACACTCTTGTATACTAAACATATGAATGAATATTCGCTAGAGTTATAGCAAAGGGCTCATTATGAAACAGACTGATTAGCTAGTTCACTGCCAAGCTGGGCTTTAATTAGCCTCAACCACATGAACTACAGTCTAATAAAGCCTCAGAAAAGCCTAACAAGGCTTCAGAGACGCCAGGTATAGTTAGTTAAGATCTCAATGGGGCTTGGCACTACCATTAATTTGGTAGGTGAGAAGAAACGACGTCCTTGATATACTTTATATCGACGATTCAATAAGGGAGACGAGGGTATACTATAGGACTAATTTCCATATGTCTAAGAATTTGAAAAGCTACAACCTATGTCCTTCAGTATAGTCTAATTTGAGTGAAATAATTGCCAGACTGACAAGTGAATGAAGCACGTATGATGGGGCGGACGTGGTTGGATCCTCTGGATAGTATCACATCTGCCTCTTTTGGTCTTTTTAATTCTTGGCTTCCCATGTTGATGAAGATATTATCTAGGCGCAGCTGGATTATCCTAATTAACGTAGCCTGAATCTGCTAGATCTTTTTCCACCTTATTCTCGGAAACCTGCTTGAGGCACCACAGTCGAACAATGAAGAAGCTTGCGTGCTCTGTTCGTCGGTGAATTGCATGAATCAAACAGACTGAGAAGCAGTTGCACCGTTGGAGGCAGTGCTTTTCTTCTCTCTACCAAATACTAGTGAATTGAATCCTCTCTCTTTTTCTCTTCTATCTCTCTCTCACACATTCATTGTCTACTTCCCACCCCGTTGACCTGAACTTTCTTTCACTTTTGCATCAGCTTGATCTAATCATCTCTTCTACCTCGTTAGCAGACGATCTAATCCAGACCTCTCATGGCAATGGAGTCTCCAGAAATCCCCTCGAACTCTTCTCATGCGCTCCTTCTTCGACCTCTCGAACAACACAACGACCCAGAAACTGAGCAGCTCAACACGGGCACTTCTCCAAAACATCAGACAAGCAAGCCAATTGAAATGACTCGACCCCGGTCAGAAGCAAATGGTAGTCAACAGGAACCAGAGTCTATCCCTGTTAATATGGTGGAGTCAAAGAAGAAAAAGAAGAAGACCTCCAGATCGAAAATCAAACGCGGCAAAGTAGGACGTTTGCCATTGACCGGAATGACGTTATGGGCGAAACTGACACTTGCACTTTCTGCAGAACAAGCCGACAGGGTTTGAAGAGTACTACGTGGACGCCCCTATAACACCCCAGGAGTATGCAGAGGGACGAGAGATATACGATGTGTATGTTACTACTGCCACACCACGAGACGAGTAGGCTGACAAGCATTTAAACTTACCAAGCTCACGGCCTATAATTCAGTAAGTTCGTCTCGCAGCTAGGTCTCATGATCTGCATCTAACGTCCCTAGTCGAATGGAAGATGCAATTCTACGCTTCCAGAAGAAGCGGCGCATTGAAAATGACAGACGCGAGGTCTTCTTAAAGTACCTGCAATATGGAGGCGTCGATATCAGTCCGAAGATGTTCACGGGTACGGACCAACGTGATCTCAAGGAAATGGACAGTGAGGAGATCCTCATGGCCCGGGCCCAGACAAGCATCGCGCAGGAGCAATTGAACTTGCAGATTGACTTCAACGCTGTGGTCAAGGGATACCTGTAAGTCTTCAAGGCAACACAATGCTGCGGCACTATAATGAGACTGACAGCTGGACAGGACCTCCTACTTCCCGTACTACTTCAACCCCGAAACCGAGGACATGGTAAAGCTTGCCACTGTCACGATTTGGAACTTTCTCACGTACATCCTCTACCACGACGTCGTCCCAGAATACAAAACGAGCATCGAGGAAGCCAGGAAATCCTGCGACATTGCCGGCAAAGAGCTCTGGAAAAACCAGGAGTTCACAGTCAAAGGACCCGGAAACTTCAATACCGCTTGCTCTACGCTCTTTGGCGGCGTCTTTTTTGACCTCTACGTTGAAGACGACAAGTGGAACAACAGCAAGAAAGACGCAGTGCGCATGACCAAGGAGATCGCCCGTAAGGTTGTCAAGTTCGCTCTGGCAGGCGCTGGGGTTGATCGACAGGCCGTCCGATTCCAAGAGCTTGCAAACCAAGACGCACTGCGGGCGATGCGGGTCGAAGACATCGATGGCTTTGAAGTCACCGCCATCATCTTCCCAGACGACGAAGCTAAGGAGTTTTACCAGGTCCGCGCTCCAGATCTCCACCCCGTTGGAAGAATGCTGGCAAAGGCCTACCGCGACCCCGGCAAGCCCGACATTGACCTTAACCCTGAAGAGAGACTTCAATGGGAAGAAGGCGGTGCACCAACATTGGAGTTTGACTTCTTCCTTGAGGAGAGTCTGCTGAAGTTGTGCTATCCTGGCATGAAGGTCATAACATCGGTTTGGGAACTTAACTGTGGATTTCATTACTTTGACGAGGTGTTCACAGCCTACTGTTCTATTTACACGGTTCTGGCCAACGATTTGATGATAGGTTGGAAGAAACCGAAGGATTTGCGGACGGGAGATGATCTTGAAGCTGTCGATACTGACGATGAGGAAAGCAAGGATTCAAAGGAAAAGAAAACAGAGGGTGGCCACGCTGTTGAGCCGGTGATCTGATCTGAGTTTATTGCGTAGCAGCAGCATACGTTGGTGCACAATTCGATGGGTCTTAATCTGAAAATTAATAACTCTCCTCATATACACACATAAATTCATGTTTCTGATTGGAAAAGTAGATCATGGCTTCAAGAGAGACTTTCCCGTAGTGTTCCTCCCCTCAAGGTCGATATGCGCCTGTTGAACCTGCTCAAGCGGATAAACCTTGTGAATTTTGACCTTGAGCTGGCCAGACTGGAGCAGGTTGAACAGCTCATTGACATAGAATTCGAATTCTTCGCGGGTCTCGATGTAGCCGAAAAGTGTTGGACGGGCAACCTTGACACACTTGGGGGAGAGTTTACTGTCCAGGTCAGTCTGTGTCCACGGAAAGCAATAATGTGAAGAACCAAACTTACTTCAAAGGCAGAGGAGGAACGGGTCCACTGGCATTCCCGAACCAGACAATAGTACCTTTCCTCTTGACGACCTCCAGACTTCCTTCCCAGGTATCCTTTCCGACGGAATCATAGACGACGTCCACACCTCGGCCACCGGTAATCTCCTTCACGCGCTTCACCCAATCCTTTCCCTCTTCACTGCGGTAGTCAATTACATGATCCGCACCGAGGCTCTTCACCAGCTTGACTTTCTCAGGACCACCAGCAGTACCAATGACATGCGCGCCAATCGACTTGAGGATCTGCGTCATGAGAAAGCCAGCACCACCAGCGGCAGCATGCAAAAGCACCCAGTCGCCCTTCTGCACGGCGTAGGTCTCCTTCGCAAGCGACAAGACGGTCAGCCCGCTCAGGAACGATGCCATGACGTCCTCGTCCGAGACGCTGTCGGGGATCTTGACCGTCTTGGCCGCAGGGACGGCAGTGTACTCCGCATATCCGCCGGTGCTGAGCCAGGCGACACGGTCACCGACCTGGAAGTTGTAAGGGTTTGGCCCGGGCCCCAGGGCAACGACGGTGCCGGCGCCTTCGCGGCCCAGGACTTCAGGCTTTGGGGCGGGGTAGAGCCCCGTGCGGAAGTAGGTGTCGATGTAGTTAATGCCGGAGATGTTATTCTTGACGAGCAATTGGCCCTCTTGCGGGGTGGGGATGGGATAGTCGGTTTTGAAGTCGAGGACCTCGGGGCCGCCGGTCTTTTCGACCAGGACGGCTTTCATGGTGGCTGGGATAGACATGGTTCGTGATTGTGATGAGGTTGTGAGTGAGGCTGTCGGCCGAAATGACGGTTGGAGATGAGAGCGAACGCTGGAGAGACGAACGAGTGCGGGAGATGTGACCGCAAGGGAATTACTGAGGCGGGGAATGAAGGCGCGGGAGAGATGCATTCGATGGGAGGGGAGGATAGTGAGGTTATAAGACTGAATTACAGGAACCTTCTTAGCGATCTATCATCATCTTATAGAAGAGCATTTGTCAGCTCGAGTGCTATTTCTCTGGTTATATCCGACGTCTACGAGCATTCCCGCAGTTCCCCCACTATGGAGGTATTCGCAATGGACAATAACCACGGATTTTGATCCGGTCTGCCTGGAAGTTTATATTATTTATGATTTCAACAGCAGCTATTCTATCCCTTATCAAGCAACTATCTTGAATCATGTTCAAGTTGTCCTCTCCAGCTTCTAGTTCTAATCAACTTCCTCGGGAATGACGCCATCGGGTGTTATCCGAGTTTATCGGAGCTCTTCCCTTGGCCTTATCCCCGAGGGTTCAGAGCAGAAGGAGAAAAGGAAATCAAAGATGGAAGATGAGAGGTGAAAATTGAATCCTTGTATCAATAGTTATTATTGGTGGATGTACAAGTTCAAGGGAAGGAATAGGCCGAAGAAGCATAGAAGTAGCTTAGAGGAGCCTACCTTGCACAAGATAACTATATTTTTATATTGACCAAGCAACTAGTGGCATACAGGTTGATTTCCGTCCTGATGAGAGTGAAACTACCAAAAAAACAGTATTAACACACTCGAAAGTAAAGGAGATTCTCCTAGCTGAAAGATGGAGACAGGTATTCAGAAAAGTATGACTCAGACCTACTGTTGTGTTGGCTGTCTCTCCACATCTACTCATTGCCAGCAAACTCTTTGATGCAATCCACATTTCTCCCTTCCACAACTTCTCCATCATCATCAGAATGAACGACCTTATTTACATCGCATTGCTTTTTTCATAGTGCTCATCCCTACCTATATTGATGAGAGTGCTATTGTTTGCCGCCCAATCCTCTGACTAGAGGTAACACAAACGTCGTCAGTTTGCAGGCTCATTTTACAGACTCTACTGAGCAGGACCAACAAAATATCGACATCATACGCTTTGTCTTTCCCTCGTCAAGGATTGGATAACGATCCATTCTTCAATGGTCAATAATCGTCGATGACGGCGCTGGAAGAGGCCGAGTGGTCACCCTGCGCCTGACCTTTTCTGCTCGCGTGGAATGGATGCAGTGTCCATGAACAACTGTCATGTCTGTCAATCCTGTGCAGTAAGTGGCGTTTTCACATCTGCAAGGCTCTCTCCGCAACAGCCCTTCCTGCGCCAGGAGATCATGATTCGTCCGTTCAACAAGAACCTCGACACTAGCGTTGATCCAGATTGGTTGTCTAGTGTGTCTCTGTCCGCCGGCGCAGGGCGTTTACAAACCCACAGCTTGCGATTACCACTAGCCTTCCCGACCATGTATCATCATATTTCGGTGCCTGTTGAGTGTTGACATGTTTGAAGCATCGCCACCCATTCTCACAGTCGGACATCTGTACATGGGAGGTTGATTCGCTGCCTATTAACGCCCAACCCCCGAGTCTGTGCTCTGATAGGGCCGCCAAGATGAAACACGCTGCCCAACTAGGCCCTTTACGATATTTATATATCAAGCTCTCTGGCGCTGGCTCTTTCTGGTTCTCTTTGTTCCCATAGACCCAGGGACGAAAAGTTTTTCTTCATCGTTTTTCTTGTATCATAATCTTGTACACTAGAGCCGACAGCTTCCCGAGGATCTTCCCGGATAACCTTCTGATATTTGTGTTCGCTCACATTTCTAGCCTGGTATCCCATCACGACACATCTCTCTGTTCGATCTCTCCGACGCCTACACAACTCCGAGTGAGTCTGAGAATCGACGGTTATACCATGCAAACCGCCACCAGGGAAGGATATCTAATCAGCCGTGCCACTGCCACAGGATAGCCTTTGCCAGTTCAGCTCCTCTGAGAGAAATTTTTGTCTGTGTTGTCATTCCCCTGGAAGACACCACGCATCTACCTTGGACTCATCGCGGCCGACAATGCCTCGATTTGGGCGCAAGCGGTCCCAATGGCCGCCGCCTCCCTTGGTGGAGGACGAGGCCACCTCACTCTTCCGGGAGCTCCACGGAATGTCCATGCTAGGAGAAAAGCCCGGGGTTGAAGGTGTCTGTACCCGAGGAACCATTGACCAATACCCTGTCATCCTGGATGCGCCTATTTCCGAGTCTGGGGAGACTAAACAGTATGACCTGGATGAGTGCAGCCGCGAAAACAGTTCTTCAGATGATAGCACAGGGCCAGCCACGCCACCTGAAGGATTTGTACAGGATCCACTTCTCCGCGTCGTTGATGATTGCCAGGAATTCCACTTGACGCCTCCGACGGTGCCTGTCCCCTTGCCGGTCAAGGAGAGTAGGCCTCAAACCCAGCCAAGGAAGGAGGAGCGTCAGCCGCCCAGGATGTCCCAGAACACCGGCAGCAGCCGTCAAAGAACGGAGCCGAGCCATACCATTCCCAAATCCCAAAGTGCAGCAGGGAAGACGAACATTGATGTGAGAGCGACCACTCATGTCTCTCCTCACAACTCCGAGCGTGTCTCTGTGCCTGCAAGGAACGGACAGGGCTCCCTTGGGATGCCTGCCGAGAAGACTACTTCTGCCGCGGTCCCAAAACGCTCCGGTAGCGTGAGGGATGGGCGTCGACAATCCCCGGGCGAGTCTCAACAATCGCGCTCATCAGCCGGGCATGTCTCTGATTCGGCTGCAACCAAGGCCCCAATCAATCCTGGAACCGCGCATCAGGAGCCCCCTTCGCAGACAAGAAAGAGAGCTCATGCTGTCCCTCCTATGGTCCCTCCTACGGGATCAGGCTTGGCTGAAAGGTTGGAAGAAAAATTGAGACAGCGACAGAAAGGTCGCGAGGCTGAGATTTCTACTCAACCAAGCGAACTGCCTTTTGCTCGTCCTACGGGCCCCACCGAACCGTCGTCCTCAGAGCCTCCTCGAGCTTGTCGGTGCAATGCACCTCCCGAGTCAGTGTCACGAGCCACTTCTCGCGGAACTCGTTCTAGGGCTTTATCCACCCCAGCGAAGCCGACGCCGGCTGCTCCCCGCTCAGATGAAGTTGATCCGTTTCCTGCCTCACTTCGTACAGCGACGACTGAACCAATGCTTGCTGCTCCTGTATCATCTCAGTCGACAACGAAACGGACAGTATCATTTTATGGCGCGCAGGAGCAGGAGCAAGAGCGCGAGAGATCAAGATCTTCGAGACGGCCGAGTCCTTCCAAAGCAGTGGTTCGCCAATCTTCCCCAGAAGAAGCTAGCCCCTGCCTTCTGCCTTGTCCGCGGTCTGTCCCTATGACCGGGTACCAGGACTGGTATACCATCAAAGGGTTGGAACATCTCGACATCTGCCCTTCGTGCACGAAACAGATGCGCAATTCGCGATTCCAAGATTTGTTCATCCCTGGTTTACCGGTACCACGTGGTCAGATGGTTCGATGCTCGATGAGTGAGCCGTGGACACGACTCGCCTGGATGCAGACCATCAAGAAGCAGTACGAGACTTTGGACATGCTCCAGCAGATTGCCCGGCCACCGCCAGGAAGCAAGCCATGCACTGGGCGCATCATCAGCGATCAGTTCTGGTACCGGATCATCGACTCGGCAACAGGCATGTACCTGCCAAAGTTCAACGTCTGCTCCGCGTGTGTCCGCAACCTGCGCATTCTTATGCCGCAGCACCGCGAAACGTTCACGAGAAGCACCACGATGCAGGAACAGGTCTGTGATTTGGTGGCGGACAGTCCGCGGTTCGTCCAATACGTCGACCTGTTGGACATTGCTGCAAACCGCGCCGAGATCGAACGCTCGCCACTGCCCGACATGACCCAGTTCCTGGCTTATGCTCGCCGCAAGGTCGTGCTACGGGACTGCCGCCGGGATCGACCGGTTCTTGGTACGTGGTACTATATGCCGCAGCTGCCCGAGTTCACGGTGTGTGAGGATTGCTACGACGACGTGGTGTGGCCGCTAGTCAAGGCAAATAAGCCCATCGCGCGGGAATTCTTGACCCGGATGCGGCTCGCGCCAGGGGATGCACCGACTCGATGCCGGGAAGCCAGCTGCCAGCTGTACTCGCCCCGAATCCGGGCCAAGTTCCGCGACGCCGTGCAGCGAAACGATCTGGCGTACCTGAAGCTGATCGCACTGAAGCGCTACGACGTTGAGCAGCACATTCGGGAACGACGAGAGGAGTTGTTGGAGGAGGAGCGCAAGGGTTATGACTGTGACACCGAGCTGCGGAGGACCTTACTCGAGTGGAGAAGATGGGAGTGAGGGTGGAAGAATCATGTTGACAGGCTATCGCTGGCGATCAGCCTTGTGCTTTGCATTATCACAGTGTACGGTAATATGGGTATGGGTATGGGTATTCTATAGACATGTATCAACAACGAAGAGAAAGTATGCAATGCAACGCACCGGACCAAACCTGCCTCTGTAGCCTGTAGCCCCGTAGCCTTAGCCTCACCTCATGACCCATCCGCCTCCCTCACCAACTCACTCAGCGTCACAACCCGATACCCCTTTTCCTCAACTCGGGCAGAACCCTGCTGAGCATCGGCCCCGTCCAACTCCTCCGATCATGACAAATAATCACACTCCCCGGCCGCACCATACTAAGCACGTGCGCCGCATTCACCCATGCATACGGCACCTGCGGATCATGAGGATACACACTCCCCAGCGCAATCTTTAGCCCCATTCCGGCAACCAACCTCCTCATCCTCTCACTAAAAAACCCACTCCCCGGCCGAAACCACCTAACCCGCGGCTCCTCGACCCCAGCGCGCGCATACACCCGACTTATCCTCGCCTGCACCTCCGCAATCTGCGCCGCGAGCACCTCGTCGCTCAGCGCGCGCGACGGCTCATCCCGCATAGCATGGTTCCCCAGCTCGTTTCCCCCGCGCACCAGGTCGGCGAGGACAGCCTCGCGCCCATCCCCGTCGATCTGCGACCCAATCGCGAAGAACGTCGCGGAGGCGCTGTGCGCTTTTAGCGTTGCTGCTATCTCGCGTGTATATTGCGAGGGGGCATCGTCGATGGTCAGCGCAACGAGCTTCTTCTGTGGGGGCAGGGGACGTGGAAGAGGACGTCTGGGTAGCGGTGTTGGAGGTAGCGGATGAGGAGGCTTGGCGGTTTGTAGATCAGGTACAGGGGGAGAGGAGGAGGGCGGTTAGGAGGATGGGGAGGAGCATTACGAAGAGGCGTTTGAGTTTTCGGCGGCGGCGGTAGCAGCTGTAGAGCATGGTGTTGTGTCACTTGTGGGAGGGTGTGAGTTCGATGTTTTGGGGATCCTGGGTGGAGTTGGGAGTTTTTGGGGATGGGATTGTTTCGCCGAGCTGTTGTAGGCGTTCAACGGCCACATGAGTAGGAGTAGGAGTAGTTTTTTAAGATAATTTATTAAATCGTATAAATTATTTATTCAACATTGAGACTGCAAAAAATCAAAGAAAACGTCATGAACTCCAGATTAGATAATAATGGAATAACAAGACTTGGGGAGTATGGAGAAGCTAGTTGACTGCTACTCAGTGCATAGCGAAGCCGATCCAATTAGAATACATTATCTCAGTTATATACAATATCCCAGTCCAGTTCGCATTTCACCCAACCTAACTCCGACCCCTAACAGCCATGAAGATTGAAACGCTAACTATTTATCATGCATGACTACCCCACCAACCCAACTACCTCTCCAGGCCACTTCTTACCCCAGACAATGGCCCTTGGCGGTACTCGCCCACCGATCGGAGCCAGTACGCGAATCTTGCCTTTATCGCGATCTACATCGGCCACGTACAAGAACCCCATGATACTGGCATCGCGAATCTCTGCCGGACTGGCATTCGGCGCGGCGTGTGTAACTGCGAGCAGGGAATTGGCGAGCGTGTTCGGTGCCGGAGGTGGTACTTTTTTCAGGGGTACAGCCGAGCTGCCTGATGCTGCATCCTCGCCTGATGAGCCTCCCAAGCCCGGCACGGAGGTAGCGAACGATGTCTCCTCGGCATGCTTGGTCTCTGGGCCCTCTGCGTCATTGCTTCCTCCAGGAAGGAATGTATCACTGGCGCCAAATTGAGACGGATCGTATTCGTCCTCGTCTTCATCTGAAGAGGCGATTGTGTAGTTGTAAACGGCCAAGGAGACGAAATCGAGCTGTTGGGCATGGGGAGAGAGTGTAACGTTTGTAGTCGAAGACGCAGACATCGAGAGTGCCGCCGACGCCGTAGAAGGAATAGGATTGCCGAAGAAGTATGTTCGAATCTGCGACTCGCGCACTGCCTTCATAAACGCTGCGTCGCGGTCCACGCAGCCGCCAGACTTGGAGAGCTTCACGACGGTGATCCTCTCATCCGACGCCGCAGCAGACGCACTGGACGTCGGCTTGTTGTCGTAGTTCTTCATCATGGTGCTGTAAAGCCGTTCCGAGCCTATGACCAGGATGGTCGTAACTGTACAGGTCAGTCTCATAGACAACGCCGGAAGCACAAAACCAGTAAGCCTTACTTGCAAACTCCGTCACGATGTGGTTGATAATCTCAAGACTACCCGGCTTGCCTGCGCTCAAAATGCCCGGCGTATCAACGATGATGCCTGTCTCGCGTGTATCTTCATCCTCGGCCATCCGGCCCGTCACACTCAGCGCCAGCCGCGACACAATAGGCCGATAAACCGCACCCTCCGCCTCAAGCGGATTCTGCAACGGATAGAAATAAACCAACGGCAGCTTCACAGGCACCGCACTCGGCCCCGACATGGGACTACTCCCCCACCCCTCCTCAACATTCATCATCGTCCGGAACGCCGTCGCGGTCAGCGTCCCAGGGACGCTAAGCATCCCCTCCGCCGGATCCAAATTGACCACAATCGGCTGCCTCCCAACCTTAGTCGCATACGCCGTCAGAATCTTCGCCACGCTCGTCTTCCCCGCATTCTCAGGCCCCAGGATCAGCACCCGCGGTCCATCCTTGCCCGTCGCCTTGGCCTCCTGGCGCATCGTCTCCAGCGCAAAATGCACATTCGCATACTCGACCATCGGCGTCTCCTCGGCCGTATACTCGCTCTGGCAGCCGCCCGCGCCGTACCCACGGGCCCCCTCGCCGTTCAGCCCCGCCGATCCCAGTCCATCTATCGTCGATATCGTATCGCCGGCGCTGACCTCGAGTGTGCATCCGTGCCAGGTGTAGATCGCCGCTTTCGTCCCGGAGAAGGTATACGTCTGCGAGGCAGCAAGCTCCGTGCCGAAAAGCTCTGCGGTGCCGGCCAATAGCTACAGCACGTAAAGTAAACGTTTGTATTAGCCATTGCAATGCGTCGTCGAGGAATGACAGTAAACAAGTCCCTTTCATCACGATTACCTACCTTTACTCGTATCGCTGATCCAAATGCGACCTCAAACCTCCATTCTGAGCCCTTGAACAAGGTAATCTGTGTTGGCGGTGCGGAGACAAACTCCCTCTCCGCTGAGGTATGCGAGAGCTCTAAACCGGGGAGCGACATTGCATCGCTGTACTGCAGAAATAAATAAGCGGGTACTTAGTTTTCACAAACTCGACGCAAATATTTGTCTTTGTTTCAATGTCTGAATGTGAAGCTGAAGGGTCAAGAAGTGGTTGCTGGAGCTCTTGGGAGCTTCATGACTGCAGTGAATGTTTTGAATGTTTGCAGTGCGGATCAATTGGTCCTATTATTACCAGACCTCAATATTTATACACTGATGCGTGAATCAACCAACTATTGCTACCAAAATAAGATATTTCATTTAACACATCCAAGTGCCTGAAAGGAGCATGGCATGCTATCTTTCTATACATGTTCGCACACTACGACTAACCTACAGTGCCTTAGAAGACTGCCCGAGTCAATCATTCATATCATACTGCATGCATTGCTTCTCTAGTGTCCAACAGTGAGGAGGGTCAAGGGGCCTTCAAAGACGAAACGGAGACGGGGGTGCCATAGATCAGGTATCCAGAAACCAAGTGAAAAACAAGGGGAGAGAAACGTAGAAAAGAAGGAATAGAGATGCAAAGCTCCTCGCATTCAATGTCCCAACCAAACACCATTGGCAGAGTAAAGCTGCAGATACCCGCAAGACCTATGGACAGGAATATTTCCCTTTGGCATCGAAAGGGCAATTATTAGAAAAACCGATAGAATATCAATACAGTACATCAAGAATCACTGGGATGAGATATAGAAATGGCAATGGGAAGGGTTTCATTGGAGGAAAAGGCAAGGGAAGGCCAGCAGGGGACTTTCACAGAGGCAGGCATGTGAGGGGGAGGAGATTCAGTAGGAAGGATTAGATGCTTCTCTTCAGTCTGGAGCATCATCAGACAATCCTTCTACCAAGGTAGAGTGCGGTGACGGGTGGGGATGGTGTTGGACAATTTCCGGAACAATTGAACTCGATACAGCATGATTTCATACGGGTAATCATACTCTGCTCCTGGCCCTTGAAGACCAGGGAAGAGGCGGGTGTGGATTTCCTAGAAGAAATAGGGGATGGAAGCCCTGGTGTATATCGTTAGAACAGAATCTGACACCAGTGGGTTTCAAATACTTACGCAAGTGCAAAGACAGCCGTAACACCGACCAAGGCACGGTTCCGCACACGCTCACGCTTCAGCTTCTCTTCCAGGACCTTTGCTCTCTTGGCGCGCAGGGCCGAGGCCGCTCTGGTCTCATCATCCTCCTCATCCTCACTGAGCATGTCGGTCTTGCGCTTTTTGGCGCCCTTTGGTGACGAGGCTTCGTGCCGTTCGCCTTCGGTGGTCTGGACCTTGATCGCATCCTCGACCATTTCCTTGGCCTTGGCGATCATCTTCTCGGTGTCCTCTGCAGAAGGAGCCTCGGGAAGGCTAACAGGCATCTCGACGGAGATCGTCGTCTGGGTGGTTCTAACGTCGTCCACCGTGTCTGAAGTCGTCTTCACGTCAACCTTGACTTTTTCTTCTTCGACCTCATCCTCCTCAGGAATGGCGGCGACCCTCTTCCTGGAAGTCGGCTTGGTTGGGTCCTTTGTGACGGTGACCACTTTCTCTTCGACGTATTCCTCCACACTAGGCTCGACAGTTCCGTTGGCTGATCCAGCATCAGCGTTAGACGCGGTCATGTCCAAAGCGTTCTGAAGACTGGCGCTAGCTGCACTGGCCTCCTCCGCACTCGCCTCCTTGGCTGCGCGAGTCTTCCTCGGTTTGCGAGGGGAGGTGGTGGCTCTCTTACTGGGCGAAGCAGACCGTCCCCTTCTCGTACGCTGCGATGGGGCCGAGAGCTGGGTCGGGGCTTCAATGGGCGGGAGTTCAAACTTCGGAGGAGGTGTAATCTGCTTCTTTGGGGTTTGAGGGATCTCTGTGGGATCCAGCAGAGCGCGAACCCAATCGTACATCTGATAGTCCTTGGCCAACTCCAACGCTAAGGACAATCAGAGAAGTTTCACTTGGTGCTGATGATCTCCAGGCGTGCTTACCTAGTAAGGGGCTGACCCAGATATTGCCGGCGATTTCATCCTCGCTGGTACCCTCCCGAGTCTTCAAGTATTCCCGTTCAGCCTTCTCTTCCTCCAGCTTCGCCCATGGGAAAGCGATCTTGAACATTCCAGTAGCGCTGACATATCCATCCTTGCTTCGTCGCTGATTGAATGAAAGCGATCAGAATCGGTCACTGTGACCATCAACAAAGGGCGAAGCGGTCTCACTCACCATGAGAAAGTAGGTCTCCGGGTGCTGCTGAGGGGCATGCGACGCGAAAATCTCGGAGCCTTTCAGGTCTTTTGGCAGCTTCGCGCGCAGATGGGCATATTCAAAGGGACCCAGATTCTCAGGCTTAGTTGCGTTGGACGTTCCAATCTGCGTAGGCTTGACAGCGAGGTTTGTTTTTCCTAGACGGCGGAGCGCCAGGAGTTCCTCATCTGTTCTCCCTCCGGAAGGAACGGGTTAGCCCTGCGCAATGCTCGTTTCGTACAGCGTCTCCTGGTCGAAGCATCGAGAGCGATTTTGGAGCCGAGGATGCGAAAATAAATGGTGAAGTTTCAACTTACACGAAGGGGATTGGTCCGGGAGGACGAACGGGTTGTTCCTCTTTGGCAGAGATCGCACCATGATGTATGGCTAATATGAGTCTAAATGGTAAATTGAAGGATGTGACTGCGCCTGAGAATTATGAACGTAATTCTACAGATGGTAGATAGATAAACTCTTGCGCGCAGGGAAGGATTGCGAGGAGCGACGCCAAAGCGGCGGCCACGTTGCAGGCGCGTCTGCGGTTGCTCTCCGAACAGGTTCACTCCTGAGGGTATAGACGTCACCACAGAAGGGTGCGCACACAGTATGAAGTGTGACGGCACCACACGCAAATGATTTTATGATTTGATTTTGGGGCGGATGATAAACTCTCGCGCGGGGAGGAGGGTACACAGACAGATCCGCGACGAGCCAGGAGATAAGTTCAATTCGCGATCAAAAATATACCTGAAAGTTGATAAAAGATAAAAAGGCTATGGGCAAAGCAGGGGGGACGCAAAATAAGAAGACTGGCGTTTTGCTGGGCTTGGGCTACTTACGCTGTCCTTACCGTATCGTTGATTCAACAGATTCGCATCACTCTTGGCAACTAGCTATTGGCCAATTAAAATGGGGTGGTAATCACATGAGCTGCCAAAAGCGGAAAGATGGTAGCGGGCTCGGTACATCCCCGGTATTCGATTACGAGTTTGTGACAGGTAGTGGTCTGCCACGGTATTAATGCCTTGCTGCCTCCTAATGAGGAGGAGGGATGGTCCGGTTGTGCCTCTGCTTCGTCTTCCATGGTTGATGCATCCTCGTTCGCGTCATGGTGACCCTATTCCAACTCCCAAGCTGAGGTAGCTCTTCTCGCGTTAAAAGGCTGTTGATGGACTGTCCGATGATTTTCAGCACATCAACGACGCGTTTATCCATTTGATTGAAACAGCCATGCACTCCTCGAGTATCTGTACTAATGGCTAATTGCTAACATCTCTGAAAATATCTACCTCTCGCATGCACCGATGTGTCTCGAGTCTACTCTTTGAGCGACCACCCCTAGTTGAACGCTCAAGTCAAGCGAGTCAACCCAGGCCTTGAAGTCGAGAAGGACCCAGAGGAAAGGCACTTGCTCCCGAGACGAAGCGAAGGAAGCGGTCCACTAAGGCACACCGCTTCATTGTTATTTAAGCCTTTAGGCTTGAGTTCGACAACAACCGGAGTGTCATCGGCGATATATAAGTTAGTTTCGTTGATCAATGTCAGTATCCATTTCTTCCCCTGGCTAGAAGCTGTAGTGTCTTCTAGGTAGTCATTGCAATCCACCATACTGCAAGGTCTATCGAATTGTTCGCATACACAGTCCACGAAGCCAAGATCAGCCCACGCCTTTATCCCAGTCACTTAGTGGGTGCACCTCTCTGCTCCGTAGGCTATGTAGCTTTATTTTGCGCAAGGACCCCACTGCGCCTGCCTGCTATCATTGAACCGCAGTAGCCAGCATGAGAAGTCCCAAGAGGCATATACAGAAGCTGAACGATCATTAGATCACATCTCAATCGACATCACAATGGCACAAAACATGGTTTCAGAGATTATATACCTTACTTGGGTCGTCTCACAAGCCCACCTGTCTATCCCTGAGTGATAATTATGAACTTTCACTAAATTCTAGACCTTGTGCTCACCGCCCTTCTCATGATCTCGAAGCAATTGGTATCTCTGCCTTTCACCCCCACCAGAGCGTATCAGACTAACGAAGCGATCCCCGCCAGTCCTTTGGCCAGAATAATTTGGCCAGAATAACTACTAATCTGAGTCCTCCGTACACTCTCTTGGATCTCTCTCCTGCATTCATCTAAATTTGTATCTCTTTTGCTCAAACCTCTGTCGGATACACCTCCCTCACCAGTTGCATATATATATAGATACCCTCCCGCTCTTATTCGCGGCCCCCTCTCTAGTGCCACCATCCTTGGTTCAGGTACCCCGCCAAAAGAAGCCGTCAACAAACAACAGCTACACTCACAATGACTGAACACGAGGATGATCTCGTTGCCTCGAAGACCGAGGGCTTCAAGATAGGAGAGAAGAAGACAATTGAAGAATACACAAAACTCGGTATGTTGATGCTCTATACACTGCCCTTCCATGGCAGTCTTTCCGGCAATTCTTCCCTCCATTGGGTGTTACCAGTCAACCCCTTACTGCAAGCCCGCCTCTATCTGAAGACTCGAAATGTGCAAGCTGAATACTGATATACCACACCCGGACAGATCAAAACGACGAATCCCTGAACCGCTGGAAAGCCTCCCTTGGCCTCAACACCGGCAACCCGATCGGAGACCCCAACGACCCCAGAAAATGCATCATCAGGTCCCTGTCCCTGGAGGTTGAGGGCCGTCCCGACGTGGTGATTGAGCTGTCCGCGCCCGGCGCCCTCGAGGCGCTCAAGGACAAGCCATTTACCATCAAGGAGGGAGCGACTTTCCGCATCAAGTGCAAGTTCGAGGTGCACCACGAGGTCCTGAGCGGTCTCAAGTATCTGCAGGTCGTGAAGCGCAAGGGAATCAGAGTCAGCAAGGACGAGGAGATGTTGGTGAGTAACCCCGATTTAGGAAGCGTGACTCGCCTTGTGCGTCGTTTAACCTAGTGTCGCAGGGAAGCTATGCCCCCAGCACCACGGACAAGCCAATCTACGAGAAGAAATGTAAGTCATTCACTCCCTGACGTGCATCCAAGGCTTGGAGCTGGTCCTGATTGAATACAGTCAACCCCGAAGAGGCTCCCTCGGGAATGCTCGCCAGAGGACACTACAACGCTGTCTCCAAGTTCGTCGACGACGACAACCAGACCCATCTCCAGTTCGAATGGTCGTTCGACATTGCAAAAGATTGGTAGGCTCCTTTTTGACGGTATCGATTATATAATGTCTCGTCTTTGAATATATATACCATTATCAGCATATTTGAAAAATTTACATGCGTTGGACGAAACGAATCTCCTTTCAAAATCTTCTGGACATCCAACTCTACGACAGGAAATGCGTTTTTGTCAGAACGACAAAAGTCTTACATAGAAATTCAAAGAACCATGAGTGACAATTGATTCTATATTTGGTATATGCCTCATTTGAAACATCTTGTTACATTCTATCCTTGCCATCTCTAAATGCTCTTTCGGGTGCCAGACTCCAAGCTTTGCATCGGGAAGCACTGCATGCAAAAGAAGAAACTAATACAGAAATAAAAGGGTATCACAAAAAGTAATCAATCACCGGGTTCTGGCCGTCCTTGTTCTGTTGCGCTTGTTGTTCTCCGCGGTGGATATCGTTCTCCGGCGCGGCATCGAAGATGTTGAAGTATCTCTCCCCCGTGTCACTTACTTCAAGAACACTGGCGAGATTCCCGCACCGGTAGCAATAGTTGGGCGCACTCCACACCGTACTCAGACGGTCGTCATAGAGAACCTGATACCCTTCCTGGCACAGCTGATGCGCTCGCAAAATATGCGACATGCTATTCACCTCGAGGAATTTCCGAACGACCTGTGCACCGAATGTGTACCCTGCTCCTCTCGGCGATAGCGAGAACTCGTCGCGTTCGGTGTCGGGGTCGGACCAGACCAGATCGGCCATGGGACCCTCGTGAGGGATCTCGCGAAATCGATCAATAATCTTGATCTGGTCTATCGAGTGGATCGAGGGGGAAAGGCCACCGTGCACGCAGAAAATCTGATCGTTGATAACCACGCTCAGGGTGAGAAAGTCAAACATGTCGGTGAAGTAGTGCCACACATTGGCGTTGCCGTATTTCCGCGCGCACTCTGTGTAGAAGCCGTAGGACTGGGTGACACCGCGTGATTCGTGGTTACCACGAATGAGATGAACGCGTTGGGGGTATCGTAGCTTCAGGCAAACGAGAAGGGATATCGTCTCGACGCTGAACAGACCGCGATCGACGTAGTCCCCTACGCAAAGGAATTATCAGCACATGCATCTCCTCAAACCTGAACAACCCGTTGAAACTAACCCAGAAACAGATAATTCGTGTTGGGACAAAACCCCCCGATCTTAAAGATCTCAATCATGTCGAAGAACTGCCCGTGGATATCTCCGACAACAGTGACCGGAGCTCTGATATGCACCACATTGCTCTCCTTCATCAGCAGCTCTTTAGCCTTGGCGCATATTGCTTCAATCACGGTATCTGCCAACAACTCTTTCCTATAGAGCCGCTCGATGCACTCGTCCAGGTCGATGCTAGCTGTCAAACGATAAGCTATTTTGCAGGAGAGAAGAAAGCGAGGCGCACGAGGTCAACGTACCCGGTAACCCTGGCATTGCGGCTGAATTGGCTTTCGAGCGGAGGCCCCCAAGGATCGCTCTCCGAGACAAGTAGTGAGACAGAAAAGAACGATAAGGAAGGGACACGTGCCAAACTTTTCAGATAAGGTTTGAAATAATCACAACCAGTGAGAGAAAGAGGAACAAATGAGAGAGAAGACACTATGAGTGCGGACTCGAAAAGGGGGTCGTCTGAAGTGTTCTTGCAACCGCTGGCATCATGGCCGACAGACCAAGAGAGAGCGTGTGCGGCACTGACTGGATCCGCGATGATGGGGAGTAGGGAGTTCAGTAGGTGATATGGAAGCACTCCTCGTGAATCTCCATCGATCACTTCACTTGGCGTCAATCTAGTTAGCTCCTCGCTGAATAGATCTAGGCACGTATAGCACCGTTACTAATCATCAATCATCCGCGGCTGCTCCAGGCCATCAACCATCAACGCACGGAGTCAATATCCATTCTGCCCCAGTATACCGCCTGCTGCTCCGTCGTATCAAAGCTAAAGGCAGCCCTAAGAGGTATGGTATGTCCCAAGGAAGCTTAGTCCGCCACGTGAGATCCTTGTGCCTTACTGCCTTGCCCTGACTCGGTGCAACCAACAACTGAGGATCAATGCTCACTGCGCACGTAGGCACCATCTAAGAGGTATAATTTATTCTATCCAATCATCTGATTGTATCTCAGAGTGCGATGTCGTGCCATATATACATCTAGGTCATCAATCGAAAATCTGCAAGAGGCTACTCCAAAGCCAATGAATGACATGCCAAATATGGGCAACACACTAGTAGCCGCGTAATCCAGGAGCCCCAGGCTCATCGTGCGACAAAAGCTGTTGGGCTTCCTGCTGATCATCTGAAGCGCTTTCTTCGTCTTCCTCGTCTCCCTCATCTTCTCCATCCTCCTCATCTTCCCCTTCGTCATCATCATCATCCGTCTCTTCTTCGGTCTCTTCTTCCTCAGAGTCCGTCACTTCTTCTCCGGACTCTGTCTCCTCTTCCTCGGACTCAGACTCCTCCTCCAGCCACTGATCGAGGGTTTTAGTCTTTGCCGCGGAAGTACCTGCTCTCGCGTGGCCGTTTTGTTGCCGTTTCATGGCTGCAACACTGCTCTCGTGTTCCATCAGAGCCCTGTCAAGCTTTTCACCTGCCGTCATAGCCGCTCTGTCGGTCAGGTCCGGCTTCGTCTCTGATTCTCGGAGGCTGGGGTCCGGCTCTTGTCCCAGTTCGACCCAGTTGGGAAGATCCTGGTAGCCACTCAGTCCAAAAGGACCAGCGTCTGGCCCCACGATAAGCGTGGATGAGCCGAGAAGTAAATCCCTCCGCGTTTCTGATGGGCTTGGGGCATGTGGAACAGGCTTAGGTGCTAGCAGAATGAGATTTGCTAGCTCGGTGGAAGAGGGGTTGGCCAAGAGAGCTTTTAACATTCGAGCCCGGTCACGAAGGTCGTAGGAGGAGTCGTATCGAGCAAGGAGGAGGATATATCGCCAAAGGAGAGTGATTTGGTCCTCTTTCGGTTCTTCTTTTCGCTGGTCTTCTTCATTGCCCTCGTTGACTTCTGGTTCCTTAGCGGCATCATCCGCCCACTCATTATGTTCCTGGTTTGTTTTGGGTTCCGATACCGATGGTTCCTCTGCATGGTGCTTTGGAGGGTTTCGTAGTAGGTGGTGGAGGTATACCTTGGCACCTAACAAAACAATCTGCTGTTTCACAGGCTCTGGCTCATCGGCGAATTTTTGTACCAAAATTCGCAGAACATCTGGTGCGATATTCCTCTTGGGATCTACTCCCGCGAATTCTCCAACCAGCCATATTATGGTCGCTCTGGCTTCCGGGCTACTGGACGAACCGAGATGCTTCACAAGCTGGATCACTGTGCGTTCATGAGAAGCCGGGTCTTGTTGAATCAGATGCCTAATCACGGTCAAAGACTCTGATACTAGAGTCTCATCAAGGCTCGTGATCTGACGGAGCAGAACAACCAAGCAATATTTCGCAGTGCTGGGTCATTCTGCGCGCAACGCCCAAGGGCGCGAACGCTCTCACGGACAAAGTCTTCATCCGCACCATTTGAGAAATGTCCCAGCTCGTTAATGATCACGCCCTTGATATGCGAACCACAGTGTGGGAAAAGAATTGTAAGGACTTCGAGCTTCAGGCGCCATATGTGAGGCGGATCCGAAGCATGCACGAAGAAGTGAGATACGTACTTGGTGAAAAACTTTGGGTGTTTCAAGGAGACGACAACAATGTTATAAAGTGCAATGTGTTGTATATCCTGGGGGCTTCGAAGGAGAGCAACCAAAGGACCGACAGCAGCAGCAAGATACTCGGGTGGCGCAAGATATAGGAAGCAACGGACAACGCTGACGATAACGGCGGAATTGCGGCTATGTAAAAGCAACCTGCAAGACCGGAATAGAAGCTCCAAATCGGGGTCTATCACAGGCACCTCGTATTCCTCGCCATCACCCTGAGTTTCACCACCTTGTTCGTCGTCGTAGAATCCTCTGGAAACTGCGCTCTTCATCTTCTGAGTCTTCCGGGGAAAGCATTTTCGCGCGTAAAACGTCAAAAGACGCAAAGTCGCAAGCTGGCCCCATTCATCCATATCCACAAGCTTCTTGACCAAGCTCCGATAGTGCTTATGGATGAGATCAATCCGATCGGGACAAATCTCGAGAAATGCGGCCACAGCGGGCCCAGCAACAAAGTACTGAGTGTCGCCTAGTAGAGTAGACAAATAGCCGACCAGCTGGGGTAGCGTATTTGGATCAAGGCGATAACATTTTGGTATGGCCAATGCGGCAGCTTTACGAACATGAGGGCTCATGTCACCACAACCTCGTTTGATGGCAAGGGAGACAATCTGGCTGATGACCGGCACCCTGATCCCAGACATTGTACGTAAAGCCATTGCTCGCACTTGAGGGTTTTGATCCGTAAGTGATTTTTGGATCGTGTTGATTGACAAAAGCGCAAGGTCTGGCTCCGTCTCTGCATGATGAACCAGGTATATGTAGACCAGTTTCTTCACTTCGATATTCGTGTTTGCGACGTTCTTGACGACATACGAGAAGAAAGGAAGGGAAGGCTCGGACGAATACATCAACTAGTAGAGTCACGCAGAGAGACACATAGTCAGCCCAAGTAACAGCTCGATTGGATTGACCAATACGTACAGCGATCACCTTTCGCATGCCATCCAGGACCTCACGGTCATTGCGACTCTCCAGGAGCTTCTTAATTTGAGAAGCACTGTGGTTGCGAGACACCAAGCCAGTACTCGACCCTCTCGTTAAACTGGCCGACTGAGCTGCCTCCATGGTTAGTTCTCGAGCTGTTCCAGACCATGATCAGTAATGGAGGGCGGAAGATAACGTCGGCGAGAATGTTACCTGTTTCCAGCATTGAGGAAATCCTCGAGATCGTCTCCATGTTGTAGATATCAAAATCCGCAGAGCCCTCGCGGGCGCACGCGGAAGGATCAATTTAAGATTTCGATTCGTGAAGCTTGTGGATGGAGGGGAGGGAGAAGGTTTCATGAAGCTCAGCGGGAGAAGTGCGGGTGACTGGGCTATCAACACCTTAGGCCCGCGGATGATGCAAGCGAGAACGGTACAGCTGCTCCCCGCCATCCAATATTATCTACATTCCATCTCTATCGGAAAGGCCACACGATTGAAACGAAGAGCTATAAGAAAACATGCGTGGATAGGACTTGTTACTCAATGGACTAGGAGATTCTTGACAATGTTTGACTTAGTACTTGTGACTACTTGGTTACTTTGTGCGTCGCGATGAAGACAAGTCGTCGCATATATTTCTGTGATCGAGCGACTGATTTCCTGCAACATCTTCTCACCAATGTTGCCGATACGACTGTGCTAGTCATATGCTCAACGAGAGAAACCTTTCTAGAACAACTCTACGATGATGTCTCGAGTCATGCTCAAGACACAGCCACGAAACACGCGCTACTTACAAAATCTCTCGGGATGCTCTCCAGATCAAGCCGGATCCAACTTGCTTTCTGCCCGACACTGGAGCATTTCCGGGCCTTTATCTCCGTGTTATCCTCTCCCACTCGCTTAGGGGAGACATCGACCAGTGACAGTCACAATAGTAAGCGGCCTCTGATGGCCGTGCTGAATCCTATAGCACTACATGTCTCAAGTTCGGAGTTTTCTGCCCAGGGATTATCCCGGACTCTCGCAACCGCAGTGGAAGTGTGCAGCAAAGAAGCCATGGACTTGGTTCTTTGTGAATGTGGCGGTGCCCCGGAATTTGTCGACATCGAGTGCGGTGAGGCTTTGTGGTATGTAGAAGTACCGTTCCTCAATGGCGCTACTCGAAGGGCGGAAGGAGAAGGTATCTGGAGTGGTCGGAGCGTGCCTGTGAGACGAATCGTACAGCGATGGTTCGACTTCGATGACAGCAATCGCACGATCGCAGAACCTCTGGATATCTAGACAACCGAAAAATACAACGACCATATAAACGAGCTGAAAAAACAAAACTCCAATAAGAACGTATGGACCTTGATCCCAAAGCATAAGCCTCAACCCACCGGGTATCCTAGAACCAAGCCTTAACTCCTGTACCATAAACCCCCGACCTTGCGATTCAAAGACACTTCTCCATTTCGGTAATGTACAGCTTGATATGCGATTCCAGCTTCAAGTATTCCTCATGGGCACTTTGGATCTCGTTTTCAATATTTTCCTTGAGGTCGGCCATCTAGACGACCATTAGCATAAGAAAGCCGCATGCTGTCAGGCACAGAGACTTACCTTCTTCTCGGTTTGCTCAATCCTAATTCGTCGTCTCTCCATGTCACGCTGCTTCTCTGCTCGCTCTTCACGAAGCTTCTTCTGGACATCGCGAAGCTCATCCATCCGGGCTTGAGCTATCTCTGCCTTTTCTTGGGCATTCTTTCGCAGGGCTTCAATCCTCTCGTTCCACCGCGCGAGCTGCCGCTGCAGCAGTTTCTCGGTCTGCTCCACTTCTCTGACGTTGTTCCCCCTCTCAGAAATCGCTTCTTTGTTCCTCGACGCTCGCGATTCTTCCTCTTCCTCCTTTTGTAGTTCAACAGATATATCTTCAAGTAGCTTGATGCAAGCCTGAACGTCATTTCCAACGACGGTAAATGTGTCAGAAGAGGTCTGCAGTGCTCTTGCTCTTTTCTCCATGGCATCGATTTGAGCCTTCTCTCGAAGCAGGTTCTCAGACAGCTCGGTCAAGGCAGACTGTAGCGACACTGGACTCTGCATCGCATAGGGTCGGAGCTTTTCGACTTCCTGTCTGGTGCGCACGCTTCTCTCTGTCTTCTCTTCCAATTGTGCCTGTCGTCGAGCTTTATCTGCCTTGACACGCTCAAGGGTCTCGGCAACCCTTTCCTGATTTCGTCGCAATTCCAAAAGTCGCGCTTTTAGCTCGTCGTTTCTTCTGGCCTTTTCCTTAACCTGTGCTTCGTTGGCTTTCAGACTCCGGCGCATTTCTTCAAGGCGTTGCTCCATCTCTTGATTCTCCGTAAACAGCGTATCGATGCGCGCCTTTGTCTTCTCTGTCTTATTGAAATGCTCATCAATGACTTGGGTCTGCGACTCCCGGAATCTGACGAAGTTAATGAGATAGGAGAATATTTTGATCAGTCGATCATGCGTAGGTTTGGTCAGATCAGTGAAAGCGAAGTCGTTGACACCACACTATTTGAAGGATAAGAAAATAGGTTAGTCTCCCTGTCTTTTGCGGCCATACACGCATTCGACATACCTCCAGCATCAGCCTGCGTAGACTGATGAAGAAACCCATGAGATTGCGCGTCTCTAATGGGACAATGTCGGGATAGTCACCACATATATCTTCTGCTGCGGCGCGCATTGCCGGCTCTACCGTCTCCTTGGTCGTATTCATGAGAAGTTCTGCGAACCATTCGAACACCATCTGGATCTGCTGAGGATTCGGCTTGATCAAGTCGGCAGCGGTGAAAGGGATCCCGATATCGTTGATGCAACCTGCGATTTCCTTATCAGGCTATAGCACAGTCAGCATCTTGTATGACCGACGTAAGACTGGTCTATCCTAACCAGGCGCATCAACGCATCATTTTCATCTTCTTTCTTGCGACCCCGGTTGTGATGTTGCTGGGTGCCATGAAACTGTTGGCTCATTCGATGATTATATGCCATTCTGTCATAAATGCCGTTAAAAATTTAGACACTCGAGCAAGCAAATTGAAATGGACGAAAGAGACGATGCTGCGAGTTGCTTGCCTGTCGGGCCTTAATGTTGTGATGACTGTTTACTGCAACGCACTCACATGGCAACCAGAAGCGGACTAGGGCCGGTTGTGAGGGGCATATTATGCAAACACTGCAAACACCCACTCCCGCGTCTCTTTCGATGACTCTTTCCAGCTCAGCGGACTGTAGATTTCGTCTAAGACGCGCGCAAGTCGAAGACAGCTCTGTTTTGTGCCGGATAACTATAAATCGGCTGCCAGTAAAGGAGGGCGCTATGGCGACCAGCACATCAACCATGTCAGACCCGTCGAAACCGTTCGAGTAAGCATTTTTCACAAGAGTCGAGATATATTCCAATAATTGACCTGGCCGGCAGCATTGTCGCGACATACAATGAATTATTACGCTCCGATCCAGACCTGACCATGCCCATCGCCGCTATTGAGGCTTTGGTTCTACTGCTCACTCACTCACCCTCGTCCACGATATCAGAGACTCTCGATCTGCTGGAGAAATCCACTGCACACTTGAAGAAGTCGATCCCTAACCCTATCGGTCTTTCGGCCGGAACCGATCTGTTTCAGAGATATCTGATTACGACTCTACAAAGGCCTGGACAGCTGGGACCGGCGGGAGACTTCAATGCGATCAGGGCGCATCTATTGTCCAACGGTCGGTTATTCATTCGGCGAGCAAAGGAAAGTCGAGACAAGATTGCTGCGTTCGGTAGAGGTTTTATTCGGGACGGATGTACGGTTCTTACAAACGGCGGATCGAGAGTCGTCGCTTCTTTGTTGCAGAAGGCAGCCGACGAGAAGGGCGGGCCCTCTGCTGTCCGTTTCCGAGTCATCTACGTCCTTTCGTCGGCCAATGGCGATGTCGAGAACACTCGTGCCGAGCCAGAGGGTATGGAGACAGTACGCACGCTCAGGGCGAAGGGTGTACCTGTGGCCACAATTTCTGAGTCGGCAGTGGCATACTCTCTTGGCAAAGCCGACATGGTGATTGTAGGTGCCGAAGGTGTGGTCGAGAACGGGGGAATTGTCTCGCGGATGGGAACATATCAGATTGGTCTTCTTGCAAAGGCAATGGGAAAGCCCTTCTATGTGGTTGCTGAGAGCCACAAGTTTGTCCGGTCTTACCCTCTTGGGCAGTATGACCTTCCTATCGAGCAACATGTTATCAACTTCAAGACGGAAGAAGATATCGCAGATGAATCCAAGCAACAGTCGGCCGAATCACAGAAGACAACAGAAGTTGAGTCTCTGGAGGCGAGTCCGGGCTCGAAAGGCGGAGGCCGTTCTGATGTGGTCGACTTCACACCGCCGCATCTGATTTCCGCCTTGATCACGGATAGCGGCGTGTTAACGCCGAGCGCGGTCAGCGAAGAACTGATCAAGATATGGTTTTGATTTTGTTTCGTTCTATTACCCATCTTGGAAATGATGATCGTTAGAGGCGCGAGGCGTTTATGCGGCTGGGACGAAAAGTATTTGCAGCGTACAAATCTTCTCAATAGAACTCAACTGATCCGCTAGAAAGACCACAAAATTATTCTGCGCTGTTATTGGCATGTCCCCTGGACGTTGATCCGCGGTAATCTGGCCTGTATGCAATCATCGGAGTATGTGACCCCTATGTTGCCTGCATGGATCAATCCGTGAAGGTCGACCGACTACGGCGCAAGGCGTAATCCCTAGTAATCTGTGCACCATACCGTAGGGCTCAGGACCTTCTACGCCTATACAACGCAGCTGGCTATGATTGAGAGACCGGACTATGAAGAGCGATTATAACAAAAAGCCATGGATGGAATTTTTGCAAAGTTCTCTTAGGTTCCGAAACATGAGACCTCATACCAGCCATAGTCATAATCCATCGAAACAGGCTCAGAGATCTCCATTTGTCCTAAAACCAAAGATGGCAGCCCTACGGCACAACCATCATCAGGGCCATCAAATTCTTTCGTAAGCTCATATAATCATCAAGTCGTATATACATAATCTCATCAACGAGTGTCGATCGAGTTCGGAGTCACAACATCCTCTATCACAGGTTCTCATCGGAGTGCTGTAGAGGTAGATACTCCCCGACGCCCTTAGGATTTTTCTTCCATCTCACTTTGAATGACCGGCAGTGGCATGGTGCCAAGGGTATGTCGCCTCGCATTTGCTCGGTTGGATGGCGAAGACGACTAAAGAGGCTGTATTGATAACCTGGGTTGAACGAGCGGTGCCAGAATGGCCGACGTGTACTCTTATTCAATATAACTCGTGCGGCTCGGCCCGAATCAACCCACAATGCGGTTGAGCTGTGTTGTCCGTACTTGAAGCGCTTGTAGCGAGGCAAAGGCATAGAGAAGGAGGTAGCCGAACGCTACGAATAGCCACAGGAAAGCCATGGATCAATATAGGTTATGCAGGGTCAGACTGGAAATCAATGATAAGGCTTGTACATCGATGTTAGGAGTCGGATCAGACATGGGTGGAACGGGGGTTGTCTTCACTTATATGCGAGTCACGTACAACTTTTCCCGACTCGATCTCACTAGGAATCGAGACCCAAGGGACCAGTAGGTAGTACAAGCTGCGAATGTTTTCCCTCGGAACGAAAAGGAGACCCCTGCAGGATTTCGGAGTTGAATAACCAGGTGGGGTTATCGGGTCTTTGAGACTCGTGAGAGCAATGACGCCTGGATAGCTCTTGTGGCTTACCTTCTAGGTAGAGGAGAGTATACATCCACTCCCGCTACGGTACCAACTGTGGACGGTACTTACAGAGTCGACTTTGGCGAATAGGAAAGATAAAGTTGACTAGGGTTATTCAGGCGCAAGGCAGATGATACAGTCGAGAAAGTAAGAGGTATTTGGATCAATGATCTGCCGCATAGTGGCGCATATGTGTGGTAGACATCTCAGCCTGAGCGAGTGAATTCTTACAGTCAAGCCTTCCTTTGATGTGTCCTATCTGTCTCGAAGTCGAAGCTATGCTTGATCCCATTGAGCGGTGTAAGTAGACGTCTACAAGAGTGATGCGGTGAAGTAGGAGTAAGTTGATTGGAAGCAAACGCCATCATGGATGAATACTTCCCCTTGACTCGTCCATCGTGTGTCATTGACTGGCTTTTGAACTAGGTCACACTACTGATTGATTTTGCCTACTCAACCCATATCAGATCGGGCTCATGCAGATAGTCAATCGCATTGATTGGTGGGGCTTTTGCCACCCAATCTGGCATTTGTATCGTCCACCTACCCTAAGTATTGCCGTGAGTAACCATCCTGGCAGATTGTCGAAGCTTAAGGCTTTGCGCTGTTCAGAGCGCAGAGTTCTGAAGACCTTGAGCCAATCTCAACATTTTACTCAATCCTGAGCGTCTCCTGACACCCAAGCCTCGATGAGTGTCACTTGATTGTCAGAGCCAGCGATGATCTATCCTTCTAGAAAGTAGAAACTGTGACAGAGGGTCTATTGCCCCGCTTAGTGGAGCGAGCATGTGCCCATCAGAGGCCTTTGTCGTGCTAGGGTGAAGCATTTTCAGTCTCTTATTGGTTGTGGTATGGATCTTGTCCCTCCATCACCCTCCACACACTCGCGAGTCGCGACTCACAAGACTCCGATGTCCCGACTCGACATGATGGGGTTGCTTCGTCGTCGGAAGCTATGATCGAAACGTTCAGAATTTGAAGTTGGATTCGAGGATCCTATTCTCAGCAGATTTTAGCTTACACTTGGAGCCTCGAGCTCTTAGTGATAGAATCATCCTCATCGACTCACTAGGGCAGGGCCTCGGTGTGGTAAACATCTGTAACGAGAGTTTGAATGAAATCACTTAATTTGAGGATCCTACTGGTGCTTAGCTTTCTGAATATCATCCGCGGACGCGTCCTTTGCAGACGCTTGTCTTAACTGTCCGCATTATAAGGTATTGTCCAGTGACGCCTCGTTCTGTTATCTCAAGAGAACAAAAATAATCTCAACAGAGCTCACGCAGCTACAGACAAGCTCCGTCAGTCTGCAAGATCTCAAGCCAACGGTTTCAAGGATACTGAAGTCCGACCGTTCGCTCGGTGTACATCCTACGGAGCAGCACCTTGTCACCTACCCTTGACCGCACGTCCACTAAGTGCAGCCGAGCTTTCCTGACAAACCATGAGCGCCGAGTCGTTGACAACTCCCTTCCGACTCCCACAACAAATGGACTACTCAGAAACAGAACGAAAACGAGAGTCCTCTTCCAAGTTTAATCCAACTGGCGGTCGAAAGTACCCGAGGAACCCTGGTCGATTCGAAAACTTATCAGTCGCCACGTGAGCCGTCGGTATCGTGTTTTGGAACGTGAACCAAATCGACTTAGGAAGCGGGCCACCCAGTAGCGCATGCATCGATACTACGAGATCATAGCTGTCCATCTAGTGTTGTCACCTTGGTTGTATATCCCTGTCAATCGAAACCCAAGTGGCTCTTGGTCATTGAAATCTTCTGAACGGCATTTGAGGTGCCACGTGTGGGGTTGTTGCTGGATTCATAAATCAGTTTAATATGCTCAGCGCAGCCGTTATCAGTCAATGTTGTTTCCTGCTGCCAGCGATGTATGTGTACCTTATATTTTGCTGCTAGAGTCATGGTTGTAAGGTTTTCCTGCCTGGGAGGCTCATTTACTTCAAATAATTAGGTACATGCGTCAAGCGGGTCTTGTCGCTGAAGTCAGATCTTTATTCAGATACTTTGATTTCTGGCTCAATCATCGATGGTATTTCAGATGATGTCAGGAACCTACTGGCGTATGTATATAGACTCTGACAATGCTTTCCTGCCACCTGTTGTCGGTTTCCCCACTGTCCAGCATCTCTCTCTTGCGTTCCCCGGTGCGGCGTGACTGGAAAGTTGCAGGAGCGCCCGCACACCATTGGAACACTTACCTTGGTAGGATCCTATACCATAACGTGGTCCCTTTCCTTCACTTTGATTCAACTTCCTCGACGAATGCAGGTGGCCGGCGTTTTGCGCTATAGGACTTTTCTCATTTACTGGCTGTCCACTTATAGACGGGACGTGTACCGTCCTTGATAGGCACTAGTTGAGAAACAGTTCTTGGGATACATTAGGTAGGAAACTGGTCCGCGTAGTTAATAACATAACTTTGATATATCTCTGCATGGTGGATGGACTCGGCACGGAGTAAGGAACCGTAACGGTCCTCACAGATGGCAGCCATACTGGACCGCTGGGGTGTACCGTATAGATTCACAAACTCGCGGAATGAACTGAGGAGGAAAGGGATTCCCATCTAAGATCTGGTAGTAGCAATCATGGATTTTTGACTTGGCGAGGACGAATGATAGGTAAGGTAGACTTCTGTTACCCTAGAATCTGGAGTCGGAGGACGATTGGAGAACGTGCGTTAATAACCAAGCTTTTCTGAGACTTCCATCCCTTTGAACAGTTGGCACTTCCGACGATGAGGATTCTACGGTAAGATCATGGCTGGATATCTGATTGTAAGTTCTGTTGGTAGGTGGAGCGTATCTGAGGATAAGACTCGGAAAATTTTGCGCAAGAGACAGTAATTGAGATTACTGTCGCTGTACTCCGTATGATCCCTCGTGATGTCCAAGGAGTGGACACCTATCTATGGAGTACATCCCCACTCATTTCATTTGTTTAAGAAACGGGTGCTAGAAGGTGTCTAGACCCGGCGATACACATGGGCTCTGGGCAGCTTTGAGACATTGCAATCGGTGAGTGAAGACAGTTGAAGGCTGTGTTCAAATGGATCGTGGTACCTTTCCGAGGCACTCAGCCAAGAGTATTAATGCTACACATTAATATGATCGGTTAGAGACACTCGATCTTAATTATGGCGGATTGTGTGTGACTTTGGTGCATGGAGTTTCGAGCCTCTGGAACACGAAGGTATTTTCTGTATGTGCCTGTAATGACGCTGACCCAGAGCTGCAAGGGCCCGCCTTGAGTAAGTCCAATTGAGGAAATCCGTATTACGGTATATTGAATTTCGAATCCGTCATAAAGTGGAGCTTCTGTCTCCAAGACGGAGGTACACCAGAGCAATTTGGAAACGTGAAGCGAGGTTGAGGTAAACAATAATGACATAGTCATGCCTTAGTAGATTCTCTGTAGCCTGTACTGACCATGGCAATGTACCTTACTTCTCAGCAAGCCCTGTTATTGATTTAAGATTAGTTGCTTCATTGCGACTTTGAATTTCCGAGACTGCTCAACTCAATTTCTGCTCCATACTCCGTAGACTGGACTATCTTAAAGCCACAAAGTCAACTGTCAATTTCGTGGCTGAAAATTCCCCACTAGCCTGACTCAGCACCTATTGTAATTCGCTGCCATTGTCATATCTAAACAATAATGTATGTTTACTCCGGCCAAACAGCCTTGAGACATCAACAATCCAATGGCCTCCTTGCAGGTGATCTATGGAGAAGAAAGTTACGCAAATAACTTCCGGCCATTATTGGACTAGGCTGTTATGACTTGACTGACTGGTGGCTTCCATCCATCCAATAATTTAGAATCCGAAGAGCATCAGTTAGACTATGAAATCACCTCTTAGGTTACACTTCTACCTTTGTATTTCACACCGTTTGCTGTATGATCCATAACTGAATGTAACTGATGTATCTCACCGACGAATGCCTATGTACTTAGAGTATGTACTTGAAGCCGGCGTCGCTAGTCCTTCATTAGTTGCGAAGAGCAACATAAAATCCGGCTCAACCTACTAAGAAAAAGCAGCCTTTCCCAGAAGGCTTGCTGCAGTCAGCCACTTCCTTGTCATAGTAGATATGTCAAGAAATCACTCCTTGCCATGGGCCTTTGTACAAGTGCCATTCCCTTCATGTCTTCGCAGGCCACAGCAATTTTGTCGATCGTCATTCGTCCCATTTACGTCAATCATGCCCATGTCGAGTACCTCTCTACTGTCTTAGTGTTTTGTCTTATCCTTGCGATGACAGAGATGATAGAGCGCAGTAACACCTCTCTAGGTTTAGCCAGAGAGAGAGTAGTTGACCATGACATCACTCTTCATCAACGCCAGGATTCTAACACGAGTCGATCCACACCGAGGCCGAGATCAGCGATTTAGATGCTATTTCGTATTTTTCAAAGGTCATATTGCTGTTTTCCAGGCCATCCGAGTCATAAAGCTTCACGGGGCGTCTCTTGCGTTAAGTTGCTTACCTTGATGGAGGATATTACTCCTTGACTTCTAATAATATTAACAACAAAATTTCGAGAAATTACAAGTGTCTTACACCTTATCCTCGATTCTTACGGCCGTAAACAATAAGGTAACAATCATCATGTACCATTCTCTGAAGGTTGTTTCTAAGAATAACCTACCTTAGAAATGAACATTCATTGTGGAGTCGATACAACGCATACAGATTACAAAGTAATAAAACAGCCTGCTCAGGAGGTTCTCCGACTAAGGCGAATTGATACAATAATACCAGATACTCTGCAGATGTTGCGTAGATAGAATTTTATTCTGCGGGATAGAACCTTGATTAATGTCGATAGATTCATCACTCACGCTATTACAGAATAATAAATCAGATGGGCTATTCCTCAGTTACCTCAGTTTGATGATGTGCTAAAGGTACCTAAGGCAGGTACCTTACCAACCATTACTCTTTTAGTCCAAGCAAGCCCAAGGTCACAATCAGAATGGGGTCTTGGGCGTCGATGCCAATGTCCATGTGGCCGTTCTGGCAGTAGATTTCCCCACATTGAAGAAATTTTTCATGATCGTCTTCTCTCTTTTTTTGCTATGGTAATTGACTCATTGACTTGGACGTCTGAAAAGTCTCCGAAATCCAGGGAGGGAAATAGATTGAACGAACTAAAAAGAAGGGACTGGTCGGATAGATGCATCAAAATTTCAGTAGGCATAATCTCAGTCATCAACAAGATAGAACGAAAACCAATATGGATCAGTCAACCACCCGATGCCGACGGAAATTAATTGTACATACCGATAATAACAATAATAATACCTAACTACAGTACCATAACGTCCTTCTCTGGTTCAAGTGGTCCTCTGCCGTTGGTGTAACCACTAACCAGCCAAGTCGATCCTCCGGGTCTACGAACAAAAAGGGCGGTTTGTTTGTCTCGGCCCCCCAACTACCATTAGATAGACGTTTTTGTAGGTGTACCTAGACTCCTACCCTAGCAGTAGTAGTAGATAGTGGTTTACGCAGCCTGGACTCCCCAGGAATACAGTCCTTGAATCTCCTTTCCTTTTCTTCTCTTCTTCTATCAAACCATCACACATAACAACTATTATCGATAGACATTTCTGTTCCCCTTTTTCTCGTCCTGTTGTTTATCTGATTTGACTTTATCAACTCTACCTTGATTTGAACTTTTTATTTCCTTGCAACTCCATGTGGCGTCGCCTCCATTCGGCTGATCACCTGCTTGACCATTCAATTTGCCTCCTGACAGACGTGACGACAGCGCTGATATAGCTCTCCAAGTTCCTCGTACATCATCTTGAGGAAGGTTTCCTCTCCTCTGCGGATGGACTGGAAATCCATTTACTTCCTTTGAGACAGCATCTGACTCCTTACGCCGGACTATTCTTTTTTCTCATCCTTTTCCTTCCGACCTTCGTGGATGTCTCAATTTTTTACCTCGTGACAAACGGCCACTCTCGAAAAGCTAAATACCAGTCGATCATCGATGCAGACTTGTTTATCTGCCAGTTGACGTCGTTTGTCTATACTCGTCCCTACGATATCTCCTTCGCCCGTTGATCGCGTGTCTCCCCCGTCCCATGATTCCAAATGAGTTCACTTATTTGCGACATTCCTGTATCCCACACAAAATCCGCCAACCTTTAAACGCCAACGGGGGAACAAAGGACTTAGCTGACCTGGCACCATGGCGATATGGCCTTTTGGTCGCAAAAACAAGCGGCATACGATCCAGCTAGGTGCGCCGGATGCCGCAAATTTGAAAGCGTCTTACGAAAATGGCCCCAGCTTCGTCGACTCCTCAGTGGGCAGAAAGCCGTCCCGTAAACAGTCCAAGCGTCAAAAAAACCGCCATTCACAGCCTATCGAAGATACCTCGAGTTCCTTCCGAGATGAATCCATTCAAGCAGCAGTCCAACCGTTACACCCATCATCGTTAGACCGTGAGCAAGCCTACCCCGTCAAGATGCTGCCAAAGTTACACTCCCAAATAGACCGAGCTCCAGAGTCGTATATCTCTCATCCTGGTGCAGACCACAACCAGCAATCTTCGATCTCTCGGAACGGCTCGCTATTGAGGTCCAAGCAGAACGATAAGGGCCCCGCGGTCCTGAAGAAGAAACTGAGCAAGCGGAAGGCATACGAAATTGCACGGGAGCAAGAGATCCGGCTAATGGCCTCAACCCCCATTGACATACCTTGGCGGCCCGGTACACTGCCAGGTGAGAGAATCTCTGTCGAGACACGACGAGCTCCTAGAGCTCATAGCCGGCGGTCCGACCGCCATCTCTCTGATATTAGTTTACCTGTGCGCGATTCCGCTGCCTCGTCTGTATCCGATTTCTCTGAATCGTATACTTTCAAGGTCAACAGTCTGGCTGCCTGGACCCCTCGTCCCATCATTCGATATGTGGAAGCGCCGCGCAGCTCGGCTGCCAAAAGTCAGAAATCAGCCGAGGTACCAAGCCGCAAGGAGAACGCCCTCAATTTGTCCATTTCAGAAGAGGAATTGTACTCGAAGCAGCGCGTGGACGCATTGGCTGATAGTCTTGATGCAAGTGCATTGCGCGAGCTGCTTGAGAGAGATCGTCGCCGAAAGGAGAAGCAAAGGATTGAAGAACAGGAGAGGCTGCGTCGCAAATTGCAACGTCGCGCAGAACGCCAGCGGAGGGAAGAGGAGCAGGAAGATGAGTCTCAATGCCAACACGCTGACGACCAAGGATCGTCCGCTATCAACCGAGGCCGGGCCACCGTCGAGAAGAATGCTGAATCTACGCCCGCAGGTAGTGGGACTATGTCCAAGAATGATGAGACAAAAACTTTTCTTTCTGGCGACACCGCTGGCTCCTGGTTGCGGGATGCTTCGAAGGAGCGAAGTCGTCATGCATCTTTTGAGAGTGTCCACGTCGTTGGCAACCTCGATGACAGCTCTGTTACAAAGTTCAAGTTAGCTGAGCGTCCGAGTTTTACCCCGTCGCACGACATGGGAATGTCACACACCACCCTGTCGCCGTCTCCATCCAGGCATGGACTGAGCAGTCCCACTTCCTCCCAGGTATATGGCATAGCTCGAGAATCCACATCGGATGTTTCAAGAACGGTTGAATCCGAAAGACGTCTGTCCGACCATAGCAGCACACGGGGTGGTGCTTTGGCTTCATTGTTTCGACGCGGCAGCTCTCGTCTCAAGCGGAGATATCGCGAACGTTTCCATGACCAGTCTTCAGAACTATCCAATACGTCTCATGAATCTTTTTTCAAAGTGTCAACTCAGTCATCCGGGCCCCGCCGTACGCTCCTCCAAAACCATTCCTTCGTCCTGGCGTCATCAAACGGTCTCAGTCCAAATTCACTGAACACTTTGGCGATGAGCCTCTGTCTCCCCCAGATTCGCGCCTTCAATCCCCTGAAATTCCGGAGGAGCCCTCCGATCGATTTGGAAAAGAAAATGACACGCTTAATCTGCCTGTGGAATCTCACTATCCAATTCCTGGCTCGGAATCTGACTTCCAGGATGCGAGCAAGATCCCCCATCGCTCGTGGGGTGGTGAAAGTCTAGAGGAGGGTGTGGACAATGTGCCATTATCACAATCACTAGCGTCAATTGATTCAGAAGGATCTTGGATGTCAGGGCAATTTCTGCGCCGCATTTCCCAGAGGAAAAGCAATCTGATCCAGCGCAGTACCAGTTTGTCTCATAACCACACCGAAGAAGGGCACGAGGACTCGGTCAAGGGCGACGCAATGCCTCAAAAAGAGCACTTTGTTCGATTCGAGAGCGACTACGATGACACTGAAGGACCAAGCAACAGCGTCCTTGGCGACCAGGAGAAGGATTCCAACGTCCGCGCGTCATCGCAAGATGAAACCTGGCATTCAGAGATTGCTAAGAGGCCCGTTGTCGTGAATCCAACAATTCGGCCCAAGTCAACCGAAGGCCTTCTGCTGAGGTCGATCCAGTCACTGTCCCCCATATCTGCCGACGAGGAAGTCAGTCCTATTGAAGAACATCCATCCGAACATGAATACATGCACGGTGAGGGTCATGGACACGCATATTGAGTCATGTCCTGGCCCGGGCCTTGAGAGCTCACAATGGTACGACGAAGCAGCGTCAACCGACGAGCCCGCAGAAAGGTCAAGCAATTACACGGTATACCCTATTTTCTGGATCTATCTGATCTATCTGCTATATTGAGTGTTTAATACGTTGTTCATGAGTACATACTCTTGCCGCTCCTTACCTTTCCTTTGTTTTTCTTATGTATAGATATTTCCCGGTCCCCAAGTAGTCTTTTTTTGCCAACACTTGACGTGGCCATGGCAGCCTTACAGGCTTAGTGGAGGTTTTGAGTTAGATACTTTGTTTGTTGATACCCCCAAGGAGTGCGAGTTAGTTGAATGCGCCTCGATTGCAAATTAACAATGTCCGTGTGAGTTTGGGATTTGTGATTCTAAATAGACTCGGAAGATACAGATGTCAATTATACCCAGGATATTCCCACATGACACATACCGCTGTACGGTCTGATACCTAATTTTCCGCCGTCACCCAATTGTACAAGACGCCAGAGGCTAGGGTATCTTCTGTCTGCTATAGCTCGCGTAGTACTGCGTTTGTTAATTGGCGAGCGGGATTCCTGATGCCTAAGGCTGCCGTCCGATCCAGACCGTTTCCAATTCATAAGCAGCGGGATCACGTCATCTGGGGGCGCCGCTTTAAGCCTCGTTTAGGTACGACCTGGAAGCCCAGAACGCGTTTTCTAACCTCATCCGCCTAACATCCAACAGGTACCTGAGGTTGCATCGCGTCACCAGCCGCCAGTAGATTATCGTTGACTATACTGCAAAGGTGCACTATCTTCAATTGATCTCGTACTCTGACAAATCTATTCTCAAATACCCCTTAACTTGAGAGATTTGGGTCGTTCACAAGTAGGTGATTCTGAGCCACCACCACCTCGTTCCTTCCATAGCCCCCGAGACATTTCGCCGCATTAGTGACCCGAGGCTATTGATTATTCAGCCTCAGTCTCTGGGAGGCGCTCACGTCATTGGGAGGCTGCTCGTCATCCCACCACTACAAAATCCCTATTTGTGCCCCCTCCTTGAGCCCCTCATCTCAGAGCTAACCATAGTCTGACCATCCATAGTGTTTAAATCATTCAACGTGACCTCTCTTCGTCTTCCTACTACTCTCTCCTCCGTCCGGGCCATATCATCACTCAGATCAGCAAGCAAAGTCGCCGTCGCTTCGACATTTTCGCATCAGTCGTCCTCCACGCGTACTCCCCTCAGCAACCGCTTCTCCTCGATCAGCCAACGAGCTTTTTCTTCCACTCCAATCTCCCAATTTTCACCTACATCCACAATGTCTCACAACGTAGAGAAGATTACTGAGTACGTTCTCTCTCGCTGTTCTACTATACCTGTATTGGATAATTCTGCTTGATATCAGACTACTGACACCAACTCCAGCGCCAAGGTCTTCGAGGAGAAGGTCCAAAAGGCCTCGGGCCCAGTCATTGTCGACTGCTCCGCGACCTGGTGTGGTCCTTGCAAGGCTATTTCTCCCGTCTTCCAGCGCTTCAGCACCCAGGACGATTTCAAGAACGCCAAGTTTTACGAGATCGACGTTGACGAGCTCTCTGAAGTTGCTGCTGAGCTCGGTGTCCGTGCTATGCCCACTTTCATGTTCTTCAAGGATGGCCAGAAGGTTAACGAAGTTGTTGGTGCCAACCCTCCGGCCCTTGAGGCTGCTATCAGAGCGCACGTTGCTTAGGCCCAATTTTTTGACGAGGTCTTGGTTGTTAATACATTAATCATGAAGGAAATTTGATAGAATTTCTCCTTGGTCTGTACGGACTCGCCATCTGAAGACGACGAAAGTCGAGCAGAATGATTCATAACTACCGCTTAAGCTATCATCGTAGGCCGGTTCTTCTGCTTGCTCCTTGATATTTTCAGCTGATAACCTTGCTTGTTGAATCTGGCTTGGCGGAGTCATCTACATGTGATCAATCTGAGCCCATCTCAAAGCTGCTGTGGTTCAAGGAAAATTGATTACCCTTTAATATAATTGATGAGGCGTATCTTAGCCTTCATAAGAACAATCACCTAAAATTATGTAAAGCCCTAACCGGCAAACACAGCAATGATAGTTTGTAGAGGTATGAGCAGATGAGAGTCTGCGCTGGAAGCTATAGATAATGAATCTATCTCAGAAGGGCTGTCACTCTTCACCGGAATAAGGTTATCTGTTTGTGCAGTGCCTCAGTTCGTTAAGTACTGAGGACTACAATCAAGTCATGCTACCAAGCTCCAATGCAGAGGGTCCTGTCACTGTCGTATCCGGCCTCACCGTGTTGATGGGGATATGCAGTCTGTCTTGGAGTACACATATAGCGTAACGAAACTCCGTCTTCCCTACTGCTTGCAAGGGAGCTTGACTTGACACTCCGATTGCAGCCATTATTTTATCCGATTTGAATCATCTCAGGTAAGCCGAGCCAGTCTCTCTTTGCTCAACGCCGACTGGAAGACTCTGAATTTGCGCGCATCATCTCCGAGATAACGACTCAAGAGGTACCTGCTCACAATGCTACGAGCATCCGCAGAGACTTTATAGTCTATGGGTGAACGGTGCCTATTCGGAGCGTGAGTGTTCATTTCTTCCTATAGAATCTGCCTCGTGGAGATTTCCACAACTGAAGCTATTGTAAAGCGCATTTCTGATATGCATTCCAAATAATCCTGGTTGCTCTGCAAAGCCCTTGGGTTCTAGAGCTTAAATGTATTCCTCATTTGCAAGAAGTATAGTTTATGCTCTGATATCAGTGTCACGGCCAAGGCCTGGTCATCAGACATCGTATGCAGACAATAAGCGGGCTCCTATAGACTCCACAATGACATCTTGCTAAGCTTCATATTGTGATATGGTATACTTCGCTCAGTTGGCGCATATACAACAAAACGAATATGTAATGGGGCAGGAAACCTTAACCCAAGGTTGCACGACCAGCAATCATGAGAAATCGAAGTCCGGTGATACCTCAGGCTGGAGATGGTGTAGAAGTAAGATTGCAATAGTGGATGGAGCAAGAGATCAGTATGCATGAGCATGGAGCTGTTCAGTTGCCAGGAGACTCCACGCTTCAGCTGGGTTCGTGTATACTGTGTAACAGGTCAAGTATGTCATTTCGATGGCCACGTCCAAGATGGATGATACCCTCATTTAAAACCGACGAAGGTGAAATCTGTGAACGTTGGGTCTGTGAGACATTGTAAAGATTTGCTTTTCAGCAATCTCGATTTGCGAGATCGGGTGGAGATTATACGTACCTGGTCCACTTGAAAGTGGAAACCCTAACCTAGAAGAAAGAGAAAAGAAAAGAACAAGACAAAGACTAGCAATTTGAATATAGTTTGATGATCGCTTTCAACTTCGTGACGCTATTGAGTGGCTTGTCTCAGCACGTCAAGGACTAAATGACCAGGCAGATGACTGGAATGAATTCAGACAAGCAAATCGAACATCCTAGGATGGCCCTTGGCCTCAGGTGTCAAGGAGCCAAATCTCTATTGATAATGGATTGATATGAGCTAGACCTCTTATGGGCTAGCGTACGTTGGGACCTCTCCTTTGCTCGTGCATCTTCCTGTTCGCTCAGCCTAAGATTTGAGTACAGTAAACAGATGACACTGGACACTTCTTGACTCAAATAAGTCACTAACACTCAATCGGTGTTATGAGATCAGCTTTGGACTCGCCCACACCCTTCAAACTGGCTTTCATTTACTCACAGTTGCACATGACAGTGACAGTCTGCCTGGAACATACTTGTTTCGCCAGTGGCCCAACACCGAAGTTTTCCCACAGCGTTTTCTCGATTCTAGTTCCTTGGCTTTGCACTAGCCATTCGACTTCTAGTTCTAAAGGGTCAAAGACTTGTTTGTGTACTCCTGTCTCCGCAAAAGTTCAGAACATGAGACAGCCTCTGCTACTCGCTGACTGACTAGTTGCTACAACTGTCTGATAATGAAGCAAACTAGCAACCCGCTAAATTTTGCTCGTACAGATTTGACTTAGCATATCATCCTTCGAGTCATTCGGTCTCCACTACGTCTGCCATTATTTGACAGGTTCCTCGGAAGGTCCCATAGCATCCTTGGGCCATGGGATAGAAGTTTTCCATCTGTGGAACGCACGAGCATCAACCGATCTGGCTCGTGATAAGTCTCAAATGGAGTCGACAAACAAAAGTGGTATCCAGCCAGGCATACTTCATTTCGAACAAAGCTCTTAAATTGCACACAGAGTTCCTCTGTGCACCCACAGTCAAAAATTTTAAGACAATGATTCCGGCCTGAAACCTAGTCATCGCGCAGCTGAAATTCGATTGTAGCGGGTCCGCAAGGGAGTCTCGAAGTCTGAAATCTTGGCCCAAAGCTCCGACCCGAGGCAGTCCTCTGAGACCTTGGTCGTCCAGACCCTGGCCTTCTGCTGGCAACAATTGATTGTTTAATATGAACCTGGCCAATAGAATGAACCCAGGTGCCTGTTTCCTGGTCGTTGGACAGGCCTGGAGTCAGCACTAACTCACTAAGTACCGAAGTCTGTTCTCCATCGTTCCCTCGTTAGCCAACTACGATCCGATCTGTTGATCCAGTTTTCGGACCTTTCCTGGTCCTCGAGAATCACCAGCTGACGAATAATCTACTTCGATCCGCTATCGACATCTACGGAGTACCTAACAATGAGTAGTCCCCGTTGGCCCCCTCGTGCTACTGATCCAGCCGTATGGACCGGTGCTGTCTTGGAGACTGATAACTTCCAATGAACTTGTAGCAAATAGATTGGGCTTCCTCTTTTTCTTCAGAGCGCCTCTTGTCATGAGAAGCCCCATATAGATACTTGGCCCTCCTTCCCAATTTTCTCAAGCTGCAGCACTCGCTGTTTGGAACCGGCACATTTGAAGCATGGTGATCTCACATGTCATATAGTTGACTCCAGTCACTCTAAGATCCCTGGCCTAGACGATCTGATTGTCACTGTCGCCTTTGTTCGTTCTTTGCCCACTCCTCAGTCGCTCCTTGTTCTTCCTTCTAGCCGTTCCTTGAGCATCTTTACGGACTGAGATGCGCTGAGAACTCCCACATCAGTTCCGTCGTGCTAAGTCAAATCCCGATCTTGCTCGACCTTGACAATGTCGGCTTCAGACGATCACCCTGACGGGTTGCCCGTTGCCGTATCTTATCTGGCAGGCTACATCTTTCTCTCCTACGTTGTCAGCACGATGGGGTGTGCGACTACCCTCGAACTTCTTCACCGACGGACGTCGAAGTCCGGCTTATATAACTGGTATGACTACTGTTCGAAGTACAGTTTCATCTAATTGTCTAACATTATAGGTACCTTCTGTTCACATCCTCAGTAACCATGGGCGGCATCGGCATCTGGTGCATGCATTTCATTGGCAATAGAGCAATCGTCCTCGGTGATGGAGCACCCCAAATCCAGATTGTGTATAGCGTGACTTTCACAGGAGTTTCATTCATCCTTCCCGTGGTCGTCCTCCTTGCAGCTTTCTACGCGATAGGAACCAGTGAAAAGGCTGGCTATCTTCGTATCATTATGGGGGTACCCTAACGGGCAGCTCCGTGTGCGGAATGCACTACATCGGTCAGCTTGGCATCGCCAATTACCGATGCAGCTACAAGGTTGCACATATAGTCGGAGCCGCAATCATTGCCGTCTTTGCCAGTACTGTTGGTCTGGGAATCTTCTTTCGGTGGAGGGCTACATGGACGAACAGTTGGTGGAGACGGGGAATCTGTGGCTGCCTACTTGCCATCGCTGTCTCTGGTATGCACTGGACTGCTGCAGTTGGTACATCTTACAAAAAACATGATCAATCCGTCAAGCAAGGCGGCCAACTTTCACGAAGCCAAACTGTCATTATATGTGCGGTCCTGGTACGTTGTCTCCATTCATCGTCGGCGACAAGCAAACTAACGAGGTAATGCGATAAGGCATGTGTTTCCTGCTCAGTTCTTTCAGCATGTGCCATCGCGGCCGGCGGAGACCGCAGACGATCGAGAACAAAGGCGCGCCAAGTGGTCTTGAGCTGTGCCTTCTTCGACCCAGCCGGTAGAGTCATGGTGACTCCGCATGCAGGTCTTCCGAGTAGGAAAATCGTGGATCGTTATCGCGGAAAGGTACGTTGTCAGCGGATTAGGAGCCCAACTCATGATTCTACTGAACCCTCAGACCATACTAATCTTCTTGCTACTTGGTAGACGTTTAACGATGACGACCTTACAAGAACGCATTCGGCCTTCCTCTGGGCATTCCGTGCAAGTCGAAACTGGAAACTCGTGACGGATGTCGTTCCCTTTATGAGAAGTCGAATCGAGTCCGAGAAAGCTGCGAAACAGCAGTTCACCCCGCAAGGTGGAGCAACCGACGAGGACACGGAGATGCAAGGCGATTTTGACGGGTTCTTCAAACAACACTTCTGTGTAACCGCTCAGGACCTGGCCGAGGAACTGCGACAGCCTCTTCCGGACATGGGCGTGCTGTATGATGACATCCTGACCACTACGACACCAGTCTCGCGCTTTTCTCGAGCGATGGGATACTCTCGGCTCAGTGCCAATAAGGGTCAGATGATGTTCACTGTCCGGCAATTGAGTAAGCACGAAGCTGCCCGCCTAGCAGCATCAGGGCTTCGATTTACAGCAATTGAGAACGTTATCCCCGTGCTATCTCGCCGTGTCCATATACCGTCCATGACTTTGGCCGCTCATCTCAGGGATATGCGAGACTATGCCACCTCCGGTCGGAATTTTGAACCAGGAGTTCATTTGGTTTCTTTTGTCATGCGCCCCACCGTTCATGACAACTTCGAAGTACTCACTGCCAAAGGCGTCAGCAACCCGTTACCGTCTTCATCCTTGCCAATGAAACGTCTCCAGATTGCTCATCTGGAATTATTGTCACACATGGAAGGGTGGACCGTGTCAACGTGCCTGAACTGGCTGAAGTCGGAGACAGCGCGCGCATACAAGGACGCTGACGCATTTCGCCAACAACTGATCCAAGCGATGGGGAACCTTTCGTCCGTCATGCCACCTGACATCAACTCGGCATCTAGATTCTCGGCACGCCCTCTTATTGCTCCGTGTCGCCCTTCAAGCCATTCGGACGGAAACAATTGCATCATTCTTCCATTCTGCGTTGTCGGCACGCTGGACACCCAAATCTCCAACCCGGACTTTACCTTCACGCCTCTGCGTCTCTTCAGGGTGCAGCAGCAAGTGAACGATGGTTTCACAGGAGGCGACGGATTCGCAAAAGAGCTGAGTCAAGAGCTCTACTATTCCAACGCCCGCTCCAGTTCAACCACCGACTCCGAAATCGCAACCTCCGTTCGTGCTCCTCGTCGCTTCTGGCCGTCCCGCAAACAGCCCAGCGATAAAATGAGCGCAACGTCCCAGGAGACTCTTGCGGAGCATTCGCCATTCGGAGAAATCACTGTTCGCAAGGAAGTGAAAGTGGACATCGCGAAACTGGCAGAATTGTCAACCCAGCCCACACTGGGTCGGCATGCCTCACAAACAACCGTATTGGCTGGCGACTCGGCCTCGGGCACATATGTGGACGATCTCTACCATCTTTGCTACTCCCCTAACATACGGCTGAGGCCAGATACATTCCAACACAACGCGACAGTTGGCTGAGATACAGGGTCCAGTCAGCCGCAAGCGACTTTGAACTCAATCTTTCGAATGAGCACAGGCATACTGGCTCGTCACTCACGTCGAGAACAATTCTGCCCCTGATCTGTCGCCCAAACGGGCACCGACGCCATCACTAGCGCTTCGCCACGCCCTCACCCAACGCGAAACCACATAGTCGACGCTCATCCGTACGGACCCGTCCACTAGTAGTGGATGAGGGCATGAATCTCGAGCATGGCTCAGATGACGAAGATTTCGAGGGTATACCTCAGCAGTCCGAGGGGCCATTCTATTCGTATGCATATATATATCGAGTCATCGGCAGATACATAGATATCTCTCCTGCAATCTCGCCAGAATTGATGGATGATGGGGCCCTTCACTTTTCCTTTGTTCTGTACATAATGATACCTCAAAGGCAACCGGTACAAACCTGCATGTATATACAGTATGGATTATGTTTCATTCTCAATGATATCGAATCTTCATATGTAAGAAAACGGTTATGTGGAGCTTTGATATGCCAGAGGCATGTTATCAGTCGTTTTATACACGTCAAAATCTCTACAAGCCGAACCGACGGCGATTTCATTACAAGAGAAAGCAAAATAGAACATAGAGCCATCTGAAGGAGGAGTGCACCAGGCACCCTCAAATGCTTGATTCTAATACGTTGATGAGCCGACAAGATTCGCTCTAGCCAAGCCAGTTTATTATGTCAACACCCAATGCAAAGAAAAAGCAAAAGAAAAGGAGAAACGCCTTGCCATGGGGGTATCGTGTACTGATGCAGTAAAACCCGTAGCGAAACTGAAAGCCACCAGAGTTGACAACGATGATAACCAGACCATCGAAAAATGCCTCTCAAATAACGAGAATAACCGCCCAGCGCTAAGTAGCAAGTGTGAACCTTATGCTCAAAGCAACCTGAAATGATCCAACCTGCTCCCAATGCAATGAGTAAAAGGCGAGAGAAAGCCAGTAATGTGGAATGTCGTAACTTCGTGTGTGGGCGTCGGGACGATGAGCCCTCCCAGTAACCGTGATCTTGGAGAATCACGGATTTCATATCGTAGTAGAGGCCATGCGCCGCCTGGTATGGGGCCATGACACTTGTTTGTTTGTGGGCGCAGTGTAGATGAGGGATATCCTGTACGGAAAGCACCGCTTACTGCAGACTGTCACCTCGAACAGCCGGGAGAAGTGATTGTCCACCTGATTTAAACCGACGAAGTGCTCAACTTTGGTGGACAGAGACAGCTCTGATGGCACTTCATGACTGTAGCTGCCTTGTTTCTTATGTGCTAATGCGATTGCGAAGTCTTCGCCTTCGGAGGGTAGGGCGCGGGTCCTCCTCCACAGTTTCATCAGCGGAGCGCTTCATGCTAGCAGGTGAAGGAGACAAGGCTCGCGAGGAGGACCGGCTGCGTAACTTCATCGTCAGTTTGTTCTCCGGTGCCCCAACTCGGGCTTTCTTGCGGCGAACAGCCGGGCGAGGATCTTCATCTTCGCTTTCATCAGCGGAGCGCTTCGATCCAAGGGTAGAGTGAGGATCCTCATTCGCAGCCTCATCAGCGGAGCGCTTCGATCCAAGGGTAGGGCGAGAATCCTCATGAGCAGCCTCCCCAGTGGAGCGCTTTGTGCCCACAAGGGAAGGAGACAAGGCCCGCGAGGAAGACCGACTGCGTAACTTCATGGTCAATTTGTTCTCTGGTGCCCCAACTCGGACTTTCTTGCGGTGAACAGCCGGGCGAGCGTCTTCATCCTCACTTTCATCAGCGGAGCGCTTCGCTCCAGCGTAGGAAGGTGGCGAGGTGTTTGAAGCCCGATTATCTGATTTCAAAATTTTCGGGATACGTGGCAGTCCAGTATGAGGGCCATCCACATGCCGTACTGAAGAGTAGTGGTTGAAGTCCTGTACAACGAGAAGGTTAGTCGAATATTCGCTAAGTCCATCGACGATCGACGACCAATACAAGCAGTTGACTTACGTGAAAAGCGACATGAAGAATTGCCCTCTCCTCACTGCCCGGAGCATAAACATCTCGAAAGGTCTGAATGCCTTTCGTGCTGTAGACGCGAACGTCGACTTTGAATGACTGGCAAAATGCTTGAATGTCTTCGGAGCCACCCCATGTGCCATTCTTTCGGCAACCCTCCAATTTCGACTCGAAGCTGCGTTCGATGTCCTCAGACGAGGGAGGTGCCGGGCTTGCCGACGAAGACGAAGACGAGGACGAAGAATATCTGGACGAAGAATATCTGGACGAAGAAGAATATCTGGATGCAGCTGCTCGTCTAGGAGCTCTCCGCTCTCCACCGGCGGCAACTATGAAGTTTATAAAGTAATCTCGGTGAGCAGCAATATGATCTGCAAGCTGAAGACGAATCTGGTCGGCATGGTCCGGGCTCCCGTACATTTGATCGGACAGGGCGTAGTACAGACAGTTGCCTGGGAACGGAAACTGTTAGTATGGAACGATAGTAGAATGCCAGCATACCTCAGAATGAACGCAAGTAAGAAAAATCAACAGTCTGGGAACTCATTGTAGGGAGAAGTTACCATCACCCTTTGTAGGGAAAGCATAGAGTCCTAGCTCATTGAGACACGGAATTTCGAGGCTTTGTGTTACTGCTTCTTTGGTTCGAATCTTTGCTGCCGACCGCCTCGGTGCTAATTCCTCGCAATCGGAGTCGGCTGATATTGATTCTTCTGTGGACTTTTCTCTTGGAACCTGTTCCTTTGGAGCTGGGTTGTTTGATTCCGCTGGTTTTGGAGACGAATTGTTGGAGGAAAACTTGGATTGTTTACGCTGCAAGTTGCTTGTAGTCTGTCTGACCAAGGACTGTCCCTGAGGAGGACTTGGCAGATGATGTAGAGGAGACATTGGTGCGATTACTTGCGCCATAGTCGATTTGATGCTGTAGATCGACGTACGGGAGCGGTAGGGAGAGAAAGATAATGGTGGCAGGAGAAGAATTGAGAAGAAGGGAGGAGGAGAGAAAGGAGGGAGGAGAAAAGGAGAGGGGGAGATGAAATGCCTATATCATCTAGAATACGGACGCAAGTGAATAGACGACAACAGCCCATTTGTGGGTTAGGAAAACAAAGGAAAATAGTGAAGCAATAGCTACAGGGCGAAGATAGCCCTGGTATACAACACACGCGCGGCGAGACTTTTTGGCCGGACTTGCGGAGGAAAACGTTACAAAAGTGGCAGAAGTGGAACAGAAACCCTGGCTGGGGTCGAGGCGGTGAGCCTGTCGACGCCTGATGATTGGTGGCTGACACGTAAAATCTCCTCAATGACGAAATGGGTTGTATTCGCGAATACAATGAGATGTCAATTATTTGATTGTTTGATGCATTGATCCCAGCTAAGTGCTTCTTTAACCTATGGACGTAATACTAGGCAGCTATGAGCTCTATCAATTGATTGATTCATTTCCTCAAAAGTTGTATGCTAATAGCACTCGATGAAGGATGGAGGCTGAAATGATTGGTATGGGACGTTGAAACAACACAAAAGATCAAAAACTTTCAAATTATGAAAGCGCTGATTGGACAAGTAACCCGCACAAGCACAAGCGCCTGGACCTCCGCAAGGTAGGTAAGGCACAATACCCGCTCATACACCGCCGAAACCAAGGCGAATGCTTCGGTTACTGTCAACAATACATAGATAAATTACGCCGCGAGGTGGCAATCTCTTATCTAATCAGTCCTCTCTCGCATTCTGTGATGCGAAGATAGTGCCGAGACCCCGCTTGAGAGTAGTATATCTTTTGACTCATTGACTCATTGACTCATTGACCCATTCGTCCTGAAATCCTTAGATCTATTGTTATATTCTTCCGCTGCTGCTTTAAGGTTGCTTAAATCACTCACTCGCTCGAGTGAGAAGATACAATGGCTACAAATACCATTGTGATTCTGGGGTATGCCGGTTCGGCGGCCTTCCATGATTCCAGGTAACCTGGACTTAGTGGAGAGCTCATGCTGACAACAAGTGAATAGAGCTGGAGTGTCAGGGCTTACTACTGCATATCTCCTTTCTCAAAATGCGTCCAACAGCATCACCGTAGTTGCCAAACATATGCCTGGAGACTACGATATCGAATACTGTTCTCCGTGGGCTGGAGCCAACTATCTCCCGTAGGTGTCTTTTTTCCGACAAATTGGAATCCCTCCGCTGATTGATCGCTTGAAAGTGTGGGCAAATCCGGGAGTCCTCATGAGAGGTGGGAACGAGAGACATGGCCAGCTTTGAAGGAGCTGACAGAGAAACACCCAGAGGCTGGGATCCATTTTCAAGGTAGACCTCCAGCGCTTAACGAAGTAATACAATCCGAACTGACCATTCTAGACACGATTGTATACAACCGAGTCAAAGACCAAGGATCACCAACTGGCCAATGGTTCTCCGAACTAGTGCAACCTAATCCGTGGTACAAAGATGTTGTTCCGGACGTGAGTTTTGGTCTTTTCGGGAAGGTCCTTAGACTGATGACGAGCCCGGCTGATGATGTTCATATCAGTTTAAAGGCATTCCAGCTGACCAGCTAGCCCCTGGCATCGATAACGCGCAGAAATTCACCTCAGTCTGTATCAACACCGCCGTCTATCTCCCCTGGCTTGTTGGGCAATGCCGAAAGAACGGGGTGGTATTCAAAAGAGCCGCCTTCAAGCACGTTACGGAAGCTGCAAGCGCCCACCACTCCGGCAAGAAGGCCGACGTGGTGGTGAATTGCACCGGTCTTTCGTCTAGAAAGCTGGGCGGCGTATGTGATGAGAAGCTATATCCGGCTCGCGGCCAGATCGTCGTCGTCCGCAACGATCCTGGAGCCATGTTTTCCATCTCCGGGTCCGATGATGGTGAAGACGAGTTGGTCTACATGATGACTCGAGCCGCTGGCGGTGGAACAGTCATCGGCGGCTCATATCAGAAGAACCAGTGGGATCCATTGCCCGACCCTAACCTAGCAGTTCGGATTATGAAGCGTGCAGTTGCTCTGTGCCCGCAGCTCGTTAAAGAGGGCCAGGGCATTGAAGGACTGGACATTATCCGGCACGGGGTCGGACTGCGGCCTCTGAGAGAAGGCGGCACTCGTATTGAAGCGGAGAAGATCGAGGGGGTAACAGTCGTGCATAACTATGGCCATGGAGGATTTGGATATCAAGCTTCATACGGTTGCGCCGCGGAGGCGGTTAGATTGGTTGATGACGTCTTGCAGCGCAAGAGTAAAGCGAAGTTGTGATACAGACAACTTCAGCTGCAACAATGTATATAAGTGCACGTAACTACAACGAGTAATTACTGAAGTGTTTATTTTGCATAAGGAGAAAAGTATATCTCATCCAATGTGCTGCGACAGATCAAAAAAACGGAACCATTCAGTCACCCACCATCATCTCGACGTCATCACTGTCGGCACTGTCGGAGGAAATCATCCCCGGGTTTTCCATTGTCAAATTAAAACGCTTGTCGAGTACAGCTTTCAATTTTCCCTGGCTTTTGAACAGCTTGTTGGCCTAGCGAGAATATGCTTCCTATTTGAAGAGAAAATCGGAGTATAATGAAGTACAAATCTCCCGCCGTAGAAGACTGCGAAACCGACGGCAGCCCAGTCCCAGTCGCCGAGAAGCGCAAGCGAGACCACAAAGTACAAGAGACATCGGATCGCGACGACTCAGAGCAGCCTCCAAACAAAGTATCCAAGTCGACCAGTGGAAACTCCAGTTCTAAACAGGAGAACAAAGCGGACCCTAACACCAACAGCGAAGAATGGAATAACGGCAACAAAGGCAAAGAAGACCCAGACGTGGACGAGGATGTGAAAAAGGGCGCAAAACAAAAACAAAAACAAAACGAAGAAGGCGGCTTGGAGGGTGCTGAAGGACAATTTGAAGATGTGGGGCATGTTAAACCCTCGGAATCACCGAAAGTGCACAAGATTATCGAGGACTTTGGCCGGCAGCCACTAGAGGGTACTTCCCTTGCGAAGGAGCCGCTCACTGCGTCTCCGGAGACGGTGCTTGCGATGGTGCTTGACGCGATGTTGAAGTCGCGGCCGATTTCGCATGATCTTTCGCAGCGTGCGGTGAGCAAGCTCATTGACGAAGGTTATCATGATATCCGAAAGCTGGGAGAAAGTACTTGGGAGGAAAGGACGATGGTGCTAAAGGACGGGGGTATAATCGTTATCGAGAGCAAGGTGCTACAAACCTGGGCGATTTGGCGGACTTCGTCAATGGGCAGTACGGTACGCATCCCCTTCCCTTGAGATCCGACTGGTTCTGCCAGTTAGTTGACCACTGTCTTAGACGGTGACCTTAATAATCTTCTGAAAAAAGCTGGGAACGACCGCAAAAAGACCAGAGATTTGATCAAGGGGATCAAAGGATTGGGTGACCTTGGTGTCGATCTCTTTCTAAACAATGTACAAAGCGTTTGGCCTTCCATGACCCCCTTCTTGGATGCGCGCAGTCTCAAGACGGCGGATGAGCTTGGTATCGGTACAGATCTCGAGGCAATCTATGAAAGCCTGAATCGAGACCCAATGAGGATGAGCAGACTGGCAAATGGATTGTCCCATGTGCGGCTGGATAAGAAGCAACGAGAGGTTAACGAAGTTTGATTCCGCATATGAGGAGCTTAGGCCACATTGAGCGCAGTTAAGCAATTGATACCTTTGGGTCTCACACATGTGTTTCAGCCTTCCAGTTTATCCGGAACTGCAACGTCAGTATGAATTGAACGTGGTCAATTTTAGCTCAACAATTCAAGAAAAACCATGCCGCGGGAGAGATATCATTCATCCATTGGTCTCGTAAGGGGAGTGCTTCTACGTTTGACCTTGATGACTTGATCGTTTCATGTTGCGGACATGGTTTGATTCTTCAGGAAAGGGCAATGTCCCACGTACTGAAGAAGATTCCATGACCGGTCTTGAGGAAGAAAGACACAAGGTGGTGGGTGGGCGGTTGCCATGAAATGATATCGGAAACCGTGTTTCTCCGCAGTAATGGTCCGCTATTTAAGCTCACTATCGATACCAGATAACGGCTTCTATTGTGCTCAGTACTGAATCACTATAAAGTTGGATCTGCAACACGAAGATCTACTATCTGATAGCTTTTACTTGTATGTAAAGCCTTTGGCGGCTTGGGCTAGTTGATGTCAAACCTCTGTAGTGGCTCTGTCACGTGAAAATGTCTTTGGCCGCAGTCAGTGGCTGGTAGCTACGGGTGAGGCAGCCACCGTCAAGGGCTTGGCGGATCCGCTGGTTGCGACTCCAACTGGAACCAGGAAGCTCCAAAGCCCCATCCGTTGCTAATCTCCTTGGTTTCCCAACCTCTCCTCCTTTTGATCCTCTTTGTAACCTTTTGACGAGTCTTCCTCGACCATCGCATTATTGAGAACTCTGAGATACATTACGCGATCAACGATTTTTTTTTCACCTTAGGGCAACTGCTTTTTCGACGGCGCAGGCTACGACATTCGAACAGTTTCACCGCTCAGCGACACTGGTGATTTCACAAGCAAGCAGACGAAGCTTTCAACGCTGCCATTCCCTTGAGCGCACATCGCTACAGCCTCCTGCTTCGACCTCGCGATTTCCGATTCGATTCATTATATCTCCTCGAAATCTCAAGTACTCGTTCTCGACCACCGACGGATATACTTCGTGCAAACGTCGTTCAAAATGGACTTCTCTAACATCTTGTATGTCGCTGTACTCTGCTAATCTCAATGCATTGTGACGAGCCCGATTTTTGACTATGACTGACAACCTCCAGCCGGATCGTCAACATCGCAATTGGCGTGATCATGATCCTTGGTGGTATCGCTCAATTCTTCCCTGCGTCGCTAGGTTCCGTAATTGTTGGTGCCTACGTGATCATCTTCGGTCTCGGTAAGTTCCCAGGCAATATGATCTGATTATCAGAGGAGAGTAATTGGTTGCTGACACGGCGGTCTTTTAGTCGTCGGCGGCCTGGAATTGATGCCCACTGTTCCGGATTATGTCTATCGCTATGCGTCTTTCCTCTTCTCGTTCCTGGGACGAGGTGTCTGTAAGTTCCTGAGCTTTCTTGGCTTGGCATTTCTTTTTGGTAGCATTCTGACAAGTATTCTCAGTCTACGTCTTCGTTGGATCGATCCTGCTGCACGGCCACGTGCTGCGGTACATTGCCGGTTCTATCGTTGGGTTCGTCGGTCTAGGATATATTGTCCTGGACTTCATCCCTTCCATCGAACCTCCCTCCAACATGCGTGAGGCCGACCAGGGCTGGGGTGCGGAACAGGTCTAAGCTTTGCGGAACCTGGAACACCTGATCTCCCGGATACTGCGCGATTGCTGTTATTTCGGGTCCTCCAGAAACCGTACTTTGAGCCGCAAGATTGAGAACTTGCCGCATTCCAAGAACGATGTCCCTATAGTGCGCTTGACGATGATCGACGAGTGTGACGATATATATTCGCCCTGCGATTTTAGTGACGTGGTCGAACCAGTATACCCATCTCACTTTGAGTGGAAACGCTGGTCTGAAACAGTCTTGATGTTGTAATCTTTGGAGCTCTTGGTTTTCGTTTGAATTGTCCTTTTCGGGCAGATACCTTTTCTTGTGAACCCTGTATTACATATGTAGATAATATATGGTTGAATATCAGTTGTCATGTGGAAAAGCTACGCTAGCGCGCGCCGTGATTAACAAGAGACAATACTCGAAGCAAGGGTACTTGTCAAACACCAACGCAGATCTTTCACCGACACAAAACCATGCGGAACTTTGCGGGAGGGTCTTAACCTACTCGCCTGCCCTCATCTCCTAGGTGTTGGCGAGTATGATAATGAACTTGGATGCCTAAGCCGTGTCCCGCTATAGTCCTAGCATACCAGCCTCGAAGTATATGGTGGACCCACGGTGTGTGTATCGTATCTTTAACCTCAACAGAACCTCTTGCGGCTTAGCTTGGCTCGCAGACCTTCTGCATGTTTAAAACTCATTAAAAAAGCAGATAAACGTTTCTTGATTACTATTTAACCATGTGACGAATGATAGTATTCCACTGTCGATGGTGACGACAGACCCTGAATGCTTAGGCTACGAATGCCGAGACGTTAGATTAGGTTAGGTAAGAATAATCCCAGAGGGTGGAGCTGATGCGATAGATTAGAAACTCAGCGAAGAGATAGAAAGTCATCTATAGCCAATCAGAATCATTAGAAAAACGCTGACATGAGGGATAGAATGACATTCACCAATGGCAGCAGGAACAAACAGGCTTATTCAATCGCAGATACGCTACTCACCGAAGGGGGAAGGCGCATTCCTCGTAGACCCATAAGACTAGACCAGAACAGGCATCGGTGGGGTCCAGATGATTCGATCCGGGGGAGGAAAAGCAGGCGCAACGAGGAAAAGAAACGAACGGCAAAAATGAGTGAGAAAAAGAAAGCATCAGGAACCATCAGTCAAGAGCACAGAGGGTCGAAAGTGGGAACCGAACATCTGGACCCAACAAGTTTCTTTCTTGAGGTATCCCAACCACTTGGATATCTGGACAACTTGCAGCACAACAGGATCTGTCGTCCCCAGGTGTAGGTAGAGCAGATCCCCCTGGGAGATCGATAACCGATAAGAACAACCTCAGGCAGCAGCAGCACAGCAATAGCAACAACACCAGGCAAACTGTCGTCTTTCACAATCATCTAAGAGTCATTATTCTTATTACGCGTCATCATCATCATCATCATCATCATCATCTCATCCCTCTTGTCATCATCCTCCATCAAATCCGTCAACTCCAAAGCTTCTACTCATTAGCTTTTTATCGTCATCGTGACCGCCTGGGCAATACCCACTTTTTTCCCTTCCGTCCCTTTTCCTCTATCTATCAATCAATCAATCATTTGATCTGCGTTACAAAGTACGTACTTCGCCGTCTAATCAATCAAATCAGTCTATCGATCTCATCAATCTTTCTGCATCTCACGATTCTCCTAGCTTTTCCCACTCCTCATTTTCGCTAGTCTCCTCTTCGTCTTCCCCTTTATCTCTTTTAGTCCCAGTCTCTGCATACCCCAAACTCCCAGCTCCCTACCTGTCACTCTTTCCCAGTGACATTCCATTGCTCGGAGTGGATCGTCTCGTCGCCGATCCTATCTTCTTGCCCTTCTCCCTCGTCTCCCAACCACTTGGCTGCTGCACCTGAGAATTTTCTGTTTATCTGTTTTCGCTGTTTCTAATAGTTTCTTCGCATCAAGCTCTCTTTTCAGTTTCGGACCACTTGGCATACCCTTTATCTGAACGGGCATCTGACAGGATCGGACCACTTGGCATACCCGACTGGATCGCCACCTCGACCTGTCATTCGGATTGGCCAACAAAGCGGACCTTTCGTGGCGGATCAGTTATTGATAATCAGAGTATTGACTCTGGCCGACCTTTCTTTTTTGATCGCTCAACTTTTCGAGACACTTGCGCGCCTTTCCAGCAGTTGTCAAGGATCGACCACTAGTCGACTCCCCTGCACCGCTCTGTTGGGTTTGAGTTGCACTAGCTGCAGCCTCTTTCCACTACGACTTTGCTTTTTTTAGGGGGCATCCTTTTACCTCTTCTGTACTATAATTCTGACCGACGCTTGACTTCTGTGATACCATACATTACGCCTTGGACGGTGGTGAGACGTGCCATCCGCGACACAGCTATCCCGTTTGCCTCGATTGCTACCGAGGAACGGCCGCCTTGCGGGCTGATTCTCGTCCAGAAACAGGAATATAGCCAGGTGGGGTTTGATAGTGGCGATGCTTGCTTCAGTTCCTCAGATGGACTCAGTACGATCGCTTCCTCGGAACCCTGATGTCGTTACGCGGCACCCTTCAGCGGAGGACCTGGACGCTGCCCAACAGCTGATATCTTCGGCCCAAGCTGGCCGGGAACATACCGCGGATCGTCATCGGGACGAGAAGGGAACAGCGCCTGCTCGGTATCAAATGGAAACGTCAATGAATGGACAACTTTGGTCTGAACTACAAAGAACCGCTCCTCCAGCTGAGAAGACCTCGACATCGCCAAAGGCGCAGAAGGACACATCGTTCTTGGGACATTCCTGCAGGTCTGTATATCTATAGACTCCTCAGTCATCCTCTTTCGAGTTCATTGTGTTGACTCTCATTTCTAGTAACTGTGGGACGAAAAGCACTCCTCTATGGCGACGGTCACCGACGGGGGCGATGATTTGCAATGCATGCGGCCTATACTTGAAAGCGAGGAACGTGGCTAGGCCGACCAAGCGCAATCGAATGGAACCGGGCTCTGAAGCGGGCGGGCAACAAATCGGTCCTGGAAATGCTCAGAGCGAATCGGCTTCACAGAGCCACTGTCAATCTAACTCCGGAGGTGGTTCTTGTCCTGGTGGAGGGAATTGCAATGGGACTGGCGGAGCCGAGGGATGCGATGGTTGCCCTGCCTACAACAACCGAGTTTACAAGTCCGCTGCTCGAGGCACGGTTCCCGTCCATTCGTGGAGAGCAACAAATTCAGAGTCCGACCGACCTCTTCCAGGAGCCGAAAACGATGCGGGAAAGAATGGCGCACCGGTTGAAGGAGGAAACACGCTGGTCTCCTGTCAAAACTGCGGGACCACTGTGACTCCACTTTGGCGACGGGACGAAAATGGACATCCCATTTGCAATGCTTGTGGTACGTTGACTCCCCGCCAATCTTGTGATAAACCAAGATACTAACATCCGTTTGTCTATTAGGACTCTACTATAAATTGCATGGTTGCTACCGACCCACGACGATGAAGAAGTCCATCATCAAACGACGAAAACGTGTTGTGCCTGCCTTGAGAGACCAATCTCCCAGTGGAGCTACCTATTCGTCCAACGGTTCGTCTGCGTCGCCGGAGGCATCTCCTGCGGTATTGGCTCACGGTCATGATGACCACTACCGATACTTGAGTTCGGATCCAACATTGCAGGCTAACCATCAGCGACATTTTGCCATTGCCCCGCCGCCCGTTGATTTCACGCACTTCAGTGCTACCGGGAGTCTCTCGTTGCCGCATCACCCTCCCCCTCCGAGACTCCTGGAGCCTGAGCGGCTGAGCGCACCTAGTCATTCTCCCGTTCCACAGTTCGGTCGACGTTCTATCTCCCCCAGCGCTTCCGGCAATGCCAAGAAGCGAACTCTTGCAGAGACCGCATCATCCACCGATACTTCCGCCATCCCGAAGACGTTGGAATCGGGTTCCAACCAACTTCCCCGATCATGTCAACTGCCAACCCCTCTCCCCCGGGCCGTCTCAGCTCGATTTCCACTCTTCTTAACCAGTCAGGCCCGCACGACGAATCCCGCTTAGACCTGTCGCTCGCTGCTCTTAGCCGTCAGCAGCAACACCACAAAGCGACACCCTTGGCACCTCATCCGCCGTCGCAGCCGTTACCCGGCGTGTCTGAACTTGAAAGCCTCAAAGAAGACCGCCGAGCGAAACTGCAGCGTGAAGCGGAGGAGATGCGTGAAATGCTTCGAGCTAAAGAGCGAGAGTTGGCGGAACTGGGAGCGTGATGCGCAGTCCCTTCACTATCGTCTCACATGACTTACCCTTGTTCCTTTTCCTTTTTTCTGTCTTTCTTACACCCGGCGCAAAGATCCACCTCGTTGGCAAGATACCATTTCAGCATGTTTGAACCAGATACACAGGAGTTGTGCAATTCCGGAAAAGCCCATAGCTTTCTTTATCGTCACCTTCTCTCCTGCGACCTGTCAGAGCAACCTCAGCGGAGGCGTTTGTCGTTCCATTTGTTCACCCTTCTTCCACTTACCAATTTCACGATCTCAGCTACTCTGGCGTTGTACTACAGACGGGAGCTCACTGCTATTGTCTTATTTAGATAGATCTCGGTAATCTCCTTAATTCTTATCATGACATCACAATCTTTCTTGTGATCCAGATAACGGTCTGGGTCCCTAATGATAAAACTTGGTTGTATCCCACTCGTCTTTGGGCATGAAACCCTGCGAGATACTGCCAATGACGAGTGTGCATCTCGTATCAGTCAATCCTGCAGGTCCAGTACGACCTGATGCTCTCTCCCTAGATCCTGACGGACCTTGGTCCCCATATCCTCGCTCAACCTGGTAATCTTCCTCTTCACCCAAAGATGATCATCATCGTCCGGATCCAACAAAGTCACCTGGAAACGATCGCAACGAGTGGGATAGATCTCCAGTCGATCCAACACCAACCTGCAAGTCTCCGGGTCAGCTTTCTCCTCATCCTGCTCCTCCCTCACGCAAACCCTCCACACAGCCCCAAGGTCATTCCGATACTCCTCGTTCAACGCATAATCATCCACAAAGTCCCCACACCCGTAGATGATGAGTTTCCGCCGGTACCGCTCGACACCCTGCACATGGTGCGAGGAGTGGCCATGCACAATGTCCACGCCGCACTCGTCGATCAGGAAATGTGCCAGCGAGCGGATCTTGTCCGCCGGCTGCCACGTATAGTTTGGTCCCCAGTGGACGGAGAAGACCTTGAGGGCGGGTTTCCCGGGCGTGTCGGACGAAGGTGAAGTCAGCAGGGTGCGCAAGCGCTCTCTTGTTCGAGTTGAGTAGTCGATTAGGTGGAAGTTGGGCACGACGGCCCAGTCGCGCGGATGGTCTGAGGCCGACCAGACGTGCACGCTGTATGAGTTGCCCGGTTGGTCGTGGTCGTCCTGTGCGTGTGCGTGTGCGTGTCCGTGATGCGCGGCTGCTGCGCAGCGCGGAAGATGCAGGACTGCCGGCCGCCGGCTCTCGTCTGTTGTCTCGCCGGCTCCCGCGAACGCGATCTTGGACTCCTTCATCGTCCAGACTGTCTCGACTAGGCCGTCTGTGCCGAAGTCGAGGGTGTGGTTGTTTGCGAGGCTGGCGTAGTCGATGCGGGCTTCGCGCAGGGCTGCGGCGTTCGCAGGGTGCATGCGGTAGTTGAAGGCCTTACTGGGCCAGGGGTCGTTGGTGGTTGTTGCTGAGGTTTCGAGGTTGATGAGGTTGAGGTCGGAGTTATGGAAGAGTGGTAGCGCGGAGCCCCAGGGGTCGCGGTGGGTGTAGTTGCTTAGGTAGGGGTAGCGCTCGATGAAGTAGGAGACGATGCGGCGTTCGTGGGCGTTGTCGACGTGCTGGGGCCAGAGTTGGTCGACGAGGCGGCCGAGCATGACGTCGCCGACGAAGTTGAGGGTGAAGGTGCGGAGGGCGCTTGGCATGTCGATGGGACTCTTTGTGCTAGTACTGGTGTTCTTGAGCGAGAATTGGCTCCTGAGTGCATGTTGAGTGTGCTGGTGTCTATTGTGCTTGTAGATGGTGGACGGGTCATCATGACATCGACCTGGCGGGCCGATCCGAAGCCACTCAAATCTGCAGCTTTAAGTTGTCGACATTTGAGGGAGTTCATGTCATGATCACACTGATTCAGCGCTGCGTGACCGCATTGCGCTCGGATATGTAGATTCGTCCAGTATAATGGTGGTTGATTCAATGACAGCATGGATTGCGGTGTCATCTCGAATTGACTGATGATTTCCATGCTCGAAACATTAGTGAGTGGTATGTTGACTATCAAAGTTGCTGATCGTGGCGGATAAAGTGCATTGTGGCTGGGTTAAGCTTCAGCTAACTGCTCTTGACTTTGCTGTAGTTTAATTCATGCAAGGATCATCCTTGCTAGTTAGATGTTGAAATAGCAGTCAAAGAGGGCTGCAGCTGCTATATATACCATGATCTGAGTCAACGTTTGTAAAGATTGCTCCGCCGAATGCTAATACTTAGTAAAGAGTAAAGTTGGCAACAGCTTTTGTCTTAGATCTGGAAACGTGAGCGACTCTGGGGCTCCACACTATTCATTATTATCATCATTATAGGAGAAGTCAACGTAAAGTCAACGTCTAGTAGAGAAGACGAGAAAGAGAACGGGGATATATGTACATCGAAGAAACCAGGCTGAGTATAACGAAGAATATCGGTAAGCATCTGGAAGAAATAAAGCTGAACAAACATCACGGCATAAAGCTATTATTGCATCACTAGCCGCCGCTGACTCGTCGACTCATCCTGCTGCGATGACTCCTGTACCGTCATCTCTGTGGTGACCTCAATGCCTCCCGTAGATCCTCGCTTCATATCAGTCGCTTCGATATCAATTGTGTATAGGCCATAGTCTCGGTCCCGCGAGTAGAGTTGAGTCCTCCGTGACCGGTTGGCTGTACCCATCGTCGGTTGTCCCGTGTATTTGTTGTAGCTCTTGGTGGACAGTAGTCTGGGGAAGATGCGGCTGATAAGGGGTCGAAGGAAGGGGAGGCAAGCACATATGATGGCGACATTGCATTCAGCCGCGGTCCAGTAGGCGGCACCTACGTTGCTGTCTGTTGTACAGTTAGAGATAACTTTGTATGCAACGAAGATGGCAAGGAGCATTACATGACGTGTCTGGGCTTTGAGCGACTGTTCGTAGACTCGACAGACGAAGGATACTGGTGATAACAACCCTATCGAACGTAAGCAACCGGCAGACCGTTCCATACAGGGCAAACGCACAGTAAACCAACGGCAAAGACAGCCATGAGGGCAATTTTCTGCATGCGGGGAAGTTGGAGTTGAGAAATGAGTGGCATCGGCATGATAAGCAGCGTCAGATCGGTAGCGATGTTCATGGACGCGTTAAAGAACCAGACAGCTTCGAAACTGAGACAAGACCCGGGAATATCTCGGTCCCAGAACCTTGCTATAGGAACGCAGTTCACGAATGCGCTGACAATAGCCCACGTTGAGTACAATGCGACGATGCCCACCACGGTGTGGCAAGCAAATCGAAACCGGCGGCTGGGAAAGATGCGCAAGTATTGAAACAGAATGGAGAATTTGCTAAAAGCCATACTCGCATTGTAGAATGGAATCGCTATCCAGAGTCGCTATATCAGATATTGTCAACTACCATATTGACGTACGCATCAGGCTGGCAGCACCCACCTTGAGCTGCTGCTTCAGTGTAGCAGTAGGAAGTTTATCGGAATGTATTCCAAGACCGAAATGAACCTCTGTGTGTGAAAGTTAGATCAATGTGTTTCTTTCCAGGGAGAGATACTGCGAAATTCTTACGGGCAACGACCAATGCAAAGTAGACGATGGAAAAGACCTTTTAACAATTCCAGTCAGTGGTAGATTGCAATCGGAAGGCCCAAATCTTCACTAACCAGGGCCACGACAATCGTGTAGTCTTCGCGACCTCTCAGCTTCATCAAGCCGATCCGCGCAAACAGCCGCATCGCAACGATTAGAATCGCCAGTCCGGTCAATACGCCTGTTACCACCACTGCCTGCTGTCCCCGTGATGCTCCATCGTCCTCATCGCGAGATAGTACGAAATGTCCTAACGACCCGTGCATCTCGGACGTGTGAAAAAGAGTGTGTCGTCAAATGAGTGTGTCGCTTGAATACTGCGAAAAGAGTGTGTTGCGCGATTCGAGTAGTTGTTGACAATATCCGGCCTTCTGCAAGCCAGACAAGATCAATCAGATTCCTTGCATAGGTTGTATAGCACTTTCGCTCGGGAAACCCCGTTGAGTGGTAAGGAACGGCCAGGTCAATTAGACCCTATGTGAGAGGAAGGCGTCAAGGAGCATGAGTTTGTTTGTACTCATAAACGACCTCGAGTATGGCATAGGCTAAGGTATTATTTGATTTGGTTGTACGACCTCCTCGGCACTGTTTTCCCCACCCACATGAACCAGAGGCACGGTAGAGAGCTCAATAGTGTTGTCAGATCACTTCCAAATCCCCAAGCGCACGAGTCGGGAAATGCTTGCCATATGTTCGCATTGCCCTGGAAAGCTTTAGTGCTGCTGATCTTCAACCCGGGGTTGCATGCTTTCCACGGAGTTCGCGATAGTGGAGAGTCTAGTAGTAGACCTACAGCAACATGTGTCATCATTGGTTGCCTAGCTCGGGGACTTGTATGGAATATGAAATAACTTCAACAATTCATCTGCTATAGACCACAAAAGTTGACGGCCGTCTTGTATAATTTCACTGTGGAGCATAGTGCCGCAGGATGATGAATCTCCCTTGGTAGAAAATAGCTGTGCTATTACAGTATCCATCATTCTGCGAGGAAGAGAATTATGCGCCTGCAGCACGACTGCATGGTCGAATCAAGGCCGCGTTCTGTGTCGGCGCTATCATGTTGTCACGATGGACTAGTGGATTTGCTGTTCTCCTTGGACATGAAGCGGGGATGATTCTCCAACTGGAAAGAGAAACAGGCACATCGAAAGCTAAGCCAGGTACTAGTCAAACTCCGAACGACACTGCTCGGATCATCGGATGATTTACTACCTTAGTAACTTTGTGCAGTGATTGATAAAACAATGGGGGGTCCCTAAGAGCATCAAATCTACACACATACTCTGTGTATTAGGTACGTCGAAATCCAGAACGCGCTCAATCTAGGACCTGTATGGAGGAAGATATTCGCCGAATTTTTGAAAGGGCATTGCCACCTCATTATCCTCTTTAGGAATGTCTCCTCGAAGCGAGCCTGTCAATCATCGCTAGACTGTGGATCATCGTGGGTTTAGAACGTTTTTGGCGCATGCCTCCGAAGTGGAGCAGGGTACATCTCTATTACGTAGTGCCACTGTGCCAGGGCCAAATGCGGGACTTCTGAATGAGACATGAACGCACGAGCAATGGCAGTCTCTGAATCGACCAGGATCAATAAGGACAATGGATTCAGCTCATCCATGTGAATGATAGACCTACAGGCGATATAGACTCATCCCGAACTAGAATCTGGTCGTGGGGCTTGCGCTAATTTGTAGAAACAGATCAACGTGACCTGCAGTGATCGACCGCCGGACTGTGATGGCGCTTTTCGGTGTCTTGGCACATGGGGAGAAAGGGAATCATCATCCCTGAAAGATATGTCAGGCTCTGGTCGGTCCAACTGTCGTTGCGTGATCGTGCTCCGGTGCGGATAGACCAGCCTCAAGCGTCTGGTATGGATCCAGGCATGGCCGAGGCAAATGATTTGTCGTCTACTCGGTACAACATGAGTCGATGACAGTCTGGCTAGAGACAGTCTATCATGATCGGAACTAGGCCTTCTAAACACCTTGTAGGAAGCGTGATATGGCTGTCCGTGGTGGCTGCGATCAAAGGACATTGGACAGCTTTAGCTTTCGATGACGTCTACCAATACACACCTGCAAGTCGATCAATTACTGATATATCGTTTAGTAATAATAGGGGTATCGGGATCTCAAGACATTCGAGTTCCCGGACTGAGTCCGTAGACCGAGGACACGGCGAAATCAGGCCGTATGTAGACAATTGATGGTGTACAATGGCATTGACTGAATCCGGTGACCTGGAATCAGGTTTCAAAGTGACATTGGTCATTGAAGCAGTTCCGTGTCCAGCGACGTATTCAAGCCTGCAAGTTCCTGGACGCAGAAATAGCGTCGAAGCACTATTGAACTCTATCGGGGGTCCAGCAACAAATGGGGAAATCCAACGCTCGAAGATCCAAATGGATTGGTGATTGGTGATCTTCGTGATGATGTACTCCGGAGTAGTCTAGGGTGGCGCTTGTCAAGGGAATGCTTAGTCTACTCCGTCCTCGATATCTCTTGACCCCACAGGAGAGTGCATGCGGGGTCCAGAGAAGCTGTAGCGATACATACACGAGAAATCGACGCATGTCATATTGTCAAGAATCAATGATGCGGATAATCTCGATGGTAAATTCATAAATGGCTTTGGCAATGCCAACTGTCTTAAGCGAAGTTGAAGCCCTGAGTACTTTTGATGCTGCATAGTCCGTTGGCACTTGTTCCTCATCGCCAAAGGAGCTTAAACCAAGGTAGATGATTGCATTCAGTGTGTTCTATATCCCTAAGATAAGGCTGACGAATACAGCAAGAACTGATGAGATGATTCCCTAAACACCTTGTTCGTCTTCGTGTTTTTTCCTACTCATAGCATTGCTTCAAGATGCTGTCGCCAACCGATTTCTGATCTAAGAGGCAGCTCAGGATACTAAGGAGACATTGTGTGAAGCTCAAATACTCTTGTTGCGATGCAGAGCAAGATCAAGCTCATACACTCCTTTCGGCGTCCTGGGCATGTTTTGACCAAAATCGGGGCAAATCCGATCGGCCAAACCTTCAGCCGACAGACATCTGGCGGAAAATGCGAGGCAGAACAATAG